GATGGAGTATACAGTGCCTCAGTGCTGCGGAACATAAAAATTGTCGATCAGGGGCTGTACCGTAGATATATAGATGTCAGCGGCGTCGCCGAAGTCCAGGCCGCTGTGCTGCGGACGCATATGCAAGACAGACTTTTCATTGGAATGTGGGGAGCAACCGTGAACCACCGGGGAAGTAGAGCATACATCTTGGCAGCAGAGAGGTTTCTGCGAGAGCGCAGAAGCAGTCCTGAATAGACGAGCTCTCTGAGCTGGGCGGCTGAAGTAGTAGGTAGTGCAGGGCTTTCTAGTGGCGATTTACAAAAATAATTCGATCTCAGATCTTGCGAGATCACATAGCCAATTACGACGAGATACCGTGACCTTGTGCTAGTCGCGAGGTCACTTAAATCGCCTCCAGCTGCCAATATACATATCCGCGGTCTCAGATATACTATCCATATCATATTCGAGCATTCAGATTGTCAACCCAGCGAATGGGAATATCCGCGTCGCTACAATTGGCGTATCGCAAGACCGGATTGGACCGAGCGCATACAGGCTGAACGATGGGCCAATGATCGTGTCGGGGGACTGTTTGCCCCTCGGTGCAGGAGGTGATGAAAATGTGATCCGTCAACTGTCAATCGAGACCTCGATGTGACCCGCGCACACCCTTCCCACCAAACCTAGGATCTCTCCCGGAGGATCCCTGGGGAACTCCCTCGATTGGACGCAGTATTGATGCAAAACAGACGCGGAGAAGACCTGAAACTGCCTACGCAAAGTGGAACAGTTGCTACACTATGTATGCTATGATGGACAGATCGGCTGTCCATGGAGTGCGGAGTGCGGGATGAGGGTGGCACGACTAAACAACAACAAAAGAAAAAACTACACATTGAGCCAGCCACGGTGCAAAAGTAATGACATGACATCGCAGGCAGTTTGCCATCAGTCCATATTTGATTGCCCACCGTAGCTAGGAAGAGAATTCGGGCGATGGAACGTTGCGTCGGCGGTCGCAATCGAGAGGATTGAGGCTCGAGTAGACGTCGTTGCGCGGTTCCCAGGAATGGGAATAAAGAATGGACTGTGGCTTTGTGTGGCGAGAGTGCTTTGCAAACAAAGTACTGGGACCCTGCCCCTCTCCCAGCCAACTGGGCTCTGCCAGTGCTGCTACTGTAAGACTGACTGATCAATCCGTGAGTTAGGGTAGACTCCACTTCGGAAGATCCGTCCGGTTGATATCTCACATTCTCACAGACCCAGCCTCTGCATAGGCATGGTGTGGACGCAGCTTGCAGCTCTTGACGCGGTGGTAGTCTACCACCCAGAAGTCCACACTGGTCAATAATTACAATCATAGGTAGTAATCACAATCACCCATTGTGCCATGCGAAAGCTGACACGGGTCGTACGAAGCAGCTTCGTGCAACGCGAACAAAGGGGTTTCAGGTACCAGGAACAACGCCATGGGCATCATCGAGAGTTCGTCTGTTCTCCAAGGACCGTGGACGATAGAAAGCTAGAAAGCAGAAAACGAGCGTGTGAGTGAAAGCCTTTCGACACAAAGTACGGGGAATCCAAAGTACTGCAGGATCGCAGAGCCCTACGGAAGTTCAATCCGCGCGCCCTTGCTCGCTGTCCTTGCTGCAGCTCCATCCCTACAGCGGAAGGGGACGTCATGTAAGGTCAGATCGTCCGTGCTGGGTTCTTTTGTTTACCTGCATTGGTATGCATCTGCTGCTCTCCCCGGCCACCTTGGTCCGAGGGCCTATTTTTGGGGACGTGTATAAACATATCTCCTTCGCCCCCCATTCCACACCCCTGACTCTTACTCTCCAAACATCTGCTCGCTATCTGTTTCCTCTCCGTGATTTATTTCATGATCTATTGGGCCCCCGCGTCCGGCTCCATTGTGTCTATCTTGCTTTGAATCCACACATGGCTCTCGGAGATTCCTACTGTCCCGGCGAGTTGGACGTGTTGCACCCAGACCGGAACAGATCAGAAACCACTATCTGCTTGCCTTCACCATCCCCTGTGAAGCGAGTTTCCTCCTACTATCCCAAGACGGGTGCCAAAGCATTGGAGGAATCCAATCAGGACCCCTTCTACCTCGAGCAATCACTGGCCGCGACGCCAACCTGGCCCGACTCGTATACCCCGGCCATTCGCGATGATAGATACAGTGAAGACCACAGCCAGTACTATACATTGTCTTTGACACACGAGAAAGACAACAAGTATTCCAAGCAGGCTTCCTTGCAATACACCGGCCCCGATCGCTCCACACTCGCACAGCTCGAATTGGAAAACAGCGCCAGATTCCACAGCTATTCCTCTTCCACAGACGAAAGAAGAACTGCCCACGGCAGTCAAGACTCGTTCAGCTCTGTGCAAACAGACTGTACCGTCCCAGACCTCACACCAAGCTCGTCTTTCTCATCAACCTATTCCTCTCCCACTTGCCCTGACGCCGTGTTGAAGGCGACTGAAAAGCTCTATCAACACGCGCAACAAGCCCACATCAAACCTCAACGAGCTTTCTACCTCCCTGCTTCTACTCCTCCGAAATACTCCCTTCCACCTCCTCCACCCGTGCCTTCGCTCCCCAAGGCATTGACTCGACCCACTACACCTGGTTCTGATCACTCCACAATGAAGTACGAAACATCGAGTATGTCTTCGTCCTCGCGAAAGAGCAGGAGAAAGCAGCCTCCTACTCTTCCAAATCTTTCTCGATGCACAAGTTCCCACAGCACACGGAGGAAACAATCAAGCCCTGGAACGCGCCCTCCATTGGACCCTTCCATGATCTCCCCTCCTAGCTTGATCAACCCAGTCACTATGGAGCCGCATGCAACCCACTTCGACCAAGCTCTATTCATTCCTGCAAATGATAACGCTAGTCCCATTCCCAGCCCTGTTGCTAGCTCTCCTCCTATATCCAGACAATGGACAGCTACATCTATGGAGCGGCCGTCTACCTCCACAATGGATGCATACCTTGGTGAGCAGTCTGTCTGGGAATCCGACTCGGACAATGAGTCTCTCAGCCACAAGTCACTGTCCCGCCGACCCATCGACACGCTGCGAAAGGTCCGTAGCCGGGCCAAGCTCCGTGGCGCCAAGTCACAGCCCAAGCTTCACCAAGCCATGCTTGATGATCAAATGCCCGAGCGCTTCCCAAGTTTGCCTGATGATTCCATTAGCAACACTATGATGGAATCCCTTCGTGGTATGAGCCTTGACCGTCCTAGCATTAGCCGGGACGGCCTGCGTGTAAACCACCCCCTTCAGACCCTCCGCCTCGTCGCACCATCTGCGACCTCCCTCATGAAGCCACTCTCCAACCGCTCAAGGAAAAACAGCAGCATCCTCGAGTCAGATGTCGACCGCGCTGCAGCCGCAGCTAACCAGGCCCAAAGGCGCCGCCAACGCTCTGACACACCAGAGTACAACTCGGACAAGGAGCAACTCACATCCATGTGCTACGAGCAACATTCCCCCGTTCCATTCCCGGACCAAGCTGCCGACAACCGACCTTTCTTCAAGAAAGTGATCGACTCTCTCCGCTCACTGAGCTGCCACAAGACCTCCACGAAATCCAATGTCACTACCATCTGATTGATACCCACTGCTTCCGGAGTTTGGGACGGGAACGGCGTTTTGCTTTTGACGATACACACTCAACGGTCTCTTTTTATTTATGACCACGATTATCTTACTGTCATGTCTTCTACTTTTTGGTTAAGTGTCTCTATGGCACACTACACTCTTTACGAGAGAATCTGCTCTCTCAATGATCCTAATGATCGTCGGAATCACTCGATGCCGACAGATGTCCGGAATTACCCATGTCAACGATACCACGGATGACTCGAGCTTCGCTCAAAACACGCATCGACTTTTTATTTTATTTTTCATGTTTCGAGGTATACACCTCCCACGATCTCTATGCTGCTTATGCCTTACTCCGCAACGCGTTGTAATACCACGTTTTTGAACAACTCATGATTTGATCTGATCTGATCCGATTTCATTTTATTTGATCCTCACGGCCCTCATTCCTGAGCCAATTTCCTATCTGTCTGCCAAATGTCGCTCGAGAAGCTTTTCTTTTTCACCCATCTGTTTCCAACAACCAATGTGTTACCTACCATAATTATATGATCAAGGAACAAAAACTTGTACGATTTTGATTGAGAACCTCTTTTTCTTCTCTTTACTACTTTGGCCTCGTGCGGGGTTCTCGGAACCAAGATTGATTGCATTTGCATTTACCTTCGGCGCAACAAACAAAAAGCATGAAATGAACAATGAACAATGAAACCTCACGATTTGAAATTTGAATCTTACATAGCAACCAAAAATGCAAATGAAACACGATTATCACTGCTACTTTTATCTCAATTAGCTTTCGACATTTGTAGACTAACTACCTGGTTGTCTGGGCGATCTAGACGGAATGCTGGGGCTCGAGACTCGTCGTGGTATGTACGTCCGCCAACACCAACTGGCATTCGACAATGGAACCACTCTAACTACTCGTAGTGAGTAAGTACTACCAAATAAAATACTGCACATTGTCTGAGCAGACTCCAACCACGAGTTACAGTACATTCTCAAACCACCTACACTTCTTTGGGTGTCTCGCTATTCCTGACTGTTGATTTCGACTAGTACGTATTGGGAGTTTTTCCGTAGCATCCTTGCCCGTGAGTATTGTAACGCTTCTTACATTGGTTACCTAACAGTACAGTGCTATGTATTCATCTTCAATTTCTTCCTCTTCTCTAGTATATTCAACATCCCCAAAGCACCGCCTACTTCTCACTTCACGTCTCGACCATCCCCCGCCCACACCTAACACTCTATATCCCCTTGCTCAGTGACTGAAGAATCGACAACCCCGCCTAAGCCGCAGGCAAATTCTGATACCCAGCCGGACAATCATTCGGATCAAAGAACATAGTGCCCCAAGAACAATCGCCACTATCGGCAATCTCAGTGCCTTAATTCCAGCCCCAGAACCCATTAGCCACTTTCTTCTGAATCTTCGCTACTCTAAGACAATTGAAGGGAAGAGAAAAAAACAACATACCACTTGCATCGGTCAATCCGCCTAGATACCAAAACACCTCGCCATACCAATCCGGCCAGGCCACCTCACCGGGTCGGCAAACGAACCAGTCTCCTGCCTTCTGCGGTTGGCAGACGCGGATATATGCCCAGCCGTCAGAGATCTCGATGCTGCTGCTAGGCCCGACATAACTAGTGCTGCCGTCTTTCTGGGCGACGTTGATAGTGTAGGCTGTATCTTTGTTGTGCTGCGATAGTTAGGGTTTGGATTGTTAGTCAAGGACGTAGGCTTAGGAATAACATAGAGCAGGGGCATACGAAAGTGGTCGCTTGCGCGATAGTGGCGCTAAGTGCAAGGATTCCTGCGGTGGTTGGAAATGAGAAGTGCATATTGAAACTGATGAATGCGGTACTGGTGTTAATCTTTTTCGTTCTAAGGTAGAGTTGAAAGAGAGGATAAGATGGTTGGAATATAAGTTGTCTGTCCTTTGGAAATAATGAATTTATATTTCGGGCAGACGATGATTTCTTAGTTGATGTCCTACGGGGTGTCGAGGTTCTACGGCCGTATACTACTATACAAGAAATTTTTGCAGATCATTAGGTAAGTCCTAACGTACGGCCTTAAGTGTAGCCTCAGCTAGGACTGTGTGCAAGGACGATGTTACGAACGAACCGCCGGGCGGTTCCTATTTTAATGCCCTGCTTGACAAAGAATCTAGGTCCTAACCTTCATAAATCTGCGTGAGGTCGCCAGATTCTCGAGGCACTCTGCAGTTCTGGTGTTTGACCTGTTTGTATTTCGATACAGTTTCAAGACAAGGCAGCGTATTTTAATAGAAGTAAATCACGGTCATGAAACTGGTACAGGAATATTGATATTCCGTAATTATCTCTAATATGGACTACTCTCTCTTGGTGGTGGGACTAGAGAATCACTCGAAGAGTACATGTATACTGGTAGGCGGGCGGTTGCACCGGTTCCCATCCCATCATAGAAAATATGCACGGGATTACTGTCTCAATAATAATGATCCCCGGTGGAGCAACAATTGAATTCTGGCGCACAGAAACTCGATAAAACTATTACGAGCTCACTATTAGGTGCATGTCTAAGTATCCTTGCCCGGCGCAAGAGACAAAGTACCATTCCCTCTCCGCTACATACCCCACCTACCCAAATCGATGCGAAAGGCAACGAAAGGGAAGGAAAGTAAATATTAGCCGTGACCATCTCCTCCAATAAGGAGGGTGAGATCAAAGGTACCCTACCTCGCAGCTATGTCCTGTATCTTGCTCAGTAGCTACCCTAGCTCCGGACCAATGCACTATGTACATGTCTCATGCGGAAGCAGGGATGTGAACCTTGGTAATGGGATCCCCCGTTTCTGCACGGATGATCGCAAAGTCGAGACTGGGTCTAGACGGACTTTGTTTTCCAGGTGATCTACAATGATGCTCTTTTTGAGTAGGACCGGGCGATGCTTCGTTATGGTGAACTTTCTTCTCTACGACTTCATGACGTGTGGGTACTTTGTGTACTTCGTACGTACATACGGGGCTTGCGGGTGGGTTTGAGGCTGGGATCGGCAGGTGACAGGTTCGTTGCTCTTTAGTTTCTTTCTTGGCTTTGTGATTTCAGTGTAATTAGGCGACCGAGGGAGGATGAGGATGTGGATGAAGGTACGGCTTGATTCTGCCCTTTTATTTAACAGTATTCATGCCTTGGTCTGGATAGGATAGGGATGGCATGGGATGGATGGGGATGCCCTCTCCTTGAAGTATAAAAGAAAAGAGTTCGATGACTATCTTTTACCATTTTAGGGCTCCTCTCTACGCCGCTCTAATATTCGTACTTTTCTCCTGCTAAAGCGGCCACCCTGTCGAAGTAGAAAAAGAAAAGGTCGACACGTCGTTGATTTCTCCCCTTGCGTGCTCCTCAACGTCTCGGCTTGAACGTACTTTTTCAAACGTTTGCCTCGGCTCAAACATCCTCGCTCTTATTTGCTATTTCATTTCCCATTGTCATTTTCTATTATCGCGTTTTCCAGTCTATCAACTCTCAAGCTGATTCTACCTCATATTTCGCCAACAGTACACTTTCTCTCTGCCTATCTCACAATTCACAGAACCAATGCGATTCGATTGACAGCAGCCTACGAGTAGCAGGCAACCACCGGGTGAAAGTCTAAACCCCCAACTCCATGATCGAATCCACCCACGTAGGAGGCTATGACTGATCCAAGCAAAAGTCCTCGGAACCACCGAACCGCCAAAGGCAAGGTGCATCCCATCCCACCGGGTGGAAGCTGGACATCCCCCGAGACCCCCAAACCCGATGTCCTGGTGGGTTTCAGATCTATCGATGTTCGTCTTCGCGGCTCCACATCCGTGATTCCGTATCGGGAGGGGGCAGACAACCCTGTCGATTGCCGACCCAGGCAAACATGCTATCGACCTAGCGTGGCGCTGGAAAGTTGACAGCGCTAGTTTGAGGTCTGAGCTGGACTGGGACTAGGCCTAGGCCTAGGTCTAAGCCTAAGCCTAAGCCCAATATCCTTCTCGACAGATCCCACATATAATGACGCTGTCCGCTGACAGTCGCCTCTGCCATCCTCTTTTTACTTTCCCCCGTCGATTCGTTGACACCACTGCGATCTCCTGGGTAAACAAATCCCCTACAGCTTTTGCTGTATATTGTCCCACAGTGTCTCGGAGCTGTTCAAACCGTTTTTTCCAAAATTTCCCCTCGCACCGGACCGGCTTCCGCCCCGTCCGCATGGTCCTTGCAGCGATCATGCCTGCACCCTGCGCTCTGCCTGCACCCTGCATCCTCGATCCAGGTATACGGGTCTCAGTCGCGGAAGAACACTGACTCAGAAATAATCGTGCAGGACGGGACGGGCAGCGGGGCCGGCCCAGCGCGCAGAGACAGCATGGCCCGCTTCGATGCAGCGTGCATCGCATCTCGCTCGCATCGTCTTCCCCGGGCCAACGAGTGCCGATCCTCTTCAGGGGATAATTGGCTCCGTAGTACATTTTGTAAACAGCCACTTGTACTCGTAGCGGAAGGAGGAGGGAAAGGAGGAGGGAAAGGAGGAGGGCCCACAGAAAGGAAGGCCCTTGAGCAAAGAAATTCCGCACAAGTGCAAAGCTTCAGATCCGCTCACTTGCTGCGCTCGCCGCGCCCTTCTCTCCCTGCGAAACGGAAACAGCCTCCTCTTTCTCTTTCTCCTCCAAGGCCTCCATATTTTCCTCCCACATCGGCACAGAAATACGGTCCTCCCAGACAGACACAACATCGTCTCCCTTCCGACCTAATTGTGCCTCAGCATTTTCTTCCTCAGCAGCCTTACCCGCATTCTCGGGGTCCGGTCCAGGCCCGGCTTCAAAGCCCGTGAATACAGACTGGACATCAAGTGCTTTAGTAGCTTCCTCGTAGATCTTCGTAATGCGCTCTTTCAGCTGTCGGCGCGAATCCTCCACACCGGCGAGACTCGTCTCCGTCGAACCTGCTGCATTGCCCCGCGCGGGTTTCTTGACTACACCGCCACCACTCCGCTCCTCGAGACCGCGGGTGAGACCTTCCAGGATGCCGAGGATGGTTCCAGCTCTCATGCCTAGTTGTGCGCCAACGGGGTATCCTGCATCGAAGCCTTCTTGGACATGTTCGCCTTTGGAAGCTGAGACGCCGTCGCGATAGCCTGCTGTGACGTGTTGGCGGCGGAGTGCGGGGGACTCGGATGGGTCGGCGGTGGGCTTTTGGGGCTTCGCGTGGGAAGTCCCGGGGTGGATATTTGTTTCTTCTAGTGGGGAGGAGCCGAAGATGTCGTCGAGAGAGTTGTCGACTTCAGGCTCGGCGTGGTCGGTTTGGGTGGAGGTCATTGTCGTGGCGGGTGACGCGGGGGCTGAGGGGGAGCTGGAGCCGAGGGATTTTGGCATTGCAGGGAGCCCTGGGAAAAAGGGATCGCTGGAGGTAGCTTGGCTACCTGAAAGAAATGTGGAGGTAGAAGAAAGGTAGCTTGTAGAGGGGAGGTGAAGTGGGAGAAGGAGAAGTGGAAAGTTGAAGTTGAAGTGGAGGGGCTCAAAAGAAAAGATGCGGGACCCACTGGGAGTATTCTATAGTGTAGTGTAGTATAGTATACCGTACTATTAGTAATTATAGCCAGTACAGTATTTAGTATATTTATATAATTAATTATTATAGTCATTTAGTATAGCTAGTATAGTTAGCATATTGTATAGCCATAGTGTATAGTGATTTGCATCGGAATGGCCCCCAATTCGGTGAAATGTCAGCCCAGCGGTGCGATATTCCTCCGGCCTCACGACCTCACGACCTCACCTTCACCACAAAGGGTCCAAGTGCCCAAGTGTTCACTTATTCACTTATTCAAGGGTATTCAAGTATACAATCATCACCCTCTGCAGCTTCCACAGCTTCCCATCACCATGTCAAGACGTGCCCTCCGCATTATCGCCTACCTCACTGTCCCAACCCTAGCAACAAGCTATGGCATCCACCTCGGTCTAAACCACCTGGAAGACAAATACCCCCCTCTCCCACCAGCTGCTGCTGGTAGTGTCGCCCTCAGAACTGCCCAACGGCCTAGCCAACGCTGCGCATATACAGACATTTACGCGACACGTATACGCCTCGAAGCACTCGAGGCACTCATCCCCGAATCTGCGCACGCGACAGACACAACCCAAAAGATCCTACTTGAAGAAGCCTGGGCCCGAGCCGTACTCTCCTCAAAGCCCCTCCGCACTGAATCTTCTATCATCGGACTACTCAAGTCGAGAACTTATACGCCCGGTGACGCGGGAGAGAGTGGGTTTGGCGCAGATCTGGATACGGGGGCCCCACGCGCTCTTTTGCATGGATTGTTTACAGTTGAGAGGGAACCGGCGCAGCGTGATGGGAGTACGAGTAATGGATTGCTAATTTCTTGGAGTATGGCCGATGGTCCGCGACTTTTCTTTGAAAAGATTGCCCGGTGGGGGTATCCGTGGCGGCTTATGTCTGGCGGACGGCATGAGATGAGTGTTTCGGAGCCGTTTGAGGTTAAGGGTCAAGGGAGGCTTGTTGAGGTGAGATTCTCTGCTGCGCATGATTATGAGATTGTTCCCGAAGAGGGGAAGGGGAAGAGGCAGAAGATTCTTCCCGAGTGGACAAATCGGTTGCATAGGGGGTATGCCCGTGTCATATTGGATGTTGCGGCGAGGGAGGTGGAAAATGGGCTGCAAAGGGTGTAGCTGTTCTTCCATTTAGGGTTGCTTTTGCTTGAATTTTACGCCCGAGGTCTTTGGGTTTGTCTTTGGCTTGTTCTATTAACTTCATATCCTTAGCTCAGCGCTGCATACTCTTTCAATATATCAATCTTACCTTTTCATATTTCAGACTCGACGGCAAACTAAAACAGAGCAAAAACTTAAAGGCTAGAAGAAAGCTGACCGAGAAGGCTTAGCCCCTGGGCATACAATACATTGCGCGTCTGGCGACAATTGCCTTACTATCTTCAACGACACTCTGCAGTTCTGTTTCTTCCCGCCCACACTTATGAGCCTCTCCCCAAATGAACGAATGTCATATCGTGCATCTTTAAGCTCCAAAATGTGCCTTGTTCAGCTCGCATCATTGTTGCTTCGCTGCTTGGGGGACTGCTCGGTCTTGATATTGCTTGTTTGGTCTTGTTTTCTTCATATGGGAGGAATTTCTACTCGACGCCGTTGCCTTCACACTCGATCCCGAGGCGACTACACAAGCTGCATGTGGCTTTGACCTTGTCACACTTTTCTGAATAGGGCTGTTTAGCTTTCAGAGTCGCTTAAATTGGATTTTTTATTATTTTTGACCTTGAGGTACCTTTTTCTTTCTTTGAAGGCAGAATGTACAGCTGCGACTCCGTGGTATGCCTGGCATTGCTATTAGTCTTTGCGGTGATAATAAACCCGCATTTAACCGTTTTCTAACATTTTAAGAAAATGGAATAACGAGACGCCGCTGAACAGCCCATCGACGGATTTAAGAGGAAAGGAGACTAACTTATGCACAAACCCCTCCGTGGTGATATCGTAGATGCCTTTCCAATCATCTTGGCAACTATTACCGCAATCAGAAGAATACTGCGCAGTGGGACCCTGCATGAATTGGAGGCTGAAATTTAGGCTTGATTCTCCTTCACCAATTTGTTTATATGAGAATTGTAGCTGAATGATGAATGCCCAGTGGGCCTCAAAACATGATTTTATTCTTGTAAACCTGAATCATTAAATACCAGTGCCTTTGAGATGATACAATGTTCTATCACCGTTTGCATACCAGTGTGATTATCATACTTACTCAACCCTTTGATACATGCATAGCCTTTGGGCATATAGCAGATATTATCTCATAAGTCCCAGTATCAATGAGGTTTACCTCCATTCTTCCTATCCATTACCAGCGGTGGCCAAGTTTCTGAGAGAATGAGTATTCTTAACCAATGTTCTCGTATCCAAAGATCAAACCCTTGGCATGTTATTGAATTTGGCTAAGCCCAGTGTCCGCTCAAATACACGACCCAACGAGTGGAATATTCTTCCAGCTTAGGAAATAGCGTTATTTCCAACAGGAATAGGACGCAGCCTTGTACTAACGCGAATTTAATTATATCATGGAAGCAGAGGAATATAAATAGCATGTTGAGTATCTCTCGGATTCTCGCTCGTCCATTTTATTTCTTTCATCCACCTTTAACCTGCACCACTTTCTCTTTCATCCATCTTCGTACTCTTATCTATACTTGCATGATGAGCATTATTTCCGCTTGCGTAATGGCTGCACTTATCAGCTCAACCATCGCAGCCCCCACAAACTCATCCGTTGAGTGCGCTAAAGGGCTACAAATGTTCGTCTCTAGAGGAACCGGCGAGAAAATGGGCTAGGGCACAACAGGAAATATAACCAAAGCCATTGTCGCCGAGATTGAGGGATCAGTCGCTACAGCAATCATGTATCCTGCCACTGAGAGCTCCCCAGTCTACTTCGACTCCGTCGCTAATGGTACCTGGCTCCTGAAAAAGTCTCTGACAAATTACGCCAAAGCCTGCCCGGACTCCAAGATTGCGGTTTTCGGGATACTCCCAGGTAATTGAAGTGCCTCAACTCCTGTGTAATCTTCAGACTAGTATCTAATGCCATTCATTCATCCAGGGTGCCCAGGTCACTTCGAACAATTTCTGTGGAATGGCTGCTATTTGGGGTCTGCAGGGCGGAATTGAGGCGCAACACACACCAGCAGAGCTGAAGCAGACGATTGAACTCTCCGAACCGCTTCCGGAGGAAGTCATCAAGAACGGTCAGTACCAGTTAAACAATCTTCAACTAAAAACCTACGCAAACCACACAGTCAACTAACATCCTTCAGTCATTTCGGTCGTCCTCTTCGGTGATCCAACGCACACCAGCAACGCAACCTACAACTACGGCACCTACAACCAAAGTGGAAACGGTCTATTCTACCGCTCGGATATAAGCACCTGCGAAGCACTAGGCAATGGAATCCGTTCATACTGTGATGCCGGAGACCCTTTCTGTGATATTGGTGCGTACCACGATAGCGTGGCTCCATTCATCAATGCGACCGCACACATGATGTATGTTCAGAATTATGGGGATGATGTCGTTCCTTTCCTTGTTGGGAGATATCATAATATTAGCAGCAATTATAATAGCACCGGTAGCAGGTCGACTGCGACGGAGTCGGCTTTGCCGTCGTCTACTGCGGAATTGAATGGTGCGGCTGGGTTGATGCCGATGACGAGGATTGCTTTGATTGCTGCTTTGTTGGTGCATGTTTTGATTTGAGAGTTGGAGATGGATGAATGAATGTATCTTTGCTTTGAGGTTTTGTGGATTATTATGGTTTGTATCTAGAAATTCCTACTAATCTCTTCGGAAGATAGTACCCTAGTATCTGCTTGTGCTTTATTTGATACTAATTTCTACGAGATCGCGGTCATATACACTGACGCTTTCCTTCGATCTAGGAATACTGGATAATTCATCGATTCGTCCTCTATTCAAACAAAGCACAGAAACAACCTATTTTCAGAACATAAATCGAAGCCAGAAACCAGCCGAAGATTTTCTTCATATAGTGACAGCCACCCTACATGACCACTAATTATACTAGTAACTTAAAACACAACACGCATCCAGCCTGTAGACCATATATCTCCCTTCAACCACAAAAAAAACTCTTGGTTTGAAGTACCACTAGTTACCAATAATAACACCTCAATCAAACACAAGGATCCCCATGCTCAACAACACTATACGCAACAAACCCATTATAAGGATAACACATCTCCCACCCAGAGGTGATACTCGCAATCAGAGTCCCAGCCGTACAATTCGACGTGCTAAACATACAAAAATCCTTCGCATCTCCCTCAACCGTCTTGAAAGAAAGACTCTTCGGCACAGACCCGTCATTCGTATCCGCGGGCGAAAACGTTTCACAGGCGCGGCCGTACCGGCCTGAGCGCGTGTAAATGCTTAGATTCACGTTTGAGGTGTTTGGGTCGCAGGTTGGTTCTGCTGCGTTGAAGAGGCGGAGTTGCCACTAGATCAAATGAGAAAAGAATAGGGTAAGTCGGGGCTCGGAGATTCAAAATTAGTGCAGAATTTGCCGGTGGCGAATCGGTAAATTGATATGCTTGAAACTTACGCTCGTGTATGCTTGGATAGAGGCTGTTCCGCGCTCTTTCAATGATGATCCCGGACGAGCTGAAGCGCTTGCGCCTAGGGCCGCGATGAGAATAGGTAGAGAGAGACGCATAGCGAAGGGGAGGAATGGATTAATAAATTAATTATGGCGGAAGGAAATTTCGACAAAAATAAATGTGTACGGCCAAAGTAGATTTTCTAGCTTGGGGGGGGGAGAAGGCAGATGCGAATCTTTTATAGTAGATCAATCTGACAAAGGCCCGGGAAGTTCATTAGCGCCGCACAATGTCAGAGGTACGTCTGATTCTAGACACTCTGGACCCTACACGATCCAGCTGTGCTAAGTGGGCGCTAGACCTGGGTGCGTCCGGGAAAATCTGCAGCTAGTTGGAGGGGTTCTGCTTGGCGCAGCACTTCACTGTGTGTTGGTGGGCGGGTGGCGAGGCGAAACGAGGTCGGGCGATTGGTCTTATAGGGTATGTTTCATTTCTTCATGCGATGAGATCTAGAGGGGACGGGCCGGGGCTTTCCAATTCGATCGCGGTGTCAGAATAGTTTGGAGTACGAGGAGGAGAACCTTGGCAGTGTCGGTGGGATGTGGGTGATGGGGATGCTTGGTGGTTTTCGGATTCAGGAACATGGCGAATAGGCGATTTCTAGGGTTATGGGGAGACGGTGCAGACACGAGCTGAGCCTGCAGGGTCTTTCAGGGGTTGCTTGGTATTTGTTATGTACCTGTACCTAGTAGTATCCAGGTCAGATCGGTCTCGATTGGAAGTTCCAGGGGCAAAAACTATTTAGACGTGTTTGAGATACATTATATCCGTAACACAGACACAGAACTACAAACACTACGCTGTAGGAATAGGTAGTAGGACATAATTGGACTAATTTTGATCAATCTATTGGTCGTATTCGTATATTGCCCTTTTCTTTGGGCTCGAGCAACGTATATTATGTATATCCCCGCTACTCCCGCTGCGTACTGGGCATCAGCCGCCACGCTCGGAGAGGCAGGTTCTGGAGCTTAGTGGCGGCCGGCTTGATGAACATGACAAAAGTGATCGTGCCAATCAGCACACATAACATGTTGGTCATGTAGTAGCCGTCCCGACCGACCTCGCAGATTCCGCCGCCGTTGATGCAGCGGTTCTTCTCTGGCTCCAAGGCGCAAGAGAATGGCGAGGTAACAAGCGCACCCTTCAGCGTATCGGCGGCGGGGGTGTGCTGGGAGGAAGACAGGTCGCTTCGGTAAAGAAGTCAACCAGCTTGAGAACGAAGAAGCGGGGGAAAGTACCGCCTAAATTGCATACCCTGGAGAATTGTTAATACGAGGTCAGACACAGAGAAAGATGAAGAACAACTCACGTTGCGAGGAGGGTCATGTAAGTTCCACCAATCGCAGGGTCAGCAACACGGGCGTGGAAGGCTGAGATGGCAACGAACATGACCGTGTTCATAAATGTTGAAATCACATGTTCAAAGATGACGGTCATGAGGTACCAGAATGGGACCGTTGGACCGCTGGGATAGATCATCACGGTGAATTGGGCGATCACAGCGGCGGACAATCGGCCGACGAAGGCCCAGCCCCAGAGCCGCATGGCGCCATACTGAGTGGACCATTTACCGGCATAGTAGCCAAGCATGATCTCAAATGGGAAGTCAATCAAGACAACCAATGCCATGTTGTCTTGGCCGAAACCCTTATCCAGCAATTTCAGACTAGTCACGCCGTCATTGGCCTGGAAGCCGATCTTGGCGATGAGATGGATAACAATGATAGTCTGGATATTCCGTAGCTTCAGCACGCTCCACATGCTCTTGTACACATCCATAATGGTGTCGCGCTCCCGGGTATGATCCTCCTTTTTGAGGAACGCCAGACCGAGGGTCACAATCAGATAGGCCCAACCCCAGAAGGTCAGGTATCCACCCAACGAAAGAAGGCCTTCATTGCCGGGGACATCTCGGAACCAGCGGTTGGCGAAGTCCTTGGAGTTGAAAGCGAGGAAGACGGTGTACGAGAGGAAATGGCCTGCGGTCAAGCCGACGGTTTGCGCGGTCGAGGCGTAGGAGATGTTGGGTGGAGACATGAGGGTAATGGCCCATCCGTCGACAGCAATATCCTGCGTAGCGCAGAATAAGACCAGCATGAACCACCAATAAGTGAAATTCCAGACTCCAGCCCCGCCATTGGCTCCGGCCTCTTCCATCATCGCCCCAATGTGGCGGCCCAAATATATCATCGCCAGGCCGGCAATCACCTGGACGGGGGTAATCCAGCTCTTGCGCCGGCCAAACGTCGGGCTCCACACGGCATCAACAATGGGACTCCAGAAGAGCTTCAGCGAGTATGGATAAGAGGCGAGGGAGAAGACACCGATTTGGCCGTAGGAGAGGTATGGTTTCAGGAGGAAGGGTACGGAGCCGGTAGCCAGGCCCATGGGCACGCCCTGGAGGAAGTAGAGGACGCAGAGGAGGAGGAAGTTGCGCTGATCGCTCGGAGGGAGGTTTTGGAAGCTGGTAGTGGTCATGATGGGGGTTTGCGGGACGACGGGGGGTTCATTATCGAGGGAGAATTGGGGACTGGCCATCACGCGAGAGGTTCGTTCGGTGGAGGATTCGGTGGAGGGAGTGTCGCGCTTGCGCATTTCGATGTTGCTGTTCATGGCGCCGTTCGCATGGCCGTTCTGGCCGGTTGCTACTTTCAAACTCGGTTTGGAGCGGCGTCTGGAGAGGGTATTGTTCTTGCGTGTCATTGATTATGCGTAGGCGTAGTTATGAGGGTGAAGTTGAAGTTGAATACGAAGAGGGCGAAGGAGAGTTCAAGTTGGAGGTGGGTTGTGGTTGTGGTTGTGGTTGTTGGTTGTTTTGTAAGCAGTTCTTTGGTTGCCGAAGCCTGAGGCTGTGCAGATAAAAAAGGGAGTGGTTCGCGTCGGTTGGAACCGCGTCAAGGAAGATCAGCGAGAACTTGAACGAATGGACAATGCATGGAGGCGTGGGGAATAAAGAGTGTCAGTGGCATGCAGGAGTTGAGTTGTTGCTGAGGCTAAAAATGTGGAGAGGCAAGCTGGCCTCTTTCAGGGACGGAGCGGAGGGCCGAGGGGAGGAGGGGGGGCCGGCTTCCATATGCATCTTTTTTGAGGTGTGGAGACAGCTTATCGACCCCATAGACCCCAAGTGGTTGGGGTCCAAGTCGTACACAATGAGATCATCTATTCACGCGCCTGGTGGGACAGTGCCAGTGGATTGCGCGTCGTTGATTGGAGGTGGGCATGGATTATTGAGGCTCGGTAGTATAGGAGTGTCTACCTAGTAGGTATGAGTATACAGAGTATATTAAGGTAGTCCGAGTCATATATTACAATGATAATAATAAGTTTAGTTATACTAAGGGGGTATTGCAAAAAGCAACTTGAAGTATTTATTATATCCATTTCGGGGTGATATGAATACACTGTGCAATGCTACACAAGTAATTAAGTACTAACTAGTACGTGGCCGAGGGACAGAACTCTGAATAGACCTCCGTATATGCAATTATTGATTACATGGATCTTCTAAAACTGGTCTTGATAATTTTTGTAAGATGCGCTGAAACGAACGGCATATGAAGGGGATTCAAGCCCGTACTAACCATGTTGGTTCACACGAGGGACTTTCGAACCGTTCGCCACGACTTGAGGTATTAAACTTGCCTCGAACTCCCTCCAACTGGCGCTTTCCCTGGGGTCTCAACGCCAGCTTTAGAACGAGGAACCAGGTGGGAGTTTCCTAGCTTATTGATCTACGCGACCTACTCGCAAAACTTTGTTGTAAATTGAGTCTACAAACTTTCATACATACCCGCAGAGACGAGAAGTTGCCTCAAAGAAGATAGACATGGTACCCCGGGACTCTGAACTCGTCTTATCCATAGCGAGTATGGGTTCCTGACAACCAATGGTTATGGCTGATTATCCTTTGGGAGAATCGCGAAAGATCTACCTACTACCTGTAGCTTGAAGACTGATATGCAGGATTTCCATAGATTGAACCAAATAGTGTGGTGGGCAATTGAGAGAAAATACTATTGCTACAGCAGCGCTTATCCTTGGCTACCGCTCTCAACGTATCGCCCAGTCTCTCCTAGTTATTGCGCACTCGCCCTTTCCACCCGCAACGGCGTGAAGCTAAAGTAGCGCTGTATATTGATGATACTCAAATGCATTCATTATGAGAATATATCCCCCTTTCCAGTTGTGTCTAGTACATACGACCATAGGGTGTGGAGAACAGGGCTTCCCGTCCGCTCAGCCGTACTTAAGCCACACGCCGGCAGGTTAGTAGTATGGTGGGTGACCACATGCGAATCCCTGCTGTTGTATGTTTTTTTTTTGTTCTAGCTTTTTGTAGACCCGTGCTGTAAATAACGAAAAGGGTAACTGTGATGTTACTTAAAAGGTAAAAAATATCTTTAGGGTGTTAGTTAACTTATGATAGGTCTTTATAAGTGGGCCAGGCTACTTATAATATGTATATTTTCGAAGGCTTTGATAGCTTATTGGGCATAGCCTATTCAAACAGCTGCTAAGAGTTCCGTGTTAATCAATAAATGGGCAAACATAATTTATCTCCTGACCCAGTTCCGCGACAAAGGACTTTCCCAAGATTTTCTCGCCATGTCTTGCAACAGCAATGATAAAGCGGGCATCGCTATTCTCAATAGAGATGCGAGTTTCGAAGCCGGTTCGCTCATGCATCAGCAGGCGCTTGCCTTCTAGCAATGTTGAGGTCTGAGATGGGACCGAGAAAATGGCCCAGTTGTCATGGTCTGTAGCACCGTTCCAGCTCATATAGAGATCGGTTGTATGCGAAGTTGTGCGATTAACAAAGAGAGCAGGATCCCAGTGCGGAGTAGCGTTCCACGGAAATTTGAATATGCGGTAGGCATTAGCCGAAAGTGTATTTTTGCCAAACTGCCCTCGGAGAACTACGTTGCCGTCTCCGTCATATTCCTTGAGTTTGGGTATCGATCCGTAGCCCAGCAGCATGTGCGCTGTTCCTGGGCTTGGAAGGAACTGGAAGCTGCCTTGCGTTGCACTCACGATATGATCAGTTGGATCCGCCAGCTCTTGGATTATCCATGCCTTCTTGTTGATGAGATCGACGTGGATGATTAGTCCTGTTGATGGGCCTGGGTCCTCATGGTCCATGGCAGCGTTGTTATAGAGACTGAGAACCAGGCTCTCCTCGGTTTCGTTGTGAACACGGACATCATGTTGCCATGCAAAGCTAACATTGTCACTCTTGAAGTCGCCGTAGTAATCATTATCCCTCATGAAGTCGCCGTAGTCGTCATTATCGCCCTATAAGATACCAAGTAAGCGGGTAAATCCAACATCTTTGAAGCTTAGATATACCCACAGAAAGCTGCCAGCGGACAGAGCCGTCCTTGTTAATATAGAAAACAGAGCGAACATGCCGAAAGTTGACCAGATATCCATATTTGGTTGGAGTAACCGAGTTTATATGGTAAGCGTCCCAGGCCTCATGCAACTTTTTCCCACCCAGTACGGTAACACTGGACTTGGAAAGAGGAATATGCTCGAGTGCATCCCATTTGAACAACACCTTGTTTGTTTTTATGTCGATTTCGTAGAATAGAGAGTTCAAAACCCACATATCAGGCGTACCCCTTCTAAGATGGCTAGTATTTGTTTGGGTGAAATTGAGAGCCGAGACTAGCATGGTATTTTGAGGCGTGATGTAATGCTCGTGGCCATCGATATAGGAGTCAAAATTTTTTCCGCTAGGAGTGTGAAAGTCATCGTGCAGAGTGACTGTGTAGATCTCTTTGTATGTGCTGTCGAGAATATGCGTTGCTCCATATCCCAATACTCTAAGATCTGGCTGTGCATCCCAGTATGTGATCACATCTTTGCCAAACAGCTTTTGCATCTTAAAATCTAGGTTTTCCCCTTGCGGGCCCTGCCACACCATGTCGCCATTGTTGTCAAAGATTGTTGGAGCGGTGCCAGCCTTGTTGGACTTTCGAACGCCTATAAAAATGTATCCGGGGTCCGTTTCGCCTATTTCGCTGAGTGAAAGATGCGGGGGCTGCCAATTTCCTGTCTGAAATAATTCATAAGGCCAATCTGTTTCCCCAAATGCCAGAGAGGACAGCACAAATATGATAAAAAAGTAACACGCCATGATTCAAAATTGCAAAGCTAGGCGTCAGAACAAAGTTTTAAGTAATTTTCCGAGTGATACTGCCAGAGATACCATTTGCCGTGTAATACCTTGTTCAAGGAACACCATAGGAGGCGACAAAGTAAAATGGCTAAGCATAGATAATTTCAAGAATACTTTTGAACATTATTAGACTAGATATTTATTGCACAAGGCCAACTTCAAAAGACCATCAGCATCGATGACATCGGTCTCGGAACTCTTACTACACGGCAAACTGTACGTTGACCTTTGATGACGTACAAATACATCATTGATCTGCTGCCAAGAGAAGACTTGGTTAGGTCTGATTCTAGCTACAGTCGGGTAGAGGTCATGTATTGTTGGCTAGATAAATGAATGTTTTGCTTCCTGGCTTACACCATGGTATGGTGATAGATGGTTTGGGCATGAGTGTCTCCATATGCAAATACTTTCTGAATAGGAGGATTTCAAGTGTCATATTGTCTCAAGATCCATACAAGTCCGGATTGGAACCATATAGTGGCTATAAATGCATCTTGAGCCTTATATGGGAGATTTTGTGACTACCACTGTGATGTAATTGGAGGTGAAAGCAAGGGCTCATCGTTTTTACATCCGCCGCTTCTGCTTGATTTCCTTCGTCAGCCACACCATCCCTTTTGGAATCTTTGCTAGCTTTCAGATTATATTTCCAGAGGAAAATATGCAAAACAAAGTGTCAATTGAGTGTTTCAGGAAGAGAGTTGTGAGGGCAATGGTAGTCATCCCATGCAGTATTGGATAGTATCTCGACTCCTCTCACTCCTTCATTGAGCCTTGTTGTTAAAATAAACTTGCCCTTCGATGGTCATCCTACCCCATATGCTAGGATTTAGGGGGTAGTGTTATTCACAGGTCAGCTGGTAAGCGAGTCATGTCCCAGAGTCCGAGATATTTGTTAGGCGAGTCCTCGGGATACGAACAAGCGGATGGCCGAGATTGAACGGAGGTAGAGTCAGATCGAGCTTTGCGTGACGTAGGCTTGGCTCGTTCATTCGTTGGAAGTTGGAGAATTCTTGACTCGAGCTGGAGTCACCGGTATAGCTTGTGGTAAGAAGTAGCGAGGCCGATCGACGGAATCGCTCCAACGCAGGAAGAATCATGTCGTTGGGTAAGTGGATAAAAACGTCACGACAGATGAGCAGGTCAGCCGGGCGTGATTCATTCGCTGTGATATCAAGAATATCTAGTTGATAGCCACGTTGTCGCATCTCGGCCCAGTTTGCACGTTCGTATATATCATAACCGACATAGTCGATCCCCCAGAGATCTACCATGCTTATCCAAGCGAGATCTCCGCAGCCTGCATCATTCAGCGTTACCACCTGGTATGTCTTCAATATTTGAGCAAAATCCTTCCGAACTCGCCGGGTATGCTGCTTGCTGGAGCCCCAGCCGCAAACTGTATCGAGTGCCTGGTCGGGCCATCCCTGTAGAAATATTTCTGTGCTGTGTGATGGTTCTCCGGAATTAACTATTATTGAATCATGATCTTTTTGGGACTGCGAATTTGGAAAATAATATTTCCAATCATCTGGATGACGGGTTTGATCCCACGATGATGATATCCCAAGCACCTGCGCGACTGGTAGTATTTCTTGGGGTGGAAGTTGTAGATGGTGCGAATAGTAGCCATCGGTCAACAACCCCGTGGGCCAAGCAGTGGCGATAGAGTCCCAACTTAACTGACCATATTTAATAGCAGGGAGGTATTCATTCGCAATGGCAGCAATCATGTCGATAACCGGTCTGCTTTTTGGTCCGACTTTTCGTGGGGAATTGCCTAGGTATGTGTAAAAATTATAACCCCTTCAATAAATGCTGGGCATCCAAGCAAGAGGAAATTTGGGGATTAAGCTAGTACTCCTGAAACTAGCGGAAGTTGTCGGATGTGTCTAGACCTGTGTCATTCAAGAGTCACGCGTTAAGTTTGTATAATGTCGAGGAGGGAACAAAATTGTATACGATGGTTTCAATGGCAAGCTCATGGTTTCTGTATTTTCGCTTTATCCATGGATGGCGTGGATCGTCAATAGCGACACTCACTCACTTTCCCCGTAGTGAATTTTACCACGGTAGCTCCCAAAGTTAATCGAAACTATAGATGTTCAAGCCAGACAATCTATTGTTGCTGCTTTCGCGAGAAAGGCCGGGCCATGCCGGCCAGGCCTTGCTGCAACTCTAAATACTCGAGAATGTGGGTATAGTATGACTGGCTTTGCCCTTCCCAAATAGGGTACTTTTTTGAGGTTGAAATCGTAGATAACGAGAATATCCAGCGGCTACTATCCTCGTAGGCCAAGCGGTAGCTGTTAATTCCCAAATCAGTTGATGCCATTGGACAGCAGGGAAGACCTCGTTGGCAATACACATCAAACTTATCTACGCTTTGGCCAGTTTGAAGCTGACATTTGTCCAGTTAGCTCGAATGTTGAATGTTCAAGATACAAATCACAGTCTGAAGAGACAAAGCATGAACAACAAAAATTTGCAGGTCAATGTGACTTGTGACATCTCGTGAATGCACGAGGTAGCGGAAGTTGACGGATGCCTAGATCTTCAATGGACAAGGCCAGAATAATGTGTCGAGAAAATTGTGGCTACGGATAAGGCGTATCCCAGCCACAGTTCCGGGGCCCTCGGATGTGTTCGTGATCTGTTTCCGTCGATGGCGAAGATAGTGGATAGTGGAGCCATAGAACCATGGTACATTATTTACGTTCGTCCATTATTATGTATCGCGAACAAAAGTTAGAAAAGAGTTCTAGAGCACATATCTTGACCGCAATAGTCAAACAGTCGGAAGCTGGCCCGGGTCTACAGAAATCAGTTGTTGGAGAAAGTGTGTCAACACGCCCCGATGCAGAATAGTTATATTATTTTAAATTCTGTATCGTCGCGCAAGGAAATTAAATTACAGTAGTAAGCTGGTATAATGAGCCATGTAAATGTTCTGTCAATGCTCCAGTGAACAGTATACAGGCAGTCAGATATGTGGATGAGAATATAAGGGCATGGATCTGCAGCTAGATGGACTGGTGGTAACAGCTCCCGCCGTCACCGAAAATCGAGCTGTCGTCGTCGATGTCGGAGACTGGCTGACCAACGCTTTGCATTGGTTGTAGATCATGCACAAGAAGGCCTAGGATAAGGATGTGGCGACAATAGATTATAAGAAAAAATCTCAATACTTGAAGGGATGGCCTTCGGTGTTACTGTACCGCGCAGTTTCAATGGTTGATCAGAATATTCATCTCTGCTGATGAAAATGGGGACGCTTTGCTCACAGAATATAATCATCCAAACTGATGAGCTTCGGATCCGAGAAAATTAGATAAAAGTATTTTAATGTCTCTGCAAGCCAGAAGCTTTCCATAACATCCAATCTTGCCGTCCGTATGTCACGGGTATCGTTGAGCGCAGCATGGCCATATTCGACTTTGGTGTATTGCTCAATGCTCTGAAATATTTTCCATGCAGTATCCTGTAGTGACTTGTCACCCGTAATTCTGTACAAAATAAAGATAGACTCAATTGCTTCAGGCCTGTGGAAACGGTCAACATGGAACTGTTTGGATACACCCCATCGAGTATACTAATTACCTCAGACGGTATTTTGGATTGGCGACTTCCAGTATTGGCGGCTGTAGGCTATGATGTTGAATAATAAGTCGTGTTGCCTCACGTAAATTTGTAGGCAGTTGTGCTCCCTCTGGCCATCCAAAAATATCACGAAACCACTTTTCTTCCTTCCATGCACAACGGTCGGAATTCCTACAGCCACTGATGTATAAGGTCTCCGGCATAATTCCGGTCGGCATGAGATCATATGCCCAGACACACCCATTCACCAATTTATGTGCAATGGGCAAGTCATCTGAGCGTCCAAATGCCCGGGAGCCAAGCGCTACCATACCCCCGAGGAAGCACTTCAGATGTTCAGTTTGATACTCAAAAACTTCTCGACCCTCTGAATCAAATTCGATATTTCCAGCGAACAATATATCCTCTTTCCCTTTCGTCATGCCATGGAACAGTAGGTGTTTCTTCATCCCTTCTATCGCGGAGATATACATTTCACGATATTGGTCTGATTGCGCTCCAAGGAGTAGATACTCTTTGACGAGGTACTCGTAAGTAGAGTCAGCCATACCACCTACTGTGAAGTGGTCGTCTGAGAAGCGTAATGAACGGGCGTCAAATGAGAGCGGCCACAGACCGGGTAGCCTAGTCTGATTTTGTGCGTGATGTAGGTTGTCTGTGATTCGTTGAACAGCATCAAAATATTTGGGATCTCCTGTAATTTGAGAAAGCCGAGTGAACTCTAGGCTCAGTGAGCCTATCTCAGCAAGTAGCGTATTTTCACTGGGTAATGTTGAAGACTCGAATGCGCTCCTAATAGTGTTAATGCGTTCCCAAGGTAATCCAGGAATACAGGAATCCCATCCCGGGAGTTGAGAGGACAATTCTTTCCTACCTTATCCATTGCCATCGCATCTGTGGCATCCTGTTTGGGGTATCAAATGCTCTATACAAAAGCTCACCCAATTCCTGGGCCTTCTCCAAGAGAATAGGACGTCTACCTCGGTCAGGTCATATGCACTAATCAAGCCTCCCAGATGCCGGATTGTCGTCTCAAAGATATGAACAGTTGCTAGTTTGGGAGTGGAAAAGTCGATATAATGAACTGCCTCAAGTGCGGCTTCAAACTCCTTATCCAAATCCATGATGAGTAGTGTATCAAGGGAGTCAATCAAAGTAACTGCCCACCCCCCAAGGGAGCTTTTATAGCCGCCACTGGCTGGTTTTAATTCATCTCGCAGCCAGGCGTAGGTTTTATACCCATTCCAGCTATGTTGGAATGCGTTTCTCACGGCTCGCTGCCTCTTGGTTCTCTCAAATCCATCGGATTGGGTTTCACGATTGAAGTGGTGTTGGATCTGTGGAATGGATCTTGGTTTGCCTTTCGGAAGAAGGATCAAGGAGACTGGACAGGTTTGAACAGGTCTGATAGCACTTTCGCTTGTTTTCGTGGCAATTATGCCTCCACGGTGGGTTTCATGAATTTTCTCCACACCCAATATCGAATTCGGGAAGTTGATACTTACCAGGAGGAAAAGGAACAAGTTCGATGACATGTGGCCTTTTCGGATGAACATCATCAGTGAGTCTAGTGAGAAAATACAACCTTTGGGGGTAAAATCCGAGTTTAAACTGCATGTAGGCTTTTATACTAAACCGAGAGCTTGAGAGTAGCAAAATCACAGTGAGGAGTGGAGACCCAAATTATGCGGAGTTGGAAAGGTCACGCCGGATTTTCAAAACAAGCATCCATGGATGCCTTTTGGTCACACCACAAAATTGAATTACCGAAGTATTTTTCCAACCACGTATTGAAAAGATCCTGTCTTAATACGATCAAGGTTTTTTTTGAAGTGCACATTTTTCCTCAATCAAGCTGCTAACTCATTTATATTAGAATTCAAAATTAATCCACCCAAAATTACTTGCCAAACGGAAGAGCTTCGAAAACCCTTTGAAATTACATTTGTATCAAACCTTAGATCAATTCTAATTATTTTTGCGCCGAGCCCGGCTCCCCGAAATTCGAAAGAATAACGGTACCAGCAGTATGCTCCCAACAAGCAAAAAGAGTAGAAAAGAAACGTGTGGAGACATGTTATCCTTGTGCAAGATTGTTTTGTGGTCTCCTTGATAATCAACAGGTGTCGTCGGTAACTCAAGGGTTGAAGGCAGAGGCCACAGATCTTCGAGTAAGTGCCTCAAAGCGTGCCTCACTTCAGTTGATGGGGTTTTCATGTCGTCATTGAGACAAATGAACTTTGTTGGTCGGTCTCTTGTCGATTTTAGTTGGTCCATGGTGGTTTGGTAGTCGTCTCTTAACATGTGAAAGGTCACATCGGTTCCCATCTTCAGTCTATATCCCTTTTTCTGCAAACGCAATCGCAACCCTGGGATATCGATGCAATGCCCAACGTCCTTGATAGAAATTCCTGTCGCGTTTCCCGTTTTTGTCGGCAGCGGTAGGTTGCTTTTGAACCCAAAGCTATTGTGAATGCACGTTTGAACGAGGTCATGAAAGCCTGCCGGTGGGCTTGTTCCGCACAGAAGGTTTTCGATAATTCGGATGTCATCTTCTTCAATTCTGCAATTGCGGCTGGTCTCAACATCTTCATCCCATAACCCGCACAGTTTAGATGATAAAATTTCGTGGCGATTGATTAGATAGTTGAAATAGGCAAAGCCAACCTGCAGGTCCCGTGGGTGCCGAAATCGATGTTCTGAGTTAAGCTGAAATTGCTGTGGGAATATGCCTTTGAGCTCGGTAAATATGTGTTTATTCATCATATGAGGCATGTGAGATGGGACCCTCCGGAGATGCTTCGTGAAAGGGAATCGTCCTTTGAATGCCTTTATCACAGATCTAATTGCATTAGCAACCAAGTCATCGGCATGGGGGCACTGCGAGAATGCATCTAGAAGCGCAGCAAGTTTTATTCTGGTCTTGGTGTCTAGCCTTGGCATGCTCTCTGTCGAGTTCGATGCCCCAACGTCCTCTGAGGTATGATGGTCGATTGAGTGTAAGGCAAGGTTAATGTGGTCATGTTCTAGAGGGACATCACTCCCCAAAACTTCGGCAAGTAAAGACTGCGGGATCTCTGCTCCTTCCACATCGCATGCTGATGAGGCATGTACTTTCCCAACTAGCCGCTCAATTTTCACTCCACCATCCCCATCATCCACAAAGCCGTAGTCATCTAACTCGAGCTCACATGACACTTGGGGCTTATCTGGAGGAGTGCTGTCAGACTGAGCCCGATACTCCGGATATGCATCATAACCCAATGGAACTGGGTGGGAGAGGTATATGGTTTGTACCCCAGATGGTGTGAAAAAGTCATCTGGCCATATAGGCGCAGCTAGGAAAACGTCGTCATTGAAATAGAGGAAGGTCTCACTGAGACCTGAGATTCTGTCCAGATTGCTCTCAATAGCGGAGGACGAAAAGACCGGCAAGTGTGAGGAGTTTTCGAATATTTCCGTGTGTTTGGCAATTGTGACACGAGGATTGCCCACATCCAGCCAAGAAGGAACCTGGCCATTCGTCACGATGTATATATGGCGTATCCAAGGTGCATATTTATCCAAGGAGCGAATTGAATATCGGAGCTCGTCATTGTCTCGGAAATGATTATCGGCGAAAGCATCATCCGCATTATCAGAGCCATTATTCTGACTATTCTGGACGTCTGGAGTAGGTGCATCGTGATCCTGGACCCAGCGCTGATACCAAAAGTCCCTATCACTCTTCCATAAAGGATCTGACCCATTAACCCACGTGTAAACCGCATCTATGGGTCCAAACTTCAATTCCTGTGAGAGGTCGCTTTGGCCAATGTCATATGCGTTGGTATAAACACGAGTTTCCTTTGTTGATATACTGTTCAAGATAAAAATCAATAGAACAAATGCAAGGCAAGACTGGAAATTGAAGATAGAGGACATGTCGTTGAGCCACGGCAGTATTAATACACCGAGATCTGTTCAAACCAGCCTGACGATCTGGAAACTTAAAATACCATTATGAGAAGACCAATCGCAAGGTAGACAGCGATTAGTCTCAACAGTTTCCTCGATGCTGCTCTAAATACATTCTCTAGCTAATTCAGTACCAGGATATAAGCAATTGAAATGTTTCGTGCAGAGAGCGAAGTGTGGCGTGAGCTAAACTTGAATTGTTGGAATCCAATCGTGCGGTCGCAGGTTCGATAAATCTCGTCGTTCCTCGGGCTTGAAATTTCCGGGTCGAGCCTTGATTCCACAGCCCCACTTTGACGACATGATAACTTGGATGGAAAGTCAGCTGAGATGAGCAAATCGCATATATTTCCCACGCAGGCAAATATATGCTAATTGATGAAAATAGCGGATTCGTCAATAATTCGAAAATAACTTTCCAAGGGTGAAGAACTCCTGACCTCGCCTCAAGGCGGGTCGGTTACGAGCCTGGACTCAGTCCTCACGAAAGCCAAGGAAATGGACTAGACTAATGTAAATTACATAGCACTAGAGGTCATAAGTACTCTGAACTCGCAGTACCGCATGTGTAATTTGATTTTGATAATACATGTATCTGGGGGCTCTTGCAAGTCCCGAGTGGCCGACTCTCCCCCTTAGGCATCCGAGACGGCAATACCGCCTGGCCTAGGGGCCATGGTGTAGGGTTAGTGGTCAAATTGAGAGGGGATTTAGATAATTGCTAGTTTACTTACTGCTCGGTATTATATTTGCCGTATCACCTATTCGAGCTGTAACACAGGTACTTATGTGACTGGATTTGGTTCACACATAAATGGCATAGAGCCAGTTAGTAGCTGTCTATATTATTATTTTCTCAACTGTTCCTTCGGGTACTTTCCTTTCTTGTTTTTGTTTCTCGTAAATACACATGACCGCAGGATACCTAATTCAAGAGATATGGCCAAACGAACTGGTATGTTTAACGTAAAATATAATGAAATGTTCTTCGTAATAATCCTTCCGAGCCTTGGTTTGTACCATTTTGTTTTAGAGCCATTCTGACCGATAGAGCTTTGACGGTCGTAGTCGAAAACTAACCCAGAGGCCAGTCTGGGTTGAATTGCGTTGTCGCTTGATTCGTAGATTGTACTCTGTGCCAAACCTTGAGATTGACTGAACCGCTGCTAAGCTCCGTGATAAAATAAACTACAATACAGCGAAGAGTCAACCATGGGCTGCTGCCATCTTCAGTCCGTAGTTTTGAAACTCTGGGTGAGCAATATATGATGAAAGGGGCTTCCTACTCAATAGTTCACTTGCTAATTGAGAACTATGAATCATACAAGGAAGAAATCATAGAGGGGCCTATCTAGAAGCATAAGCTGGTAGATGATCTACTGCCTAAAAGAAAAAGCTATGACAACCAAATTCTGAGTCTGTTTCAAAAAGAGCATGTGTTTACCTTTCATAAAAAGATTCCTAGGCTTTTAAATCAATAACACATTCTTAACAGATCATCTCATATCATCCTTTTTAGCCAGTCCCCCTTCGACCAATTGGGCGTTGTCCTTTACCATTCAGCCTGTACACACGATAGAGCTACTGTTTGAGGAATCCTAGAAGAGTGATTAACTTCCAAGCCGAGGAGACCGGCAAATCAAAAATATAAGAAGGATAGGGTAGACTAACAATCTTAGGCCAGATAATTTCACCCTTCTTGCAGCAGAGCCGATCACGACTATCACAATAGATATTATCTAGTGCTTGTAAGTAAGCTGACTGGGTAGATTAATTGTTCTACTCACCATGACCGCATCGAGTTCCAGCTATATTTTTCACAACATAGCCAGTGCAGCAAAAACAGCCAGGGGGATTGGATAGTCTCTTGTCAAGGACATCGTCATCAGGAGACCCATCGGCAATGGAAAGACTGGTGAATGCAAATAGAGCAAGAAGAATCCTGAAATACATTTTTGAGGGGGCTGTTTGTAATGGAGTATAATACTCAGGATGAGTTGTTTTGGTGAACAATAATCATCACGAAAGTTTTAGTTGTTCGATTAACGAGCTGGTTTTAAATAACACCAGCCTGGGTCTAGAATATTCAACTGCAGAGTCGGCCATCAGATGATCATTCAAGTCAGCAGTGAGCGGAACACGGTAAGAGACCTTGTATCATGGATACACCACCCACGAATGCGAAAGCAGACTAAACCCGTTCTTGATATTGCTAACTGATGCTAGGTCTATGGTACTAGGCTGAGCGACGAATCTAGTTAGTCTCAAAGTTTGATTGACATCTGGGTCGATCCATAAGTCGAGCACCGCGCTTCAAGACAGATCAATTGCTCAATTTAGGTTGTTTTTACGGCTCGCAAAGTTCTGTCAAACTGGAATCTGAAGACAAGATGATATATAATAGGCCTCAGGCAAATTTGCAAACGAATAGTTTCTCATCCATCTCCAGCCCTAGAGGGCTTTTGTCAGAAGAGACAGAGAACTTGGAATTAAATGAAATAAAATAAAGTAATGCCGAATGAATAGTTAGGTGGATAACTATTACAGAGTAAGTTCCATAAGAAGTACGGTGTAGAGTGAAAGCCCATCACGAACATGTTTGTGGTGAATATCGGACAATCGATGTGGCTGGATGAGGGCTAGCCAATAAATGAATATGATTAAAACCAGGAATTAACGGTCTGCCAAGATGGGCTCGTTCTAGATCGGTGCCGGAGGAGACTCTTTCAACTAACCAAATACATGCAAGTCTTGGCCGAATTCTCAGTATCATCATAGATCACCCGGTGTTTTGCTATAGTGGTTAGCTTTCTCTACTCAACCAATCTAATCGTTTCATCATTGCATCTTTTTTTTCTTCATTTTATAGTCTTCCGTAAAGTCCGACTCGTCCACTGTGATTGTAACTGCTTTCCTGGCAGATTCTGAGCCCATTCTCCTCTCATCAAGTCTTATCTACTGTTTTGCGACTTCATTTGCATACTAAGTTTTTCTCCTTATTTGCTACTCCATAAAAAGCCATAATGTCTCTGGTGCTCTCCGACAATCCGGCTCCTCAACCTCTCACTGATATATTCACCAACGACACCAATATTGTCCGCCGCAAGTGCCACCGCACAGTACCTATGAAAGTGCTTGCCTTAGGTGTAGGCCGTACTGGTACTGCCTGTGAGTACCCCAATTGAAAGTCTGGTCGAATTTCTGTCAAGGTCTGAATAAAATACCATTAGCCCTTCGCAAGGCACTCGAGCGATTGGGATACGCCAAATGCTACCACATGCTGTGTGCCAGTGTCGAGAACCCACCCGATTGCCTGATGTGGCACGATGCTCTGAACGCTAAATACAACGGCGAAGGTGAATTTGGCCGCAAGGAGTGGGATCAACTTTTAGGAGATTGTCAGGCCGTGTGCGACTGGCCCGCCTGTGCCTTCGCCAAGGAGCTTATTGAGGCGTATCCGGACGCCAAAGTCATCCTGAATATCCGGGACATCGATCAATGGCATACCTCAGTCACGAAAACAGTATACTGGCGTGTCAGCGATCCAGAGCACAAGCTCCTGGCGAACTTCAGTTGGGCCGCGGGCATGTACTATCCCATGCTTAACAAATTCTTCGAAACTTTCTTCCGCGGTGACTTCCCCAATAAGGGTAAGCAAATTTACAAGGAACATGTTGCCGAGGTCCGCAGCCTAGTACCTCCTGAACGTCTTCTAGAGTACAGCATCAACGACGGTTGGGCTCCCTTATGTAAATTCCTTGAGGAGGAAATCCCTAATGACCCCTTCCCCCATAGCAACGACGTCGCTGATTTCCGCAAACGTTGCAACACCCGTAACTACCATCAGATAATGAATGCTCTCCTACAGGCTATCGCAATGGGTGGCTCACTGTTAGTCACTGGCTTGGCCGTCACTATGGCCTTCAAGCACTTCACTCGCCCAAGCCGCTAAACGTTGAGATGCATATATATTTTATTTTCCCTGTTTCATTCTTATATGGTTTAATCACCATATCTTTAAATTAAATTTTGAAATTGACTTCAAATTTCATATAATGTGGAATATAAATATTCTGTTGGAACTGCTTAACTGAAGAAAGCCGCCATGACTCAGGTTGTGGATGACCTCGAATAGAGGTAGACTTTATATATATATATACATATTCAATGATACAAGATTTCCAGTATTTAGCTTTCGTGTATTTGGTTTCGAATTTGCAGAAATTCGAGGGAATTTAAAAATCACAGTGATGCTGAAACCGGTCAAGACACGTGGTGTTGCTCTGTATATGCCAAATTTGACTACGTTCTTACAGGCCACCTTCTCTTTCCTTGACCACAGCGTAAAGGCAGCGCATTGTATTCATATTCATAAATGCATTCAATATGAGAATATATCCTCCTTTCCAGTTGTGTCTAGTACATACGACCATAGGGTGTGGAGAACAGGGCTTCCCGTCCGCTCAGCCGTACTTAAGCCACACGCCGGCAGGTTAGTAGTATGGTGGGTGACCACATGCGAATCCCTGCTGTTGTATGTTTTTGTTTTCGCTTCATTCTTTTCGCTTATAAAACTGACTGCCAGGTCCGACCGAGAGCGAAACGAGTGCCGGGGAATTGGTATATCTATCGTGTGGTCGTCAAGGGTTTGTGGAAGATTCCCATATGAGCCCCTGGGCCAACTACGACCCTGTTGTTGTTGAGTAACCACATATTTACACTTTAAATTAGAAACTGGGCAGCGTTACCACTATAATGTATAGCAGGGGCGAAATTAACATGTGAATAGGATAGACTAGCGCTGGGTCGATAAGTAGTTGTAGAGAAGGTGAGTCGAGTATGAGATAAAGGTGAGTGTGAGCGGAATGAGGCGGGTCATGCCGGCAGCGACTGGATTAGCCAACGGATTCTCAGAAATATGAACAAAGACCACCTTGCTCAGTGATTAGATGACAATTCTTCGATTACGTATTATCCTGAAAGAAGTAACGGTTCATGGCGTGGTCTGAGCAAAACGATTTGCTTGGAGCACGACCAGTAAAGATGGTTCCCAAGCCGTGCCCTTGTATGAAGCCCAATCGAAACGCCTACGTGCCATATTGATAACCCATTCATCATAGAAAAAGGAGAGCAAAACGGTAGAGGAAGAACGTTCCCTTGAAAGGGACGATCTGGGGGAGAAATCCGTGATCTCTCCTAGGAGGCGCACTGCCAGCTTCAGTTTTTCTTCTGCCAGAGTCTCTCTTTAATAAATCTTCATATTAACAGACCAAGAACGAAATATTGCTGCTATTGCCAGAATACAGCATCATTACTTAGAATAAATTGACAAGTCGCCGGAAGAATCAGAATCAATAAACTTGGGCCAGGTATTTGTGAACACCAGGTTCTTGACAGACCTCTCGGCTTTGTCGAAAGCAGAGGCTGTGAAATCCAGAGGAACGATAACAGAATGTGGAAGACGGGGCTCGATATGCATAATGCTCTGGCTCTCTTGAGGATAGGCATCCAGACACAGAGCGTGAGTGTCTTCTTCCAAGGTTATCACAGTAGAAAACTTCTTTCTATGTGTAGGGACCATGTAACTTTCGGGGGAGATTCCTGTAAGTACGTATTCCATCCCCCCCTGGCACAGATTGGCCGATTAACTGGACAGCATCACCAAACATTTCCGTTAGATCCGAGTAAATCCGAGATTCAATGTTGATGGGAAATTTCGCGATTCTGAGATCGACACAGGCTGCATATATCTCAACCGCGATCTTGAAGAAATGAAGCCGGTGGTGCAGAGGATCGCGCTTCCAATCATATACCGGCTTTTGTTCATTGATCTCCGCCCAGGCAGCCTTCCAGTCGCGCACGTAATTTAGGAAGATGATATTCTCTCCGCTGAATTCCTTGGCCGCGGCAAATCGGAGAAGCGCGCTTGAGTCGTCTTCTAAGCACCTTTCCAGGGCCTTTCGAGAATACACTTCAGGCAGGCGGCTGACTTCACTTTGACTTCGCGGTGTTTCTGAATCCAATTCGTCCGTGTCGTCTGCTTTCTTTTCATACCATGCTTGGAGTTTCCCGAGGATACGATTCCTCTGCCTCATGGAGACGACAAGCTCATAACACGGAAGGAAGATAGTAACGGCCTCCATTGTCATAATACCGGGGGCGAACCTGCGAGAGTTATTAATTGAGTTGCTTGTATTTGATGACGAGCTTTCATTACCAGAGAGCCGGCACCCAGTATCTGTTTATATCTGCCCAGGTTTGGGATGGCGAGTATAGGGCGACGAGCCACATGGGCGAACCAGGTAAACTGTAGATCAGTCAGTATCGGGGCTTGGTGGTGGAGATGTCAAGGAATGTGGTAAAGTGCTCACGCAGCGATGACGCAGCAAGTGATCTGAAGCCGCCAGTGGTGTATGTCATAGATGTTGCGAATTCTCCATAGAATGTATGGCGAAAATATCCAAGACCAGAACAATTGCCAGAGAATCGAAGGAATCCTTGAATTTTCATGGTCAGACAAGGTCGACTAAATTATCATCCAGGGGGCTATCTTACCATTCAGGACCTCGCCGACATTCCCCAGGACTTACATGTTCGGAGAATGTGCCGAAGGTTTGAAATTTTCGGGAGGTGAGGAAGATAGAGAGTGACAGAAACAGCTAGAGATGAGAGATAAGTATGGCAAATATCAACAGCATTAGGGGCGTAAGATGCACTGACTTGAACCACCATCCCAGCCAAAATACCAAATTCGGTTCGCTGGACGAGATTCAATTGTCTCCATCGAGACAGGTAGCGGCCAGGAGATTTTGCACTGTCAATGAAATGGGGTTTGTAGGGCTGCTGTGCGGTGAGAAGCAGCTTCTCCTGGATGCCAAAGACACTCAGGAGCTGCATGCTGTTTGCTTGGAAAAGAGCGATTCCCAGAGGCAGATAAATGCTCATGATCCAATATTCCGCAGCACAGGGGTACTTGTCACCCATCGGATATGCGACCATGCACAGAATCCAGTAGACATGGAGACATGACACCGCGCCCAGGGAGAGAAGCAGGTTGCGAATGCGAATGCATTGTTCGTGGCGATTGACAATTAGAAAAGCGGAGCCGACGAGCAGGGAAAATGTCCAAATGATGGCCACAGATACATAGAATTTGGCTAAATTGTCGAAGGTAGGCGCGTTGCGGTCGTGTTGCCCAGGACGGGTGGACGCCATTATGGAGGGATTTTGAGACCAAGAAATGCCATCCAGAAGAACCTGGAGGCTTAACTTTAGGGGGTCTGATTCAGGAAAGGAGTGACTGGGTTGACGAGATGAGGTTCAACGCTCGGTCGAACGTGAAGAAGTTGGTGGGGATAGTACTAAGGAGTATCTCCAGAACTCGCACCCCCCCCCCCCCTCAGTCAGTGCACGCATAAGCGCCACAAAGAAGACAACCCAGTTAAATTTTGTCTTCCACAACGCCCAGGCACAAAAAACAAGGCCTTGTTCAAGGTTTCCACCTGCCGCAGCGTAAACTCTGTTGTTTGGCCAAGTGTACCAAGTGGCCAGGGGCGGGTGCCAGAGAAGGTTCGCTAGCGCTGGTGCGGGCGTCCTCCGTCCCGTCCGCCCCGTGTTAGTGTGTTTCATCAGGATTGCAAGACGCCAAGCTGGACTAGTCTAGAACTTCGCGGAAATATCGAGTGTCAAAGTTTCGAATTGCGGAGTCCGCAACGCGCTGCTGCCGCAAGAATACCCCATGACGCCCACCTACCTCCGAGTTGCGTGTGGAGGTAATTGACAAACTGAGTGCAACACTGTGAGTGAGTCCAACGGACAGGTTTTATTCATCGTCCGCCCATGCCTCCCGTCTGTGTGGTATGGTCATTCGCATACGAGTAAATTCGAACATCGCGCCGTAGCACGCTATATTCGTAGCGCGCCTCAAGGATCACTCCACGGATCCTGCTCAAGGCAAAAAGAGTCCAGTCAAGTCACTTGTACTGTTTGTATCGCCTAAGGTTTGATACGTACAGCAATGACATCTGGTCCGATTGGTCGAAGTGGATAAGTTAAGCCGGGTACGGATCCACGCGGGCCGTCAACTTTCCATAAAAGAGAAAAGTTTAGACGAACTAATAAAAATTGGGAATAGCGGGACACACTTGGGAAGTCAGGGGAAACAAGCGGGCAAATGTTGTCCAATAAAACCAGATTGCAGCGGCATGTCTCGCTCATCTCAAGTGCAGTTCCTTGCTGTCGCGGTGGCGCCCCTGGTGCTTTTGTATCGGGGCGTTGGAAATCGGCGGTACAGCAAGAATGTGGAAGCTCGTTGATAAGTGGTCTCGTCAGTTGATTCTGGAAGGATCATGTACTCGTATTTTCATTCTCTGGCTCTAACTTTAAGAGTCGAAGATCGGTCCAAAGGCAGGAACTCCACTTTCCTTGAGTTCAAAAACTACCTTTCTCGTGAGCCGCGGGTTGCTGATCACACACACAGCCTCCGCATCAAATTCCCGGACGAGTTCTTGGACAATCGGCACCATATCCACTCTTCCACTGTTACCGGTGTCAATGAGAAGAGGGTCGGCGTCCAGCTGGTGCACTAGGCTGAGAACATCACGGCCGTACGTCCTGTTCGGATTCCGCGTCTGCCAGAGGACTCGCAGTTGTGGCCGATTCTTCTCGCTCAAAAACGAAAGACATGGCCCTATACCAGATCCCGTGGCAACCACCACTACCCTCCGGAAAACTCGCATCACGTGGATAAAGCCGTACATAAGCACTCCGCGCTTCCACATATGGGTCGGTTGCTGATCGATACACCGCGTTGTCCAATCGCCTGCCTTGGATACTATGCAAGAAAAGCTCTTGCCCTCGGGATCGGGGAAAGTCGCAAAGCTGTGCCAATCCTTGAGCGGATGCTTGGAGAGCGCTATTACTTTGCCGAAGTTCGTAGATGTGTGATCGAGATGTAGTCGGATAGCATGCGGTGAGAGATACTCGGGTTCGATCTTCACCCAGCGGAGAAGTAGCCAGGGATGGACGATGGTCGCGATAATGACCAGGACAAACCAAAACGCTGGGAGCTCGATCAGATATTGTCCAAGGGACACGCCTTGCGCATGTCGGGCCAGATCAGACATGACCAGCAGGAGAGTCAGGAAAAGAGCCACCGCCAACCAAGCGGAGAATCGGTGTATGAGTTCGAAATAGTCATGTCTTTTCGCCCGGAAGGTAGGGTGTGCAACCACAATTATGGCGACGAGAACGACAAGCAAAACATAGGATAGAACAATCACGGGGATTGAAATCGTCACCGAGTGATTAACCCAATAATCCCATGATATAAGAGCCACGAGGCCGGTATACCATAAGAAGGATGCCACACCGCATCCGCTGTGAACTCCACCATAGTGATATGCTTCAGCAGCCCTTTTGCGCAGCCAGAGAGGAGCTGACTGCGAGATGCGGCAGAAGCTCAGAAAGATGGCATTCACCACTAGTGGGTGTCGTGCAAGACCGCAGACTAGCAAATTGATGGCCGCTGCGTTGACGAATGCAAGAAGTTTCTCTCGGCTCTCCACCATAATAATAACGAATGCGATGGCATTGGCGCAATAAACCAGCGAAAACAAGCGGCGGTAGATGGTGAGAATGAGATACCGGATTGAGGCAACACTCAGTCGTGGGTCACGTTGAGCCTCGATATCCGCATTAGCAGAAAACCTCTTCCAATTCCAGGTGCTGTCTTTGCTAAATAATGTATCGACTGATGTTGCAAAACTCGGCTTGCTCGAATGTGCGAGGGGGGGGTCTTTGGGGAGAAGACACCATCCTGGTTATCGTGCCGCAACTAAGGGCAGCGGAGATATGGATTTGATATAAAGGATAATGTGCAGGGAGCAGCGAATTCAGTTATTAATAGCTCTAAAGAGGCCAGGGAACTTTCTTGCGGGTTCAATGGGAGGCCAACATGTTTGTCACCCAACAACCCTTGTAGTTTATTATGGTAAGATAACCACGTTATACGATGTGGAGATTTACGGGTCACCCTAGCCGCTTCGGCCTTGCCGCGCATGTGGTGGGATGAAGCCAGTCTCTGCCCAGAGTGCCTAATTCCCACTAGATCCTTCGTTTGGGGATCGGTGGGAACTCCCTCCGTCAAAAGCGGAATCGAGCCCTGAGTGCTCCGTAGTTCAAGGACCATCTCTCCAATCGCAGAATATCCTTATGCACTAGTACCGAGACAGCCAATTGAGATGACTGATCGAAGAACTATGCATGACACCGCGGTTTAGAGCGTCTCCACTGGGGCGAGGTTTGCCATGCCATGCCACGGTGTTCCGAAGTAACCCGGTTTACCATACTCCCTCCAGGCTACGTACAAAGCCAGAGTTATGAAGGATTGCATGGACGCTGGATCAGCTGAATTTGTTATAGGTGCAGTGATATGTGTACATATATTAAGGGAAGATATCGTTCCCTGATCGCAGTGAGGCTCTTGCAACTCCGTACCCCCGAGCAAGATCTTTGAACGACGCACCAGGTACGGAGTACCCTTAAACCCACTATACCATCGTGCAGGACTAGTCTCTTTGTATTCAAGTTACGTGATTTATTTGGGAAAGTGAAACAGGGGAATCAGGAAAATCCTCAAATTGGTACTTTTGGCCAAACTCACCACCAATATTACTCAGGTCTCTGGTCTTAAGCGATTATCGGGCAATTCAACGAGACGCTTTCAGATCGCGCACCTTTAAAACATGATATAAAAGACGAGAGAATAGTATGTCTGTAGTAGAATCAACAGTATGGTATGGCATTATTTAGCCTTTCCTCCACATTCTCTAGCAATGACAATGCTATCGCACCATAAGCAACACCCGCCGAGACCGCTAATCTATATTAATATGTCGTTCATCGCGAATCTGGCCTCATATCCGATACTAGTAGTTGTGGCCCGATCCCCCTCTTCGCCTTCCGCTATGAGGGTGGATCAATCAGGCCACAACCATACGACACTGTGTATCAGAAGTCAATCATCTGGATATGATGAATCTTAGGACATTGGGCAAGTGATTCGTTCAATTTTGGCGCAATATTGTCTGTATCCCCAACCTGACTTGAGAATAATTGGATTTGGGGCCCCTGCGCATTCCTACGGAGTTAGTGACAATTAAGCTCTCAAGACTGCGTGATTAAAGAACGGGCAGATAACACTCCGAGCTCATGGCGGAGCGAGAAGCGTCAGAATTCGAGATCGGGTAGAATGCCAAGTCTTCCAAGATCGAAGGATAAAGAACGGGCAAAAATCACTCCAAGTCCCTCTAGTTGGACGAGCAAGCAGTCAGATGGAGGCGCCTCTGGGTCTGAGAGGGAAAGGAAGAAGAACAATTGCCGTGGAGACCCAGCAGGGAATCCAGGTCTCAGAAAAATATCTTATTACTATCTCTATAAATTACTTAGTAAATTTGTGTCTTGAGGTTCAACCCTGATATATCATAAATAGTTTGCAGGTTACTTAGACGGATACGGGTATTAAAGTGCCAGGGACCCGCAACCCACAACATACAGATTGCGGAGAGAGGGGTGGGGTGAGATTTTACACTAGTACCCGCGGATATTCCACAGTTTACTTAGTAGGATATAACTCAATCATACTATTTCTTTACCTAGAGATAGTTAAAGAGTCTTCAGGGAATAGGATCTTCATGTGTCAAATGCGTTCAATACCCACTCTTTCAAGTTTTCTTTTTATGGCAATACCTCACAGGATGTTACCTTTTTGTAGATATTATTAATATCAATCAAGAGATAGTCAATCTGTCTAATCTTCATACTAATACCCTGCCTACTAAAATGGTGGCGAAGTGGGGATCAATAGCAGCAGCAAGGTAAATATGGGCCGGCGAGTAAGAACGAAAACTGTCCATTGTCGCTTAAGCACATTAAAGTACCTCATGTATTCTTTCCATGTCAAAATCAGCCCTTCACTTAAGGGCTGAAGGCGGTGCCCACTAGGGCGGCACGTTGCCGAGTCCATACTCGTGGGCGCTAAGCGACCACCAACATATAATATCTATTGTATGTTTTTCTTTTCTCTTTTCTGTTCTGCTTTTTGTCATTTTTATTTCTTATCGACATATGTCAATTCAAGCTCGATCGGATATGTTACTCCCTTATTCCGAGTTCCATCCGGATATCCATCCCGAGGGCAGAATACTCGGACTCGGTCGTTGACAAGCGCCGAGGCCTACCAGAAAGCTTCACCGTGCCAATATGTGGAGTGGTTTTAGTCTTCTTCCATGCTAAGCTTTAGAAATATTCGACCCGCGAGGATTCAGTTCATTTGGTCTATGACGTCCAAATTGCCTAAAATGCTCGGCGTTTTATAGATGTGGAGCCCAGAACCACTCGAATTGCTTGATGGCGGTAACATTAGCAAATACACATATAGGGATCTAGATGTCCGGGTGAGCGTAGAAACAGACTCTTTCTAAATTTCTTCCCACCTACCGCAAGAATCCTACCTTAAATTCACGATGGCATCGAATTCCAGCTCAGACGTGGGGACCATCAACACTCCCGGCCCCGGCACTCACTATCTCCGCCCGGAACTGAAAGACTTGAAAATCATCGGAGTAGAGGAACATGTTGTTTTCCCTCATTTGACAGCACGAATCCCCGACACGGGCCTGGCAGAGCATGCAAAACACATCTTCAGCCAACTTGTCGGCCACGAGGCCATGCAGTATGCGCGTGGCCGTTCCACCGAAACCGGAGCCCAACGACTTCACGACATGAACGAAGGCGGTATAGCAATGCAGATACTCAGTCTGGCTGGGCCCGTCAATTGCATGCAGATGGAGCCTGAATCCGGACTTGCTCTGGCGCAGGACATCAACAACGAGTTGAAAAAGGCCGTCGATGCGGACCCCGACCGATTCAAAGCTCTTGCAGATCTACCTTTTCATGCGCCAAAGCTAGCAATCGATGAGCTTCGCCGCTGCGTGCAAGATCTGGGCTTTGTCGGAGCCATGATGGCCGGTTCGGTCGGTTGTACTGGCAAGTTCCTCGATGACCTGGAGTTCGACGACCTTTTATCGGAATTCGAAGCCCTCGACGTGCCTCTTTATCTTCACCCCGGAATCGCCCCGCCGGCAGTCATTGATACGTACTACACGTTTCCAGGAAAGCCCAAATTGTCAGCGACGTTGGCGGGGATGGGATGGGGCTGGCATAATGAAGTTGCTATCCATGTCCTCCGGCTCGCTGTATCTGGAACTTTGGACCGACATCCAAAACTGAAGGTTGTGGTCGGGCATCAGGGTGAGATGTTGCCGATGATGATGCAGCGTTTTGATGCGATGTTCGATGAGAAGATTTTCTCATTAAAGAGGAGCGTTGGGGAGGCTTTGCGTAGTCAAGTGTGGCTAGCGATTTCTGGTCTATTTTCGTTGCCGCCTACCCAGATCGCGATTCAAACCTGGGGAGTTGATCGAATTCTCTTTGCCAATGATTATCCTTACATTGAGTCACAGAGAGTTCCGGAATTCATTCGGGCGTTGGGGGATATGGTTGGTCCCTCGGACATTCGCAAGATCTGCCAGACAAATGCTGAAGGGCTATTCAAGTTTCGGGCATAAGGTGGAATGAAAGGCAATTCATACTTTCCTTTCTTTTTTTTGCATCATTTACCTCATCAGGAAACATAATTTACTTAAATAAAGTAACTTGAATAAAATAACTTAAATAAAGTGATTAATCAACCTTATTGCGACCTCGTGAAGCTTGGACATCTGATAAAAGCTTGAGGCTAGCTAGCCACTCAACGAAGATCGCCTGTGAAATATTTCGTCAGAGCAAGTATTATCCAGATGTGTTTCCGCGATCTCCAGTAAATATTTCAGTGTTGGACATACTAGCAATTATGATTGCAAATAAATTATTTGATTTTATTAGATACAAAATCCCCACACCATGCGTTCGTTATAAGTTGTACGGGCTGGATTTGGTACTGCCATATTTCCGGCTTACTCGGATGTGCCGAGTGGAATCAAATAGGCCGAACATTTTGGGAAGTCGGTACAGTAAATGTCCGATTTGCCCGACACTCCCGAGAGTGACCAGGAATTTTGGAGATTTGTTATATTAATACCCCCAAAAGCCACACCAAAAATACATTTACGTTCATCGACAAGAAAATGACTTCCAGTATGGAAAAGCTTGCCACAGAGCAACAAATAAAGTCGCTTCTCATCCGCGAGCGATACTATCGCGACACCTGCCAGTGGGAGAAATTGCGTGGCAGTTACCACCCAGACGCTTCTCAGACACACATTGAAATCTCATGGTGAGCGTCTAATAAATATTTCCGACCAACGTGAATGTACCTAATACGCAACAGGTTTCAGGGCGATATTGATGGATTTGTGGCCGGCTCGGAGGGCATGACGACGGGTGGCACGGGTGCAGTTCATACGATCTGTCCCGTGGAAGTACATGTAAATGGGAACAAGGCCCTGTCGGAGTCAACAGGATCCATATCCATTCGGTTCAGGCTCAATGGGATAGAGTATGACTGTGTGTCCTTGACTCGCTTCATCTCCCGTCTGGAATATGTTGACTCGGAGTGGAAGTTGTTGACTCTGGAGGCAATTTATGATCGAGACTATATCACCCCGACAGTTCCAGTCTCAGTCTCTGCAGAAATTCCTTTGCCGAAAGAGGGGAGAGCCAGCTATAAGTGTATTTCCTGGCTTCTGTCGCAGAAGGGCTTCAAGATCAAGCAGGATCTCCCCGGTGTTGATGATCCTGCCAGTTGTACCAAATTGATGGAGGAAAGCCTGGCTTGGTTGCATTGAGTCAAGCATGCATGGAATTCATAGCAGAAAACCAAGTCAACATATTTTCAATTTAAATTTCGGGCGTTTCGACTGTGGCGCCCTATTCAAATACGAAAAAACCCCACAGCTTAGTAAGTGACGTTTCCAATCGACACTTTACAATTTAATGGCTGAATTTCCAGCTGCGAAAGGGTAGTGAATTGTGAGGCAGACTAATTATTCCCACAGTACGGCCCGCTCAAATCGTCTGGACCTGCGGTGCCTATGTGACTCATCTTACGTTTCACTGAAGTTATCTACTCTCACAATGCGCCAGATCTCGCACTCATCTCTAATTATGCGCAAATCCCTGAGCTATGATTACTCGTGAAATTCACTGATTTAAAACCTAGCAATTTCTCGCGAGTCTGCCGAGGATATTATGATGTCTACAGATTATTTCGAAAGAGAACACGTTTTTGTGTACGGAACATTAATGGACCAAAAGACACTTTCTGATGTCTTAGGATTATTAAATCGACCCCCCCCCCGTTATGCGACATGCTAGAGTTGTGGGATATGAAACTAGGCTTTGGGGTCCCTACCCTGCCCTTGTTAATGGAAAATCGCTTGTTCCAGTTTATGGTATGGTGTGCAGAAACAGATCGCGAATACACTTCGATCGACTCATAAAGTATGAGACAGATCAATACCAGCTTCGGCCTTGCCATATTGAACTCCTCGACGACAATCATCATGTTAAGAAAACCGTGGGTGGTGTCACTTTCATATGGAATGGAGAACAAGATGAACTACGGGAAGGGAAATTTGACTTGAAACAATGGAAAAGGGAGAAGATGTTACGAGATCTAGGGATGAAGTCGGCCTGCGACAAAAGGTTTCATTGAGTCCTCCAGCTTATGGGAATGATTTTCCGTAAATCTGGAAGCAGTTGGCAGATCGTCGTAAACCTTCTTTCTCGCGTGAAATCTAATCGAGATCTATCTGGATCTACAGCAGATCAAAAAGCTAGTAGCATGGAAGAAGTCAAAACGACAACGCGCACCATGCCAAAGAAATATCCGATTGATGGCAAGTCTCGAAGAAAAGAAAAGTCAAACTTCGAAGGGTGACGTGCATCGTCTGCTTCCTTGTACTGGCACTGTTACTTCCCCGCCTAAGCATCTGATCCGGCCCAGCTCCGAGGTCCGCCAATTTCTGACGGGTCTAGACGTCGTCAGCAACAGTCCAATCGGCCTTACCCAAGATCAGATGCCCGGATACCACTGGACAACGGTTTCGTCGAAGCGAGCTGCACCAAGGAAACCGGTCAGCGTTGGAGATCGACGGCCAAGAGGGGTCAAGCATTGAATATATGCTGCTGACCCCAGGGTTTACCCACTGGCACCAGAATACTAGTCTGTCCACTGCCAATTTCAAGTTTTCTATCTCGAGGCTCAGGATATACTACATCTTCCAATTTGAAGGTGATATCCGCTACAATGAAATTCACGACAGCGCTTCTCTGCCTCGCAGCAACGGCCTGGGGCGCTGAACCCCAACGACGAGATGCCACAACGGAGAGCGGCTACAATGTTGCTTCTTTATCGAGCCAACTGTGAGACCTCAAATTCATCCACAACATGGAACTAATGAAGTTTTGCTTATTGCCTTTCCTTCCAGCGAGCACCTCACCGCAAACGCAACCAGCGGCGCAAATTTCGCCAACATCTCCCCGCCTCCTAAATCGCTCATCGGCGAGATCATCTCAGCTGTCCCGATGACAGTCCTGTGGGAATTGATTGATCAGGAATCCCGCCGTTCGCTGGCTAGCGAGTTCAGTGCCGGCACGACTCCAGCCTGGTATAGCAGTCTTCCGTCCGATGTGAAAAGCTACATGTCGGTCGTGCGATCGCAAGTCAAGGCGGGGGTTCTTACACAGACGCCCACACCTACGGCCACGGGCACAGCGACAGGCTCGCAGACCGGGACGGGTACGGCGACGGCGACGGGATCGAGTTCAACTTCGAGTGGGTTGGCGGCGCAGCCTACTGCAATCACGGCGGTGGTCGGGGCGCTGGGTGTTCTCGGCTTGGCCCTAGCACTGTAGCTGCAAAGTAGTGCGATGCAGTGCAGTGCAGTGCAGTAGCGTGGTGGGGCCAGCACGAATTCACATTTGAGGCTTTTGTTACTCAATTTTCTTGGTTGATAAAGAACTCTTTACTACAGACTTGATTTCCGGGCAGTTTCAGTTTCAGTGTTAGTACAGCTGGAAATTGAGATAGTGATGATAGTTTCAAATAGACGATGCGATGAGACATGACATCAAGACTTGGATACTCTGTAGCTACTCGTATGCCTCTCTCATCCTCAAAAATGCCCTAAAGCGTGGTTCATGTTCCTGTTTGTTCCACGGGCCCTGCATTTGTGGCGCTCCACTTCCCCTCATTTTTCAGCCTCGGTTTGAGTCTACTCGAAGTTGTACGAAATACGGCCCCGGATTCTGCTCCACGGAGTGTACTCATTCACCGAATCTCATGCCATTCAATTCCTTTGACAACCGAATAGATTAAATGCGGGATCTTGATTGTGATATGTAGTATCAGTAATTCTCAGCTCCACCCTAATACCATTGACCAAATCTGCACTCACCACGAAGATCGCTACTCAAGACGACCCGAGCTCCGGTGTCACATGGGGCTGGTCGGTCCGAGGGGAGCCCCCATGAACCACTCAGGGCGCCCAACGCCACTTACTTTCTCCACATCATCATTGGAAGTGGCCCTGGAGAGCTGATCTTGTCCCCTTTCAACGCTATCTGGGGTGAGACCGTGGGATGCGGGGATCGCCTGTCGCCTTCCAGGATTTCTCTCTCCGCCGGGATTAGGTAGGTCATAGAGAGAGGCATCACATACTCCGTACCGTCTTCTCGCCTCGTCTCTCCTCTCGTCCCAATCTCACTCTCACATGGAAGAGCTTCACCACGGAAACTTACCTTACTAGCAATGATCGACCTCGGCGAGACATTGGGTTTCCGCGATCGTGCATCGCCCACGCCAATCCTGTGATCCGGCCCATCGCATTGGGCGGAGCCTCGGGGCTTTTTTTCGATTTTCAAGCCAGTCATGGGTGGATTCCGCCATTTCGGTTGGCTCTTTGTTGGATCGCTAACGTCTCACGAATCTGATCTCGCCCCGAGCGTTGGCGTTGTAGTAGCTGGAGTTCCAAGGTCTAGATGCCGCGGGGTGGCTTGTCTTAGTTCAAAGTCTTCCCTCGTGTAGTGCTTCTGATGCTCCAACTCGCTTATATGGGCGGGGGGACGGGCAGAGTGCAGTAGCTAGTAGACTTGCTTCTTTTTTATCTTTTATTTTTGTATATCATCAAATCCATTCTCTTCTCTTCTTCCATTCTTCGCCGTGCAACTTCGGGATCAACATTCACCATGCGTCTCACCACTTTCCTCCTTCCTCTCGCCGCTGCTCCACTGGCCATCGGAGCTCCAGAGCCCAATCCTGTTGCTCCTCGCGCACCCGCCTCCACTGGTGGTCTTCTCTCGGAGTTGCCAGGAATTCTAGATGGTGTGCAAGATTTGCTGAGCAAGGATACCATCAACAACCTCGAGATCATCGTTAGCGGTGCTGCTAAGCTGCTTGCATCCGACAACATCGATGTCCTACAGGATATTCTGACCAACGCCCACTCCCTTCTCACAAAGGAGTTTGTGGATAACACAACGACTTTGATCGGCGATGCTACTCCGGTGGGTACCCCTCAACGTAATGCTGATCTTCATGTCCGGAGTCATACTGACGAATGTTCTTTTTCTTTTCTAGCTTGTGGAGGATGTGTCGAAACTGCTGGGTGGAGTGCTGGGAACACTATAGAGCATGAGATGAATTTTTTACTACTAGTAGCCTAGTACATATCATGATGGTAAACGAATTCAACGAGGGATAAATATATGCAATTTTTCCTTATAACAAAAGAAAACCCTCATCCACGTGTCAAGGCACAGAGCGTATCTCATAGCATAGCATGGGTATATACAAAAAAACATTATAGTAGATCGACCGCAACAAGAAGTATCCTAAATCGCCCTTCTCTCTCCTCAAACAACATTCAACTTACCGCGCAGCTTATCCTGATAATACCGCAGCGGATATCCACGCCATTTATTCGGCATAGCCGGGTAAACAGCGACAGAGAACCCCATCCAAGTTCGGTAGAGGGTACGAGTACTGGCGGTAGACTTAAGACCATAAGAATCCCGCAGATTGGGCGGGAGCATCTCGATAGTAACGGCGCGAAGGAACGGCTTCATATTCTGCACCCACTTAGGCATATCGGTAGACTCGCGCAGATCCTTCGCAAATTGCGCGGCATCAGTGGAGACAGTCAACTTGCCAACTTGATCATCCCAATAAGACCAGAAAGTCTGGCGAGTCTCGGGCCAAGTACCCGCAGGCACGCCCATGCAGTTCATAAGCAAGCCGAACTCGCTATAGGCGCGCTGGGCAGTCTGAAAGTCGACTCTGCCGTAGACGCGCTGGTAGAAATCGGTCGCGGTGGCGTAGAGGGTTGCGGCCATCCATTTCTGCAGTGCTGGGTGGTGGGCGAAGCGGTTGTTGCGACCGCCGCCGAGACCGGGGGCTTCTTCGCGTTGGAGCATTTCCAGGAGGATTTTGCGCTCATCGCGTGTGCCGAAGACGAATGTGGAGATGTAGCCTAGATGGGCTTGTAGAGCGTCGAGGAGCTCTGTAGCGAGTGTTTTCGGGTTGCTGTTGTCATTTTCAACTTCGCGGATGGCGGGTAGTGCTGCTTGGAGTAGCAGAGCAGCGCCTGATCCGGCAAAGAGGATGCCCTCTTGGAGCATCTGAGGAAGAATTTCTAGCTGCTCTAGGGCATGCAGACGACCAGAGCCGCTAGCGACGGGGACATCGTGGTCGTGTGAGACATCGGGCTTTTCATCCAAGGGGGATGGGGAGAAGAAGTGGACGACATAGTGGATGGGATGAGATGGGATAGGAAGAAGTACAAGCACAAGTGAGGATGAAAATAATCAAATCCAGAGAATCCTCAAAGACCAACCTTTCAGTCCGGGGAAGAAAAGCTTGGGATTAAATCCAGACTGAAGGTTGTCCCCCCCGCAAATCCACCGTGCATCATCCACCTTTCCTCCACTTCCAACAACCACAAAACTCTCTCGGATTTGTGACCTACATGGATCACCGACCCATGTGAACTGCCCCTATTTCATCGCATGTCAGCCGCGGTTCGTAGGAGATCGCCATCTCCTGCGCTGATCCCTGCTATGTTCGTGCGCCACCAGCTCCAGTCCAGCTCGTGGATCTTGGCCAAGAAGAGCAACGTTGCTCCGAACGAACCCCACTGTCCCACTCCGCCCAGGGGCTTTTATTTTTTTTGGTTCTCTTTCCCCGATATTTCGGCTCGAGCTCGTCATGGAATATCCTATCGTATCCTACTCGTATGTGGATGTGGGCTTATTTCGCTTGCCCGATCATTCGGTAGCAGTTGCAAGCGAGAACCAAAGGGTCACATCCTCCCCCGGACTGATAATTTCCCCCGGATGAAAAGACTTGACCCCATCCTCCCCCGAGAAAATACTAATATAGTCGCGGGAGGTCCCGGTCCCCATTCTCTCTTGTCTTGGTCTTCCTTTTCCCGTTGCGTGGTCGCGTTTACTTCGTACGACCCCTTCTCTCCTCACCGTCTTCCCTCCTCAATTCCATCATGGGCAAGACTGAAGGTGATCGGCCAGCTTATTTGAGCTCCGATGACGCCAAATATTCCCTCGGTGTTCATCGAGGACCCTTACCCCCCGCAGGTTTGGATGATACAGCAAAACTTGAGCAGGTCGAGTCCGCCGGTGGCTTGTCGCTGGCCACCACGCGCACGCGCAGAGAGCGTCTGTCACGCCATTGGAAGCGATTCTGGTGCTGTTATCTTATTGGAAATGTGATCTTCCTCGCCATTTTCCTGCCAGTCTTGTAAGTTATACTCCAGATTATAAACCGGGTCTATGAGATGACTCTGCCACATTAAACACGTCAATTGCGCTTTCTACTCTTCCTGGTCATGATAACTGACTATCCCAGCTTCCTTGTCGCGATCCCCGCCATCTCTCAACTTGTCGTCAACAAGTCCGACCTCGTGCTAGTCAAGGCGTCCGTCCTGAACCCGCAGCCGGACTCCATCCAGTTAACTCTGCAATCGGCGTTGAATTTGAAAATCGCCTTGCCGGTTCGCATTGAGCCTATTAACTTGGATCTTTTTGTGCGCGACGATGGCGCCGATAAGCCATGGACCAATGTCACTATTCCAGGCATGACTATCAAGGGCAACACCACCTTAGGCGTGGAGGATGTGCACCGTCCACTCATCAACCAGGACACTTGGGTTGACTACGTTCACTCTGTTGTGTTTAACAAGGAATCGACCTTATCTCTCAAGGGCACGACCAATTCCTATCTGGGAGTGCTGAAGTCGAAAGTCACCATGGACAAGGACGTGACTTCACCGAGTAAGTCTATGCAGCGCACCTCCAATTGGCCATTCCACTAACCTTATTTATATAGCCCTTGATTCCTTCAAAGGGTTTGCACTGACGGACAGCCAGCTGGTCCTCCCAGCCGAAGCCGATGGCACTAACCTCAAAGGAAATGCCTCACTTCCCAACCCATCAGTGTTGACCCTCGACATCGGCACCCTGGTCCTGGATATCTACAGCGGCGACCTGCTCCTCGGCAACGCTACCCTAGAAGACGTCACTCTGTACCCAGGAGCCAACACATTCCCCGTCAAAGCCCAACTCGACCTAACAACCGCCATCACCCACCTGAAAGAACTACTAGCGGACCAAGGCGCATCACTTCTGTCCAACGGAAGTCTCTCCCTCAAGACCGTCACGCGCACAGTGACATGGAAAGGCACCCGAGTCCCCTACTACACGAAAGTGATGTCCGAACTCCCGCTGATGGCGAACGTGCCTCTCCTCGATACCTTGAAGAACACCATCCACGGCTTAATCGGCAGCAACGGCAAGCTGAACCTGACCGGAATCCTGAATGCCAATTCTAGCAGTGGCTCTGGCTTGTTTTCGACCTTGAAAGAAGAGTTCGAGGATAAGAAGAAGGAGAAGCGCGATCTTCTGGCTGAGGCGCTGAAGGAGAATCTTCATGTTCGTAATCTGTTCGGTGATGAACATCCCGTTAAGCGGGATTTGATGATCGATGCCATGGCTGGAATGTATATGAAGGCATAGGCGGATGTGATGCGATGCGATGCGATGCGATGCTAACGCCAACGCCAACGGAACGGTCGTACCCCTTACTTTAATACCGGGACGCACCTGACGCCGACACGACACGATTGTGATTGCGACATTTGATTGATTCTGATTCTGATTTTCGATTCCCCGGGTGGTGGTTCTCTTGTTTTGTTTTGAAACTTCCTTCTTCCTCACGGATGATGGATATGGAGTTACGGATTTCTTTTTTCTTGTATATTTGTTCATACATGGCCTGGCCTGGCATTGCCTCGTCTCGCCAAACTGACTCGACGGATAGAACCTAGACCACGACTTCGCAGTCGTGTAGATTAGAGGTTGAGTCGGTTTACTAGAAACTATATCTAGAATAATACATAAACTTACGATAGAAATGGTGTCTGAAATTCTTCCACTAGGTAGAAGTATATTTAGATCTACCTAGAAGAACTAGTAGAAATTCCTCCGGGGCCGTTGGTCAAATTCAAGCTCGATTTAAGCTTAAGCTCAAAAGGATGACACTAGTGTCTGGGTCTGTTTCATCTTATGCAGGGGCTTGCTCACACTCGCTCCACCTTCGTGCCCGGACCAGGGTCACAGGTGTGACACCTCAGGTGGGCATTGTATGGTCGGATAGCTACTGACGGCTGTTTCGGTCTCAGTTGCGTGGGTTTAGTTCAAGTTTGCTCTGGTTGGAATTGAAACTGTTTGAGCTAGCAGTACTTCGAGTACTACTACTTAGTCCATCCCTGTACGGTATATGTATATCATATTCGAATATGGCTTGTCAGTCCGATGGTTGCCCGAATTGAAACTTGCTCAGATGAACCTTGGAACTTGAAAGAAATTCGGAGATTCTATCCAACTCGACTGCGGCCCAATTATTGAAGCGGCGAATTCACTGGCAACTGTGCGCCAAGAATGTACCTTTTTCACGCGTGACATGGCAATTTTTGATTTGCCAATTGCTTCAAGGCTATACTACTACATGCAACCCTATGCAAAGTACAGAGACGGGAAAGAATTACATTAAAAAGGAAGATATCTTCGGAGTATCTTCGGAGTATGTAGTATGTATTGATTTGAGGAGTTATAGTTAGGCTAGGTGTAGGCCAGGTGGTTGTGTAGGTTTATAGGTTACCAGTATTACTATGCAATGCACGTTCTACGTTCATCGCAGCCAATATCCACGACCAATAGCCTGATAAAGAGGTCTTGCCTCCCGTATAAGCGAGCCACTAGAAGAAGGCCCAGGAGCAGGGATATCGACTGGAAAAATGTCACCGACAACCGGCGCCTTCAACGAGCGCAGAGATGGAAGGTTAGGAAATCGGATCTTAGGATCAAAACTGATCAGAACCAAAGCCTTGTTACCGAGCGGCAGACCCGGAGAAGAGATTGAATATAGAAGGGAGCGCTCATCGGAAATAGCATGTACGGATCCAGCGCGTGTGTCGGGACAAAGAAGGTGGGTGAGTTCACTCGGTGAATCCTCCGCTGGCCAAAGGTGGACGCCACGACAGGAAAATTGCTCTTCTGACCCTTCGACTGGTCGGCCGTCTGCTTCGGTCTGGGTGTGTTTGAATAAGAGGCCGGTTCCTTCTTCGTCGACGGGACATTTGCGTTTGCGTGAGACTGTTCGTAGTCGAATTCGGTCGCGGGATCGAAGTCCGTCTGCCTCCGGGGCGGGATCGTTGACTAGATCTATGAATGTTGCCGCGGAGAGGTGATAACTGCGGTGCTTAGTGCGTGCGGCGATGAATTCTTGTCGGTTGTTTTGGTCATGCGTGTGCTCGTATTCGGCGTGGTAGTTGCGGCGCAGCCGCTTTTCGGGTCGCTGGTCAAATGTTTGGCCATGCGTGTCGTGATCTGAGATATTTTTGAGATTGTCATTCTCGGTCTCGGTCTCGTTCTCGTCTTCATCTTCGTCTTCATTATCATTCACCCATGGTGAACGTCTCAAGTCTTCCTCGGCTGCCTCTTCCGGCGTAGGGAGAGGTTGGATATAGGTTGTCCGGTGATTCTCGCTCTTGCCGTGACGCCATTCTCGGCGACATTCGATAATGACTGGATTACCGGTCTCCTCATCGGTGCGGATAGATAAGTCCGTCCACATCTCGTTGATAGGACCCTCGCGGTGTTCACGGCGCCATACGCGATCATTCCACTTGTAACCCTTTTGTCGCGGAGCGTGACAGAACCAATGATAGAAAGAAGAGAAGCGCTCGTCATCATTTGACGCGACTTGGGTCGAGACAGCGTATAGATGCTCCTTATACATCTCGAAGCACAATGTCTGGCCTAGATCACCATCAACTACGCGGTCCAATGGAAATTCAATCGTGTCCAGTGTAGCAAAATCCACACCACAGACCGACCAGACGCCATCAGAATTAGCGGCAGAGGCGGTAAAACAGCCATACCACAAATACGAGCGACTATTTCGCACGAAGATGGGCACATCAGACGGTACAACCGCGTGGAGAAGTAAGCGTCTCCGCCTGGAAAGGCCGGGACGGCTTTCCATGTCAATAGCTAGTAAGGCATCTCCCAATGCATCATCATTAATCACACGTAAGACGACGATACCGTCATGATAGTGGATAAGTTTGACCCGCTCGGCAGCATCCCTGTCCACCGGGCTAGATTCCAAGCGACGAAGGACATCGTGGAGATTAAGGACACGTTCACGCTGGGCAACCCGATGAACGTCCAGCAGACGAATTTCCTGCCCGACCCGATAACAAAGCACGCCCTGTTGATAAAGAAAATCGGAACCATAGGCCAAGACAGAAACGGAGTAAGGGGTGGCCGTGGCGACCGCCTCGTTGATGTCAAAGCGATGGGAGACAGCCTTGCGATAACCAGCCTGGGCCTGCAAGGCTATGGAGCCTTCCTTGCTATGTCGTAGGACATTCTGCCGATCTTAGTTAGCTTTTGGCCAAGCCATGCATCGGTTTGGCCCCCTTTAGGTGGGGGGCAAAGGTAAAGAGGGGAGAGGTGAGGCTTAGCCCGGCTGGCTTACCTCGACGGTTTTCCTCGCGATAAGTTCGCTTTGCATGGAATCATGGATGATACGATTGGTACGGCTGAGATGAATATAATCACGGTCGTCCAGCGAGGTTGCGATTTGGTAGAAGACATCAAAAGGGAGGTTATCCAGCCGCGGTGGCGGCATGGCGGGAGAGAAGGGGGCGCAGTATTAACAGCGCATAATGGGGGGGAGGCGGTGCAAGTATAACGGAGAGGAAGGGTAGAAGGGCAGAAGAGGGGGATAGAATAGAATAGTATGAAAGGGTGGGATTGAAGAGCAGAAAGAAGGAGTGGAGGGGGACTTTAACTGGGGGAGTAGAAGGGGAGGTGTAGAAGAGCCGCACACCGTAAGACTGGGAGTAGTCACGGAGTACTCTTCCCTCGCATCTTGAGCCTCACGCCCTTCCCACTTCCCACTTTTACACTTCCCTCCACACAGCCCCCTTGCCCTCGCCGCACTACGTACACGATTTTCCTCTTCTCGAAAGTCACGCCATCGATGCCATCAGTGGATCCCCTCGTATCGCCCAGAAGGCTAAAATGAGGCTCTTTTGCTTTTGTTGGGCCCCTTCCAGTGCTTCCTTGAAGCCTGACTGGACTGGCTATGGCATCCATCATCCCCCCGGCTGACCCTCGCTTTGACATTTCGAATTTGATCGGCTCGAAATTCCGAATTCCACAGATCTGAAATTTCACCTATCAAAAATCACTCAACTCGAAACTGTTGAGCCGCATCGGTGACTAGGAGGGTGACGCTTACACTAGGCATGGTAGTTGAGTAGCGTCACCCTCTTTCGGACTACATTGAGGCTCTGCCCCGCCGATCGCCGCTGCAGAACCTGAAGAGTCTCTCATTCCTGGTTTATTATTATCAGATGCATCATTTGTTCATCCTGATTTCCCCTCATCCCCTCATCCCCTCTTCTTCGTTGTCTCCCCCGATCTCGGCCCCCCGCATATATGGTCTCGGCTGACGTGGTACATACTCACACTCACACTGACACTGACACACTCACACACAATGACTGACTCGAGATTGCCACTCGGACAAGACAAGACTAACCCGAATGGACTCCACTAACTGAATACTAACTGTTTCCAGTCTACTCCGTACTCGGCACTCCGACCCCGACTCCGCCCTTGTTAACAGTGTTGCCTGCAGCCCTACGAGGACGCGGGATCCTCGGCGCATTTCCACGGTTCGCCTTCAGGGCGTCGCGGCTTTCCATTTTCATACCATTGGCTTTATTGACACTGGAATTAGCTTGCTTACTGCAATACCACTCTCTTTGACTCTTTCTTTTCTCCTCCTCTCTCTCCTCCTATCCTCTAAGAGTTCCCTCGGTCTACCGCCCACCACTGGACGCCTCGCCTCCCCCTTCAAAAACCGATCTGCACTGACCCACCTCAGCCAGCCCCCCCAAGGCTTCGAGAAAATTCATTCTCTCCTTCGATTCTTCTCTCACGAAAGAACTTCATATCTTTAATCTAGTCACTCTCATCTCTCTCATGTGGTATCAAAGTCAAGGACCGCCCCCTCCAGGCCCTCCGCCGCCCTGGAGCTATCAACAACCTCCTCCTTCGCAATGGTCCCCGCATCCCCCGCCTCAGCCCTACGGTGGTGGTCCGTACCAAGGACATCAGCGTCCTCATTCTTACTCTAACCCGCCTCCCCCTGTCCCAGGGGCCTATCCTCCAGGGCCATACGCTCATCACACTCCGTCCCCTCAGCCCTATGGACACAGTCCCTCACCACAGCCCCCTCAGCCTTATGGTCACGCTCCCTCACCGCAGCCTCCTCGGCCCTATGGACACCAATCCTATCCATCACAGCCTCATCTCGCTATACACCAACCTGGTAGAGACCACTCCCTTTATTCATCTTCCCCACCCAGAAGAACTCTCATCTGATTAGCTACTTCCAGGTGCCCCCCCGCGCAAACTCGCCGAACTTGCCGCCTCCGCCGCCGCAGACCCTGCAGCATTTCGGCCACGGGGCACCATCTAACTACCAGTTCCAGTACTCCGCATGTACCGGTCGCCGCCGGGCGCTACTGATCGGCATTAACTACTTCGGGCAGCCAAACGCGCTCAAGGGCTGCATCAACGATGTCAGCAACATGTCGACGTTCCTGCACGAGCGCTTTGGCTACCGCCGAGAAGATATGGTCATCCTCACCGACGACCAGAAGAATCCAATGAGTCTCCCGACCAAGGCGAACATCCTCCGGGCCATGCAGTGGCTCGTCCGCGACGCCCAGCCCCACGACTCCCTCTTCATCCACTTCTCCGGTCACGGTGGTCGCACTCCCGACTTGGATGGCGACGAGGACGATGGCTTCGATGACGTGATCTACCCACTTGACTACCGTACCACGGGGCACATCGTTGACGATGATATGCACGCCATCATGGTGCGACCGCTGCGTCCAGGTGTGCGTCTCACGGCGATCTTCGACTCATGCCATTCCGGTACTGCTCTGGACCTGCCATATGTTTATTCGACCCAGGGTATCCTGAAGGAGCCCAATCTGGCCAAGGAAGCTGCCCAGGATCTATTCAGCGCCATCGGCTCGTATGGACAGGGTGATCTATCCAGTGTTGCATCCACAGCGATCAACTTCTTCAAAAAGGCCGCGAATGGAGGACAAGCACGTGAGCGCACTCTTCAAACGAAGACTTCACCCGCCGACGTGGTGATGTTTTCCGGATCCAAGGATACGCAGACTTCGTAAGTAATCCTGTTGACTAAAGATATATTTAGTACAGCACACTGGCATTGTACATTGTACATTATGCACTGTACATCATGTAAGTGGCTGAGTGAGAGTGACTGACCAATGACAGGGCGGATACCTTCCAAGACGGCCAGGCGCGAGGCGCCTTGAGCTGGGCATTCATTAAATCGCTAAAGCAGTGGCCGCAGCAGAATTATTTGCAGCTGCTTAATACGATCCGGGCGGAGCTAGAGGGCAAATATACGCAAAAGCCGCAGCTGAGCTGCAGCCATCCCCTTGGTAAGTTGAAGTTGATGAACTGCCGTGCAACCGACGGGACTCGGGCTGACCGATCCGGCAGATACAAACCTGCGCTTTGTGATGTGAGATCTTGAAGTTCTCTACATTCCAGCATTAGCATTATCATTAGCCCTAGCACTAGCATTATCACCATTCAGCAGCATTGTAGTTTAGAAACGAGCGCCAACGAGCAACGATTCATGTTCAAAGTTCCTCTCCTTTCCTTCCAATTCCCTCCCCTCTCATCCATCCCCTCTCTCTCCATCGCGGGGATATCCACCTGTAATACCCGTAACACGCGATCCACCTCCTCCTCGGCCTGTGTGCAGCAAAGCAGAACTCTGGTTTGTCAGGCGCCCGGCCCCATCCCATCTTCCCCACCACGAACACTGGGACTGGGAGACTGGAAGTTCAGCGCTCGGAGGATCCCAAGACATCGGCATTGAAGGGCCAAGAGGGGGCCACCAGACATACACCCCCTGGTGATCCTATGGTACCTACCCGTGATCCGTCCTGTACTCAATGGGAAGAGCTCTGGATACGAGTAATCCTCACATCCGGGCCGTTCAATCTCCCACGCGCGAATTTAAACTCCACTCAACAGCTCAACCCTTAACTCAAATTTGCTAGTTGCGCTACACTATGCCAGTGTGGCTTTGCATTGCCGGTGAGAACCGTGAACGGAGACCGCATTGTCCGACGCTAGAGTGGAAAAAAAATAATCGCGCGATCCCATTTCCCCCCTGAGACTCGGATCGGGCCAATCAGCGGGTGACGGCAGAAGATCTCCGGTGGGAACGGTGGATTCTGTTCTCTTTTTTTTTCGTGTTGGCGGGGAGAGTTCCCACGGTTTTGTTCGGAGCTGAGAAGCTGAGTGTGAAAGGAACGGGAGAGAATTTGGAAAAGAGAGAAAAGATGGGTTGGGTGGGGAGATGGAATCCATTGGGATGGATTGGGATGGGGCCGGGAGAGGAAAGTAAACCACGCCATGGATGAGATGGATCGCGCGTACTCTGTGTCAGATTTAAGACATTATAGAGTGTGTATGGAGTATAGTGGTAGGCTTGGTGGGTAGAGGGTCGAGTTGGGGAATCTGGTATGGATGGTAGAATAGGAGTAGGAGTTAAGATCTGATAGTAAAGGGATATACTATAAGTAGTAGGAGTATACTACTGACTACTAGCAACTAACTATTCATATTGATACTTGTACTATGCACAAGGCATATGTACATCTCCGGAGTCATATCCAATATCCAATATCCAATATTAAATCATAAATCCCAAATAATACCATCTGAAACACATTACATCGTGTTACACGGGCCGGCGCCTGGTAGCTTGAGACTAAGTACGATGTCTTGATCCACTTTGGTCTCTTTGGGAATGTCCTCTCTTTCTTACCACTGGCACTGCACCGCGCTTTTTTCTCATAGCTTTTCTTTTCTGTCGGTGCTCTTTTCTATTTTGATTCCTTCTTCTTACACCTCCTCACCTCACCTCACCTCACCAGGACTGCCACCACCACCACCATCACCATGCTGTCCTCCAACTCCTCCTACTCCTACTCCTCCAGCGTCTCATCCTCCGACCCTCATCTTCCCTATTCCTCCCAACAGGCCTCTACCGTCTCACTCCCCGCTCAACCCAGACGCACCCCCATGGCCGTCAAATACCCAAGATTCTACGCCACCCCGATCGACATCGACGATGGCCCTAGCACCCCACTAGAAGTCTACGGCTTCGAACAGCGCGAGCCCTCCATCATGGAAAAACCCGGCATGCTCCGCCGAGTCTCCTACGCCCTCGACGACATCAAAGAGGACTTCTCCCTAAACCTCGACCCCGCCCGTTCAACCGCCAACAAAATCAAGCGTCGCTCAACCCTGCGCTTCGACGCCAACTTCAATCCCGGCCAACGTCCCGAAACTGCGGGAACTCAAGTACACCCCCGGCCCCCGCGGTCGCGCCCGGTGTCGATTATGTCCGTGGATCCGAGTCCCGCGCCGCAGCGCAGTCTGAGCCGTCGTCTTTCGCGCAGATTGTCTTTCTTTTCTAGCAAGGGCTCCTATGGGAAGCCTGCTAGTATCTCTTCGCCTAATCTGATCGGCTCCTCCACTCAATACGCTAGCCGCAGTCAGACCACTTTCATTTAATTTACCTGGGTCTTGGGTCTGGTGGGGGCCGGACTGGGCTGAGGAGAGGACCTTGCGACATTCTATTTGAAACGGAAGAAAATCCAAAAAAAAATCATGGAAGAAAGGGAGAGATCGAGAACGTTTCGACTCTTCTCTTCTCGACGAGACGAGTCTGTTCAGTCGCAAAGCAACGCTCACCTCGATAAAAATTATTGCGACCTGACTTGACGTTGCCGATCTCCCCACCTGCAGCGACGATCGATCCAATATATACACATCCCGCATATGGAGTTTGGTTTTTAATTGTTTGTTACCTTGACCTTTGGTTTTGGTTTTGTTTAATGATGGGCTTGGTTTCGGATTTGGTTTGCTCTGGTTTGGTTTGGTTTTGGGGACATTTCTTATTTTGCTGTGACTTAATCATCCCCTCCTTTTGTCATTATATCCACGGCAGTTCATACGCCTTACTGCGTCGGCATTTGTATTTACCTGATTTGCGTTTTTGACAGGGTTCCCTTTTTTCAATTAATACTGGGAAATATTGCGCATAGCTTGGCGTTTGGGAAATCAAATCAATCATTTATTATTTACTCTAAAACCTCTATTCTACTCTGTTCTAGTACTCTGCATCAGATCTTCCCTACTTCTCTTTCCGATCTATCTAGTATAAGCATAAAGTATGCCCTTGACGACGCCTTCCGCGTAACTGCAGGTGTAATTGGCTGTCCCAACGCCACACCGGCCACGGGGCGTTCCCCAAGCCTCATAGTGGTGGATCGACGTGCGTCAGCCATGCGCGACCTCCGACTCGAACTTTCGGGTTCGGGTAGTCTTGGAGCTAAAAATACATTTTCTTTCCCGTGGAACCGAAACCTGTCCATACATATTCACCACTACCGTTGATTCTTTTAAAACTGTCTTGAATCGGTCTTGTATAGCGCTGTAACGGTCGCGGAATTTATGAGACGCGCAATTGAATCGTGTGCAATGCCGGATGCCTAAAATCACTTGAGCCAGTCACGCTGTCGCTGTCGCTGTCGCTTCGCTAACTATTTCCCACCCCTCCCTCCACCCCTCCGCTGGCAGTGGCTGACCCCCACTATGTACTGTATGCTCCTTGCATCACTGCGCATGAACATTGCAGATCAACGCTCACACTCGTCTGACTCCACTCTCTCCACATCCCGTTAGGCTCGAAGATCTTTGATACCGGTCTCATTCAATCTGATCTTGCGTGATCGGGGGGGAATTATTTTCCTGCGGGTCGGTCTGAGGTGAGCCGTTTTGATGTCCTTGCTGCCCGCCCGCATGCCACATCGGGCTATTGGCCTATTGGGTCAGGTGACGAGATAGTACATACACCGCTAGAATTCGATTTAGTAGCTCAGTATTGCGAATATTTTCGGGTCGCCCTTCCATGGACGCGTGGATTTTTCTCATGGATTGAAATGAAAGCGTGGAGAGCGGAAACGGTGGTTCTGCACCCTAAGTCTATACTACCGTACTCCAGAGGCACTCTCACTCTCGTCTGTCTTGGCCTAAATGGGACCGAAAGAGCCTCATCCGCCTTTCTTATGATTTTTGTTCCATTCGAAAATGAAATGTCCGTCCGTAGAGTTAAATCACAATGCAAATATAGTAAAAGGCCCTTCAAACACGACGACAAGTAAAGACACAACAAGCTCCCCATCATCCATCTTTTGGGGTCCGAAGGGCTAATGACTATTCGAATATCATCAGGCGCAAGGTAGTCGCCTAGGCTATCTACGATGGCGAAGAGGAAGGCTGGTCGTAGGAGCATTGTCGTTGTTTTGTTACAGGAACAAACACATGAGACTGCCCAGAGACTATCCGGCAAATATATGGGCGTAGATATATGCGTGCTTTTGTTCAGGGTATTCAGAAACGCATCCACGCTGTCCGAAGCTGATGGCGCAGTTTTCAAGAGAGCGAGGAATCTGTTGATGATTCTGGGAGCGGGAAATCGGAGTCAGGGCTTGAAAACCATTTGCAACTCCAGGTCATTCAAGTTATTGTACTGTTGATCGAGGACTCGGAGGGTAGAGAGTTGATTGTTCTGAAATCAGACACTAGGAGGAGAGAAGTTGAAGTGGAAGGAAGGGAAGTGAATTTTGGAAGGAAATATAGTATTCCTACAACTGGGCAGAGGAAGGTGCCTACTGGAAAGTGGAAGGCACACACGAAAGAATTTGAATGAGAACATTATTGCGAAGGAGGAAGATACACCTGAGCACAGTACTACTTAGCCTGAGGGGATATCCATTGATGGCTAGAAATAATGTTAACAAATCCAGGCCTCAGGCATCAAGGCTGCCATTTGTCCCTTGGGGCTTAGATAGGCAGCAGCCTCAATCTTTCCTTTTCACCCCTTAGGCCTCAGCTACTAGGTAACCACATAAGAATCTTGTCGGCACAAGCACATAACACAAAAGTAATTTTGGAACGCTGGTGTTTCGGATGATCCCCCTTTTCTGCCGATACAGCTGCAGTTCTGTTGTCGAGCGGTGAAGCGATTAAGATCTAAGAGCAGGGCATTTTTTTTCTCTGGAACGCGGTCAACCTGGGAATTCCCTGCCCTAGTAATTCATTCTTCCTTACACCAAATGCTATGAAATATACCACAAGGGGGATTTCTTGACTATCCCATGCTGGAGATGACGTCAAATCATCCTCAAGGTCCTGCATCGGACTCTACTTCGAACCCGAGATTTCAACAAAAGCAACGCATAAGTCACACCAAATCGCGAGGTGGCTGCTACACCTGCAAAAATCGTCACGTTAAGGTACCGAGGGTCACATGATATTTTGCAAGCCTTATGGCTAATCCTGCCAGTGTGATGAGGCGCGGCCAGTGTGTGGGGCGTGCTTTGTCCGACGTGATGAATGTCTGTTCCCTGATCCAATCAATACACGCGCATCAACCCGGAGGAGGGTGGCTCCTGACGCCCGAACTTCGAGCTCTCACCCGCAGAGCCCCCAGGAGCTGCAAATTCGCCCTCTGAATTTCAATGCTTCCTTTGCCGAGACTGCTCAACTGCAGGGGGCGAAGGACGACTTGAATATGCAAGATCTCAAACTCCTACAGCATTATATCCTACATACCTCAATGCGGATGACTCTAAATCCCGAGAAAGCTCTAGTGTGGAAAATCATCATTCCTGATATTGCTTCTGGAGCAGAATATCTGATGCATCTGCTCCTGGCATTGGCTGGAGTCGATATGTTGACAAATCAATTGAATAATCCCAATTTAACCAAGGACAACGACTCATTGACTCGGTTAGTCATAAGTCACCATCAAAAAGGATTGAAGGGATTCCAGCAAGAAATTCAATCGCATCAAGAATCAAACTCCGAAGAGTTGTTGACTGGAACATTCCTAATCAATGCATTTGCATTTGCGTCCCTCCGGGTAGGAGATTTGGCTCCCAGTGACAGTCCTGTTGCGACAACGGATGCGTTGCATGGCGCTCAAGAAGCTCCTGAATGGCCTCGATCTCAATGGCTACACTTAATACGAGTCTCGTTCTCACTCGGGGGACAATATTGGATGCATCTCCAAAGAGGTCGATTGAGATCATTATTAGTATTTAACAAGTCCAATGATGACTGGAAAAATTCCATACCAGATTTGGTTCCTCTAATGGAGTTTTCCAAAGGCACTTTATCAGCGAAATTCGCAGCTTTCTCATCAAATGCCATCCAAGCTATATCTGATCTCCGAGCATCCTCGCAAATGCTGAAAGCGACCATCACCCCACCATCTGGCACCCCTGATTCTGGCTCAGGTGTGATGAACCCTACTTATTGTCAGAATCAAGATAACGCCATTGACGTCGTGGAAACAATGTTCATGCGCATCTTACATGTGCTTTGTTTACGTCGAACAGGAGCACAACCTTCCCCAGAGCTCGAAATTCAGTCCGAGATTGAGGATGCAGCAATTGCATCGTGGCCAACTCTTGTTGATGGTGGATTCATTTCGTCATTAGACTTAACGGGTCCCTTTGACTCAGCTCAAGGCCTGTCCTTGGCTATTTTGGCACACCTTTACCTGACCCTTGCACTGCTTGACAAGATATGGTACTTTGGGGGTACTTTTGATACGGAGATCAGAAAGATTGCTGCTACTATAGTCAATCAGAGCTATGATGATGGGATTGTCGCACTGATGAAATGGCCCATGCATGTTATTGAGCAGTGATATCCCAATTTGAAGGGTTGAGTATCACTTTCTTGGGAGTGTTCAAAAAAAGGTAACTTTCAACTTATCAATGGATTCATGAGAGAGGTTTGTGGTCGTAATCTACATAGTAATCCATTTTTTCTGACATGACGTACTGGGTCATGGACGAAATCGCTTTCTTCTTTCCCATAAACCAGGCGGGTAGTATCTGAAGCTCTATTGCCTTGGGAGATAAAGTATCTCGTCAGAATCCACAGAGCCTTGTTACCGGGATAGAGCCTCGACAGATAATCTACCGATGGTGGCCTGAAGATGGAGGGGTATAGATTGTGATGAAGTTTAATTCAAGTTTATTCAATGACCCGCGGATCAAACAGGACCCCTCTATGATTCTCGTATTTGATCCTCCAATTGGTGGCTCCCGCCTTTCGCAGATGAAATTAGAACCGTGCAAGGGTGGAATACGTTCATCGCGACCATCGCGAAGAACATCAAAGCGCCGTCAAAAACATACATGAATACCTCATGGCTAATCAAATAGCCATCATTTCCCTGTGCATATTCCACAAGACGGAAGATTGACCTCACAAGAATCAAAATACTGGCAATGTATAGCCCCCAAAGAACAGATTCCCAGCTGCGAACAGTTTTTCCGGAACGATCTCGTTGAATTCCGAGAGTTCGTTGAGTGTGTTTTGAGCGAATACGCACATGGAAGACAACGGATGTGATCACGAAGATGGTGAAGAAAAGGAGTTGCACACACAGGCCGCCGATTGTGACATGTTCGCCTGTTGTCATTGCGCTTATTGTGCCGCTTGCCATGATTCCTCCTCCTAGAAGAAAACTGTTAGCGATGCTTTGAAGTTTGAGACAGTGTGTGTGTCACATACCTGCAGCTTGCATCACAAATGCAATTATATCTCCCGTAACAAAAATAATTGTTAGCCACCGCACGGGCACTATGCTGTAGCTCTCTGCACCGAGATGCATGATGAGCCTCCCAAGGACCATGTAGATAGATACGGCGTAAAGTGGAGGCGCTAATAGAATCAAGAGAGTTTGGATCGAATAGATAGGTATACTCTTCGAATTCGAATGTGCCGCGGCTCGTGCAGAATACCCGATTATCTGGACTATTGTTTGAAATGATTAGAAAATAAGAATCGTGATGTCAAAGCGGTAAATTCTCACAAATTCCACCCAGAACGAACGCCGTAAAGTACCATGAGCGGCTTCTTATAAGCTGGTAGATATGGTAGGCAGTCGTCAAGGCAAACAAAATAACAAATATAACAGCACCAACGAGAGAAGGAGTGTATCTGTAGAGTTGAAACTCATAGTATTCCCCACTTGTGTCGCTCATGGTCGATCGCGATGTTTACTTAGGTTGAAGAGCGTAATGAGTGTAAATCGCCAAAGTAGGCGAATGGATATTCTGGCAGGTTAATCTTCCAGTGACAAGAAAGTGGGAGATAGGAAACTTTTATATTTAATCCTCAGTCAACGGTCATACAGAACGGTCATACAGCAGATTCTCGCCCCTGGGCGCTGTTACCAAGGATAGACTAATAAGATTTTAAGATTTTTAAGTCCCGGGCTGCCTAATCAGGATTAGCGTTGAGAGGCAGGGATCGGGAAACCGAAGATACGGGATATCCGCGGATACGAGAATGCGAGAATGCGAGAATGCGAAACTGGTCAATTACTGGAAAGACCCACCAATAGTTACCCGGATCCTCGTATTGGTTTTTTCCTAGCTGCCTAAGTGAGCATCACACCCAATAATGGATAAAGGAGCCGTCGCTCACTATAGTGATTCATCATTATTATCATCAAGTTGGTAACGATGAATTATGATAACTTCACCATTGGAAAGGGCGTAAGGATTTAGGCTGCAAAATATTGTACAATTGAAAGATCGGGATCTATATCGACAAACTAAAATACAGGAGCCTTGAATTAACCTTCGATTGAGCTCTTTTCGAAATTGTGGATTAGTGATGATCTGCCAAAGAAACCATCAGATATTGCCGAGAGAGATCTCAATTAAAATGATGAACGATAATTCCAATTCCTTGCGCAATCATAGTCTTTCGTTGAGGTTTATCCAACTCCCATTATCCTGTTGCATTGGTTTGCCGAAACCTGAAGGGAAGACATCGCCCGCATGAACAAAATGAAACATTAACTGCACAATGCACATCGGTACAGCGTCAAAAATGTACATGTAAACTTCATGACTTGCAAGATAACCGTTGTTTCCCTGAGCAAATTCCACAATGCGGTAGACGCATCTCAAAATAATGATGACGGCAGCTCCGAATAAGAGCTTTATCAGAGACTTCCAGGTGTGCTTTCCATATTCGGGTGTAGTGTATAGCTTAGCAGAGTACTGCATCCGCTTCCAAAATACCAGGGAAATAGTCAAGAAGAAACTGAAAAAGAGGAGTTGAGTAAACAGCCCAACAAGCATAATTTTCTGTCCCAGATTGGCCATATCGGGCTGAGCCATCATGCCTCCGCCACCAGCTTGCATGAAGAACGAGATAATATCTCCGCAAACAAATATTTTCGTAACATGATTAGGCGGAATCATGCTTGCGTCGGGTGAGTGGACAAAATTTACTATACGACCATAGATCATATAGATGGTTGCGGCATATAGAGAAGGTGGAAGGATGATAAAGAGCGATTGTATGATATAAGGCCCAAGCTCGAGGGGTGATTTTGCGGAAATGAAGCGGGCAATGTATCCAACAGTCATCACTAGTAGTTGTTAGTAATAAAACAGGTACGACTTAAGGTATACGTACTTATAGCACCAGCTACCAATGAACTATAGAACCATGTCTTTTTTTTTATCATCACTATGAGATGATAGACAGCACTGACTCCAAAAAGAGCAGCCATTACGATAGTCGCGCTTTGATTAGGCTTGTATTCGTAGATTCCATTGTCGCTGGTAGTGACGCTGTTTGCCATGGTCAAAAATTTTTGAGATACGATTTCAAGTTCTTCCCGTAGTTTGAATATGGCGACGGCGGAAGATATTTATACGCCTGTCCACGGGTATTCTGTGCTATGCGAGAGTAGCCAGACAAAAATAATATCTAAAATCGGCCAAGTGGCCCAAAATTCATAAGAGAAGATAAAACAGGACACACATTGATAGATTATTGCATGTGGATACCGATGAACAGTTCTAGGCTCCACTTTTACTGTTATTATAGAGGCTATAATGTATTGCGGGAACGAATTGACTTATCTTCAGGATGCACTGGGACTTCCATATGTCATGTTCTACAAGATGTGTTAATAGCAACCATTTGAGCAGCCCATGAGTGGGAGACTTGTCATGACCTTGGAGGATGGAAGAGTAGAGGAAGATGCTGTGCTCATACCTCGTGAATATCTAGGGCCGAAGCAGGCTTCCAGACCTGATGTGGATCGATAGCATTTGGCCCTGCGGCAACTTAAAAATTTTGAGAGTGGGGACGGAAGATTAATACGAGAATCCGAGAGTATTACCGACGTTTTACCGATCCATGACTAGATAAACATGCCCCCTGAATTCCCAAAATCCTGGTATTCTGCTGTCAATTTTTTCAGGTTGGCACTTCGGCATAGAGATTCAATATTTATATTTAAAATGCGTCGGCGTTAATTTCATTTATTTTCTCTTTCGCAATTTGCTTGCATCATATTCCCACTTGTATACGGCTCCCGCTTTTTCGGTTAGGCATATGTGCTTATGGTAACGGAAAAAAGAAGAAACGAACAGGCTGCAGTATAGATCAAGTAAACTAATTGAGTGTTCCAATTCGAAAATGCAGGAAGCAAAGCGTTTTGTTGCTAAAATAAAATTTTGTTCCACTAGTTCTGCATAGTGGCAAATGGGGTCTACGAGAATACGGAAGCAGCAGTACGGAGGACGGGAGATAGAATTAGAAAGAAAATTGGATACTGGCCCACTTAAACCTAGGTATATCCTGGCACCATTTGTTTTCGTGTTTTGCTTCACACTTGGAACACGGATCTACATGAGCTCGTCGCGGCCGAGGTGGAGCAAATAGTACCTGCCATGAAAACTTTCAAGCTAGGCGAATAGAATACGTCGTATTCTTCTGTCTAAATATATTTTTATCGTTCCAAGGTTTGTGACCCCGAGAACCTCAATTAATCATAGCAGAGCTCACCAAGCAAGGAGACAACTTCGGGACTCTCAAGGGTACAACCAGGACCAGGTAAAATCTACAGATTGAGGCTTCGTCGAGTATCTGAAACATGATGCTGTGTCTTTTATTTTTGATCGCACTGTTCCGCGTAACATGTGGTATATCCCTTCTAGAGGAAGAAGGCTTTTATGATGCTTTCCAGACGCCCCCGGCTGGATCTCGTCCAAAATTCCGTTACTGGTGACTACTTCTTTCCATGAAAATATTACAAAGACTGACTCTTGTTAATAAATCATAGGATACCTGACGCCAGCATTTCCATTGAGTCTATTCGGCGCGATATCTCCGACCTCGCCGCTGTGGGCTCAGGAGGCCTTGAACTAGTACCCTTCTATTTTTACGGCAATCCAACCAACTCCCAAACCCCCACCGATTGGGAAACTTATGGTTTTGGCATGGAGCCCTTCGAAACTGTTTTTAGGGAAACCCTTCAATCTGCCGTTAGCAATGAATTGCTATTTGACTTTAGTCTTGGTGCCAGTCAGGGCCAGGGGTCACCTGTCAAAGCAGGAACTGACGGCCTCTCCATCCAACTGGTAAGGAGCTTCTTATCGTGTGAATGCTTTTTGACCTGCTGATCGTTGCATAATAGCAACTCGGTGTTGAAAGTGTAAAAGCCGGTACTATATTTTCGGGGCCTGTTCCTGAACCGCAGAACCTGACAGGCGTGTTACAGTCCGGAGGCGGCTTTATGCACGGGCTGTCAAGCCCCGACAAAGGTCAACTGATAGCAGTTATAGCTGGGAAAGTCCTATCCGGTATTTGACGCCAAACATTTTATCATAGAATTGATTGGTTGCTGACCATTCAAAGAGCATGGGTCAAACGAATCAGATGCTCATCCCGGGTTGATGTACTTGGATGAATCGTCGATGGTCGATTTGACCCACCAGGTAGACAACGGAAGACTATCCTGGGATGCCCCTCAGGGGAATAACATGTGGAAAGTGTTCTCATTTTGGGAAGGTCACACAAACCAAATATCCTGTTTCAATGGTGCGAATGGAACAACACCTATCGAGAGGGGCTCCTTCGTTGTGGACCACTTTAGCAAAAAGGGAGCCGAAGTGCATACTAAGATCTTTGAGGAGTATGTCTTGAAAAATGAAAGCACCAGGGAAAGTCTGAGGCTAAACGGCAACTATGGTGTGTTAAGACCCTCAAATCTAGCGAGGCAAACAATACTTACAAAATCAATCAGCCTGGGAAGACAGCATGGAGCTGCTTTTCGCCCTTCCATGGACGCGTGGATTTCTAGAGCGCTTTCAATCCATCCATGGATATAGCCTCATCAAATACCTACCCCTGCTTTTCAATACTGACAATTCCTTTGATGCAGAATCTTCACCGTATTCGGAAGAGTATTCGTACGGGGATTTGACCGAATCTGGAACTAGCATTCACACTGTCAGGTTCAGAGAAACTCTGAGTGAATGTTATCGAGACTACCTCAGGCACCACACTGCCTGGGCACACTCCCTTGGACTTCAATATTCAGCTCAGCCATCCTATAACCTGCCTCTCAGTTTTGTAAGTGACACACCCTGGCTCGCACGATCGCACATTCTAACTTGACAAGGTAAACGAGATTCCGTTGGTTGACGCCCCGGAAGGTGAATCGCTTGGATTTGAGGACATTATAGATGCATACCGAACGCTATCTGGACCTGCACAACTGGCCCACAAAATTGACATCTCTTCCGAATGTGGTGCAGAATTCAAGCCGGCCTATAGCCAGACTATTCCAGAGGTGCTCAAATCCGTCAAAAAGTCATATGCGGGAGGACTTACAATGATGGTTTTGCATGGGATGGCATATAGTGGAGCGTATGCTAACACATCGTGGCCGGGATACCAACCATTTGGCTATCAAACCACCGATTCGTGGAACAGAATACAGCCCGCTTGGAAGCATATGCCGGATATTCTTGGATATATGGGAAGAACACAACATGTCTTGAAAATGGGAGTCCCGCGGGTGGATCTCGCCATTTTCGATTCAAAGACCAAGTGGGAGGCATCTGTCATCTATGACTCCAACAATCTTCAAAAGAGCGGTACGGGCACAAATCATGCTATTGTTAGAGAACAATGCTGATCATACTTCACAGGCTTTACGTACAACTTTGTTGGCCCCGATAATTTGTATCTTCCTGCTTCCCACGTCAAGAAGGGTATTTTTGCTCCAGAAGGACCTGGCTATCAATCCCTTATCTTTCTTAACGGAACCCTCATCAGCGATAAAACTCGGGCAAAGATTACGGATTTCGACAAAGCTGGTCTTCCAATTATCTTCATCGGGACATCTTGGTATACTTCACCACGAGCCACGAGCCAAGTCAAAGATATCTCGGGGTTGAATAGTTTCCTAGGAGATGGAGAAAATATCCACCATATTGTCTCTACCAGTCAACTGCCCGATCTCCTATCACGACTAGGAATAGTGCCGAGGGTCGCTTTTGTTGAAGCAACAGAGTCAATCTATTCAGTACAGCGGGTCCATCCCATTACTGAAACAAAATTTGTCTGGCTGTTCAACGATGGGAATCATTCTTCGACATTTGTTGCTGATTTCTCTGGTCATAAAGCCATGAAACCATTCCTCCTCAATGCATGGAACGGCGAGATAACTCCGCTCGGGAGGTACCAATTGACGGATTCTGGAGTTCGCATTCCACTGACTCTAAAGCATGATGAAACCATCATTCTTGCCTTCATGTCTTCGGAGGTGGAAAGCTCCACCTGGGTGACTGATGTTACCGGCGCTGTTGAGGAAGTGAAATTCACATCTGACAGACAACTTGTGGCCAACCTGAAAGGTTCTTCCACGATCGTTCTCAATAATGGCACCACTTACAAATTCAACGCCACAATTCCAAGTGCTACCAATCTGTCGACTTGGGACATTGAAATTGAGGACTGGCATGGAAATTCCAAAAACACTGCCTCCATTGAAACCTTGGTGACTTTGCACAAATTTTCCGGCCAGCACCTGAAGCCTTGGAAAGATATTAGCAAACCATTGGAGAAAGTGAGTGGAGTGGGAACTTACACTACAAACTTTACAGTTCCAGACATCCCGAATATCGGAGCCTATCTTTCCGTCGGACCAATCTTCAACACGATGCGTGTCTGGGTCAATGAGAAACTTCTGCCTACATTTCCTGTCGATAATGCAAAGGTAGATATTAGTGAATTCCTTTCGCGGGGGGAACAAAATGTGGTCAAGGTTGAGGTCACTACGACCTTGTACAATCGGGTCCGAGCAGATGCAGATAACCTTCTTGCTGTGGGTATGCCATTGTCGACGATAGCACCGACTTTTGCAGATAGTGAGAGCCAGGATTATGGGCTGTTGGGACCTGTGTGGATTGACTGGGTGATTGGAGAGAAACTGAATTTGGATTAGCCGATCATGATGTACTGGGTTTTTCGGCTTCACGACGAACCCATATATAAGTCTTCTTTCGTTTAGTTTCCTGATTTGTGCGCACTTCTGAAACTCTTCTAGGGCCATCAGAATGTTATTTGCTATATCTTTGGATACTTAATGTACATTATAGGGACATGGCCACTCTGACTCTGTTTTATTAAATCCAGTCGATCCTAAAAGTAGTAGTAGTAGTAGTAGTGGGAAGGAAAGAGGAAGGCACACGTAGGTGAATGAGAAGGAGGAAGGTACACCTGAGTTTTGATTAGTCGACCATGATTCATTCACTGGGGTGTTTTGGTAAGTATGTTTCCCGATCCGATTGTGTCGCATCCAAATGTGGCATCGGCCTCCCATGTTATTGAGATATTTAGGCACCCATGCATATTTTCCTGTTCGGGAAACCATGTGTGCCCTTTTCTTATTTACCTAGTGATTCCCTCGCAGTATTCTGTTCTCTCCTCCGCTCATCGAACCGCTCACCGACCGCTCATCGACCTCTCATCAAACCGCTTCTACAATGGAAGGTTTACGACGTGCTGCCCAGCACTCGAGCAAAGAGTCACCAATCTTTGTGACCTCCTCACTTCGATCGAACATCAATCTCAGCAATGAACTATCTGCAATGCTTGACCAGCATCACAATGAAACTGTGATCAACGACCTGGAACTCAATGAGTGCTCCTCACCTGTCACCATCCTATCCCGAGTCCTCGCCCCGAAATCCTATTCGAGTACGGCCTCTTCTTTTGCCCTCTTCCAACAGACCCAACAACCTCTCCCCTTTGTGGAGTATCGCGTCATCGGTTTTGGCCAGTGTGGGCTCATTTTTGAAAAGCCTGGACAAGGATACGTTCTGAAAGTGGCGAAACGTTCATACGAGGACGCTCTATGGGCCGACTTGAAGGCACATTTACGTGTGCAAGAGGCTTTCGATAACCCCCAAAACAACCGCATCGAATGCCGCGTTCCGCGACTCTACTCTTATGTCCCCAAGGGTAACAACGTGTGGTGGGAACGCAACATGAATCTTTTCCCGCCTGTCCACGACTCCATTACCCTACCCGCCATGACTTTGGTTTCGGAACGGATCCTCCCCATCCCCAAAATTGCGCGAGAGGCTTTGATCAGCAAATATTGTTCAGCGGAATCGCGTGCATTTGTCGCTGCCAACCCTACAGACCGTGACTGTTTGGCTCGCGTGTATTTGGGTCGTCGTCGTGTCACAACAACCCCTCCCCCGAACTTCACACTTCGGAATTTTAACCTTCATCTCGACCAGATGATAGATCTCAAGTATCCTGTGCACAGCCTGGCTGCAGCCATAGGCGAAGCGTTGGCCATCATTCATTGGTCCGCCAACGTAGATGCGTACGATATAGAGTTCGTTCTTGGGAGTGAAGGGGATAGAAAGTACGGACAAGATGTCCTTGCGTCTCTTACAATGAGTTCAGACGATGTGGCCGCTATGGCACCCCACACTGATATCGAATCGCTTCTGACCGTGAATTTCATGCGCCGCACCACGCGGTTGTGGGTCTTGGACTTCAATCTTTGCAATGGTTGGGATGAAGCCGCGGCAATAGACAATCCAGATGCCCTTGTCGCTCACCTTGTTGAATCATTCTTCGAGAATGATCCATACTATCCTTTGCCGCTAACGGATGATGCTCTGGAACAGAAGTTATGGGATGTTTTTCGTTCGAGTTACATTGAAAAGGCCAGTCAAGTCCTCGACAGAAAGGACGGTCGGTTAGCTGGTCTTCCACGCAACTTCATCAACGGGTGTATCCGGCGGGAGAAGGAGAGTCTCGAGAAGGGACTCGGTCACGGACACCGCGAAGCGAAGCAGTGATGTGGAGGGGAAATGTCTAGCTACTTCTACCCTTAATTTCCTTTGCTCATTTAGCTTAATTATCATTGCTCGTTATCACTATTGTGTTCAGGTTTTATGATTTCCTTTTATAGTAGGTACTCCGGGCATAGGACTCGGAGTACCCCGGAATGTTTTCTAGAGAGATCATCTGCCATCACTGCCAGTGCTCCATTCCACATGCTCGGCAACCACCGGTTGAGCAATACCCTTGCCCGCAGCAGTTCGCTTGATCTCTTCTTCTTCATGATCGATGTATCTCTGCGGTCGGCCTCTGGAAATTGCATCTCGATCCCCGACCACAACCAGAGACGGCTTTGTCCGATAGTATGCATCGATATCTTCCAAACTTCGATTGGCTATAAAATGTCAGCGATATTTGGACAGGGTTAACCAAGGATAAAGTCGACAGACCTGTTTCTGGATAGAGAAAGTATATAATGGGCAAGAACAGGAAATTGGTCACCGTCCACACAATCCAAAATCTCCAACCAATGTTTTGAATCCCTATGGGGGTAATTTCCACAATGATGAAATTAGTGAGCCTGTAACTTTGGTGAGTAACTTCTAGAGAAAGAAAAGGTGGAGAGTTTTATTCTCTTACCAATCAGTTCCAGTGGCAAGTGCTGCACCTTTGGTTCTCATAGGGAGAGAGTTGATTTCTGTCGGATAAAGCCAAGGAACGCCCAGCATTCCAACACCAAAGCTGGCATGGAACAAGAAAATGAAAGCAACGGCAGCAGATCCATAAGAATCATTGTCAGGGTATACATCCGCAAAGCGAAGCAAAATGGTGATTACTAGGAAACACACAAATTGGCCGAATGTTGAAAGGAGCATCAGGCCTCGGCGTCCCATTCGCTCAACTAGCAGGACAGCGAGTCCCGAAAAGAAAAAGTATGAGATGGCATTGCAAGCTGTTAGCAGGCGTGCCATCTCGTCAGAGAATCCCACGGAACTTTTGAGCACGGTCGGCAAATAGTAAGACATGATGTTAATGCCCCCAAACTGTTGCATAAATTGGCTGCCGGCGCCAAGAAGAAGACGGCGAAGGGTGTTTGTGTCATTTGGACTCTTCTTCAGCAGATCGCGCCACCGAACGGAATTCTCACGTTCGTATTCAATGGTGAAATTGATTTCATTGCGTTGTGCAATGACAAAAGGGTCGTTTAGCGATTTCGCCTCCAGACAACTGATCACCTCCACAGCCTCATCCTCTTTACCGTGGGCCAAGAGCCATCTAGTAGTATTCAAAATCAGCTTTGTATCAACTTCTCACTATTAGTCACTTACCGAGGTGATTCTGGGAGCCAAGGAGTGGTAGACCACAGAACAAAGAGGAACAAAAACTGCAATGCGAGTGGGAGTCTCCAGGCAATGGCACCGCCTGCAAAAGATAAACCGTAATTAACCCAATTTACAAAGGCATAGCCGGCAATATTCATCATCATTTCGAGGATTACTAGCTTTCCTCGCCATTTAAGCTGCGAGGTCTCTGCAAATGGTTTAGTCTCTTAGTCAAACTAAGTCATTTGAAAGCACTTACCAGTTTGCCACACAGGGGCTGTCGCAGTGTTGACGCCATTCCCGATTCTGATCGCCAAGTTATGAGATTAATAGACAATAATTTGCAATGACACACCCGATTCAACTCACCCCGATATGATGCGCCCCACAAACATTTGCTCCAAACTGAAAGATGTGGCCTGCAGGATGGCCCCAACAGCCATGATGGTAGTTCCCGCCAAAACGGTCTTCTTTCTACCAAGACCTTCACCAATTGTAAATGCCAGAATGGCCCCAAGAAAACAACCAACATCGTAGATTGCTGTGACCGTGGATAAGGTTTTAGTTTTGGTCGGCCCGACGAGGTCATGGATTTCGAGGAAGTCTTCAGTGATTACCACGCCGCTGAAAACGCCTTGGTCGTACCCGAAGAGGGTCATGTCAGTTGCGCAAGCAACCTGGGGTTTTAATTCATCAGAGCTTAATTAAATATGAATGAGGATTAGCTCAGGAAGGCATACCGTCACCCAAAAGGTTAGCCATCCCCCAGTCAACCCGAAATAGGGCCGACTCTTTTTCTGGGGCGCACTCGTCATTCTCGAACAAAAGCAATAATGCAGCTCTGCGTAGCGTGTAGTCAAACAAGCAGCGGGTATACCTCACAAGGTATCCGTGGATTGCGAGCAAAATAAAAGGCAAAGATAAATCAGGACACTGGAGTGGGGGTTGCGTGGCCATGTTTATACTGACCCCACTGCAGGACGCTAGCAAACAAGGACATTCACTGCAAATCCGGCTAAATCAAGTTCGGCCCTCCTTGACGCTTAACTTGCAGCAAGTGGATGAGGGAAATACAAACACGGCAAACCAAGCGAGCTCCTTACTCCAAACCGACGCGAGCGATCACAGGCTCGGCCGCCTAAAATGCCATTTGGAGCATGGTATCCGTCCTTCGCACTCGTTAGAGCGATGATTGGTAGGACGATCGTCGCGTGCCGCACTCTAACCGGGTATATTCCGTCATTGCGTGGGGGGGCCTTTGGCGTGGAGGAGTGCGGAGAGAGTGGGGAAAGTCCGGGGAAATCCCCAGTGTGTATTTTCAGCTCAAGGTAGTGGGCTATGTTATGATGAATTGGGATGCTAGATGTATGTCAAAGTTTTGAAGGCGGAAGATGCAGAAAGTAGGGCCTGGACAGGATGTGGTTTAAGTATGTTGGGTTTCTTTTTAAGACCGGCTAACTAGAAGTCGCTCGGATTATGACGCGCTTGAGATTAGCTGGGCGGGTGCTAGCACTAATAAGTCCTTTGATGGATCGCTAGGGGCACGCGGATCGTTCGGCGAGTGGGCTTCCCTTCCATTGTATACGCAGAACAAAAGGTAAAGATCTAACTTGCACTACAAGTCATTTGTGTCTGTCCGCCCGTATTAGAAAACCTCTAGACGAGAATATTTGAGGTACTTGGATGAAAATATAAACATATCATTTAGATTATAGCTCTGCTCTATCAGACTTAGTAAATAATAGAAAGAATCGGCGAAATCCATCGCTGAAATCTTTCAACTTCAATCCTAGTAGTTGAATGAATTGTCTAACATGGAGTACGTAAATATTGTTAGACACCAAACCTCTACTTTCAACAAATACAGTAGTTTTCGAAATCACTTATACCGCTATACTCTTCCTACTTGACTGCCGGGAAATGATTCCGTATACTACTGTAAATTTATTTCGATTTTTCGAATCATGCTTTATTGCTGCACCTGGATAAGCAAGGAATCCACATCATGTATTTCTAAATGACTTGTATAAGGTTGATACAAGAGGAACTCCTCGTCTGGGCGCCAAGCACTAGAAAAGCCAGAAAAGACTCAGAGACGTTGAGATGTCGACAGATAGAGAGCACAACGTAAAAAGCACCTCCCATTCACATTCAATCCCGCTTTGCAAGAATTGCCCCAGCCCAGGCAGATCCAGGATTGAGTCGTTCCGGGTACAGCTCCAACATTTGCGAGTAGATATCTTCAGCTCTGGGATACTTTGCTGCGATTCGATTGAAGTTTTCCAAGTACAACTTGGTCTCCTGGATGGCTTCAGGATCAAAGGACTTGCTTGGGTCGCTGTGGCCTCCAACCACTGCCTTAGGCTTCAAAGCTGCGAGCTTATCCAACGCCTTTATCCACGCAACGCGGGCCTCTTCTGTTCCTGATTCGCCCAGGTACGGGTGAGTGTTGGCGTATACACAGTCCCCTGCCACCACCAATCCAATTGATGGAACCCACAGTGCATTGGTTTCATCCGTATCCGTGTGTCCCAATTTCACCACCTTTAACAGCTCCCCTTCTAGCTCAAACTCGTCACCACTCAGAGGCTCCGCATCGGCGAATTGTGTCGGAAGTAGCCCAGGGAACAATTTTTCCCATAAGCTTGCCATTCTTTCCGGGGACGTTTCGTATGCCATTCGAGAAACCACTTCCGGTGTAGCGATCACTTTGGCTTTTGGGAATTGCTTGAGAAGAGTGGAGCTGCCAAAGAAATGGTCACCGTGCGAGTGGGTGACAAAGATAGCGACTAATTCTTTCCCGGTAGCCATAACCCAATTTGCTAATTCCTTAGAGGCTTCTAGGGTCAATTGAGAATCAACTAGAATTGCGTCCTTCTCTCCATATATTAGGGTAGAACTTGTGGGAACCCATTTGAGATGATCGTGCCCTGTAGGGCCAGTTCGGGTAGCGCTGTCGCGTTTGCTGAAAAAGACCTTATAGCTGAGCGGCATTGTGGCTTGATATACTGGACCGATGGGTAGCTGATCAATCGCCAATATGTCCCAGTTCAGTCGTGGCGGGTCGGGCTTAATATAATAGTATGATACATGTGCTCAAATGATCAAAATGGGCAATCGAGTTTAGGAACTACACAGTCCTCATCTATTGTGGCGTAATCACTCGGACATTCGAGCCTCGGTGGGATAGTTATACTATAACTACCTCGGGAGAAATGCGATGAATAATCCGATCTAGCGGACTGCTATTACTCGCCGAGGACTCGCACACGGCATAATTTGTGGGTATCGGTTGCCCCACATCGTAAGAATACAATGGTAACCAGAAATCCAATCTACTAGCAAGAATGACCGACTCGCTTAGTATTCGCGGATATAGTGATCGCGGACCAAAAGTAGCCGTCCGCTATCTGACGTATCCAGACACACAGGAACCAGATAATTGGCCTGCTTAGAGCGGATCATGATCTTGCTCACTGAGTATGGTGATGATTTCTCTCTTATTTTCGGATAACGGGTAGGTCGGAGATAGTTTGGTTGGCTCGGGGGACCATCAGTTAGTGAGTGGCGACTAGTATGTCCGAAAAACCGAGTAGGGGCTCACAAGATAACTATATCATACATAATACTAGAGACATAGTCAAGTGTTGGCCGTTCAACCGTCAAATAGAATTCCGAGGAAAACCGAGCCGAACCAGGCCCTGGATGATCATTAATCAACTGTATACTTTGGACCCTCGGAAACCGAGTATAATCCAGGGCTGTTGCGACGATCATTTTTCCAAGCTAGCGCTAAAAATGCGATGTGACTTCTTTAAGATCTGCCGGGGGAAAGGGTTCAAGTTTTGAAAAAGACATTCCGCTAACTCTTCTGAGAGACAGACAGTTCTTTTTTTTCTTTGTGTTTTGATTGATTGCAAGTCATAATGCCTCTACCTCGTCTCAAGTCTTTTCTTTCCGGTGCCGACTGGGCTAAGAATGGGCCACAAACCCCAGCCCAGCGATTCTACGCAGCATATGCGATGGCTATCAAAGAATCCGACCTTACCACCCATGGAAATCACCAATTCTATTCCAAAAACGCGGTTTTTCATAATCAAAACGGCGTCAACTATTGTGGTCCGGAGATCTGGCCATGGATCATCAAGTTATTCGGCCAGTTCGCTCGTCTTGAACACGACTTTATCTCAATCTGGGAGCTCGAAAATGATGACGATACTGTCCATCTCATTGCTCAGATCACTCGACATATCTGGGCTCCCGGCAGTGATATCAATGCCTCGCCAACCGTCAGCATTCCCTTGTCCATGACCTGCGAGATAGGTCCCAGCACTACACCCGAGAAGACTCCCGAAGGTCTACAATTCCACAACGTTTGGCTGTATTGGGACACCTACCTACTTCAGCCCTATTTCCCCAAGGACGCCATTGTCTTCAGCCCCGTCAATGTTCAGAAAGAATGATTACATAGCAAAGAGCCTGCTGCTTGTCGGAGGGTCACTGGCTAGAAAGCAATGTTTTAGCTGCTAGAGGGAAACTCTACTTGCAAATAATTTGTAAATTTTAGCACGTTTCGGGGATGGATGTTTGGTATCTCAATTTTATATTAATCGACATAAAGTATATTTCGATGTAAGCACTTTCAAACAGATCGGTTGGGATCGATTCAAAACAAAGCTCAGAGTTGGACTCGGAGTTGATTAAGACCAATACCCCAGTCACCAATTTAGAGAACATTTCTTGGATGCATTGAATATCCGTACAAGATTTCACGTTCAATATTTTTCTGTATTGCAGGTCAGAGTCTCTATTCTTTCCGTCTCAAAGAGAACCTCAGTGAAATTCCAAGGTTTATACAAGTGAATTTATTTATATATAACGCACTAGTACACAAGGTACTGATGCACCAATCTTGGTGGTTATAACGATCTTTATATTCTGCATACCATGCATAAAAGGCAAATACATCAGCTAATTGAGATATTGTGTAACACGCCCGCTTGTCAGACATTGTTGGATAGGCCGACGTGTTTCTTCAAGAATTCAAGTTGCGCCGCAATGTTCTTTTCGAACCAGGTTCCAGTGTAAATGTCAAAATGGCCCGCCCCATCAAGGTAAAGCATCTGCTTCGGTTCCCTTGCTTTGCCATAAGTGGCCAATTGCGATGACGTAGTGACAAGGGTATCATTTCCCGGAATAACCATCAGGAGTGGAGTTGGCGAAATACGGTGTACCATTGCCTGACCTTCGAATGGTAGCATGAAAAGCTGCGTCTGAGTAGTGATGGAGTTTTCCCATCTCGCACCGCAGTTGTGTGAGCCTCGCACATGTTCATAAGCATGAACGCCGGGGAACATCACGTTTGATGCCCCTGCTTGAGCTTCCTCCATGGTGTCTGCAATAAGACGGATCCTTTCTGGCTCGATATAGGTACCAGTGGCATCATAAGCGCTATTATTCAAAAGTGTTGGGATCCGGTCCTTGAATGCCAAGGATCGCGTCTCCCCAGAAACAGCTGGACATTGCACAATGGCAGCCTTGATGCGCTTATCCACAGCAGCAGCGTACAAGACATTTCCACCCGAAAAGCTAGTCCCCCAATACACAATGCGAGAAGCATCCACACTTGAGAATGTCGTAACAAAATTGAAGGCGTCATAGTAGTCGGCTTGCTGAAGGGGCGGGTTTGATTCTTGACGAGGCAGGCCATCACTATCTCCCCAGTTCCGATTGTCGTAAAGTAATACATTATAACCGGCATGATGGAATCGATCAGCAAAGGCTGGAAGCCAATAATGCCGAACACCACCCAGCTAACAATTTTCAATTGATCTTAGCAGAATTCTCTCATCAGCAGCGATATAGTGGCGGAAACACTTACCCCGTGTGTCATGATCACGCACGGAGACGTGCAGCTTTGCGGATAAAACCACCCACGAAGCGAGGTCCCATCGCGAGCTTTGAACTGAATATCTCGACGAGGAAGAGCCATTTTTTTTCCGTTCGTAACACTCAGATTCTGGAAATAAACCTGTTGCGCCTTATTATTTAAGTGGTCGAAAATATGGATTTTCGGCCGCTGACTCTTAGAATGACAAAGAAGAAGGGACGACATTGGGGAGGAAGCCCCCGAGCTCTAGTATATCTACAGCATAAATATAGATGCCGAAAACCTGCGGCCCGAAGTCCCTGCCTAGGCATAACTTTAATTGACCACATTTTGCTTGGACCCAAATTTGAAGTGGGTCACGAGGAGGTCTTCGGCATCTCTTGACTCCGCCTCGATGCTGATTATTCAACACTTCTCACGCACTCACCAATGTACGACATTTAATAATTTCAATACATTCCCTAATCATAAAATTGAAAAGTTCACTCATCTGACTAATATGTACCCGAGGCTTTAAAAGATGAAATATGCCAAGATCTATGATGATTACCTATCGCCATAATGCATGAAGCCTCGGCCCTTATAAAAACTCGGCGAATGTTATGATTGGCTTAGATCATCCGCGATTTGCAACTTAAATCGAACAGATTGCACATAGAATCATGACGAAAACCAATTATCGACCGAAGCTTGCTCAACCAGACGAGAGATGACTTTAGCCTTGTCGCAATCATGGCTCGAGGTATGTCCGATTCCCACTTTTGTATTTTTTGAGGTCAATCTAATCATTAAACAGATCGAGAAAGCTCTCGGTCAAAGGCCGCAATTTTTTGGAGATGCACTGGCTATGAGGGAGCAGTACAAATCACTCTCAAATCAGATCAACGCTTCTAACAAAAGGTCCGCAAGCCTCAATATTGGTACGTGCAAATTAATTGAGTGTGTCAGTATCGCTTTATTTATGAAATACTAAGTTTTTTAAGAGGATATTTCGATTACGGAAAATCTTGCGGCCAGGATTTATACCCCTGCTACTCGTGATGAACGACCATTGCCTGTTGGTGTTTACTTTCATGGCGGCGGGTGGTGTTGTGGTGACGTAGATACCGAAGACAGTTTCTGCCAATCAGTTGCTGAGGGCTTGCCCTGCATCATTATCTCAGTGGAATATCGACGGGCACCTGAGCATAAAAGCCCAGCACTGCTCCAGGATGTGCTTGAGGGTTGGACCTGGGTAAGTTCTATTTATGATATTTAACACACAGTGAAGTCTAGGGCATTAACAATGAATAGGCATTCAATAATGCGTCTACTTTTAATGGTGATGCAGCTAGATATTTTGCGATTGGACAAAGCGCTGGAGGCCACCTTGCACTTGCTTTAGCGAACATGCTTGTCGCCTTGGGCCGAAAGGCTGAGATCCGTGGCGTGGCGGCTCTAGCTCCAATCACCACTCATCCTGCCCATATTCCTAGTAAATATGTGGAAAAGTATAAGTCATTCAATGATTTTGCAGAGGCTCCGCTTAATACGGCATATGCTATGGAAACGTTCTTTGGTACGTTGCTGTCTTGTCATGGTCAACCTAACGAGAGAATCCTAACTTGTCCAGATTCCGTTGGCGCAAGCCCTGCCGATCCAGACTTCTTCATTATAAACAGTGAACACCTTCATGATTTTCCTGCTACATATATCGTCGTGTGTGATATTGATCCGATCCGTGATGATGGTTTAGTGATGCATAGCGCATTGAATGAAGCAGGGTAAGTCGTAACTCCTTCTTCCTTGCGATCATATTTTGTTCCTGACGTCGAGCTTTTAAGCGTTCCAACAAAGCTCAACCATTACATTGGCTTGCCACATGTTTTTTGGGCGTTAGACTGCAAACCACCAAGCGGAAACTTTTTGGGTGATGTGCTCGAAGGTATCAACTTCTTAATGAATAAATGATACAGTGCAGAGTTGCACAAAAATGTTTGGTTTTTATTTCCAAAACTTATTGAGGTTGAGCTGTCATCTTGATCTTGGTTGTTTCCACATCTTTAGATTTTATCGGAGATATTTGTCAATGAGAAGTTACTCGACTATGATCCCAAATCAATAGATTCCAGCCTCGGAAGCCAATATGTAGCCTCGACCAATTTATTACCACGCAAAAAGGTATAAAACTTGAACGGGCTGAACTCTGACGGTCGCGCTACTTTTCGTTCATGCTTTGTGAATGCCACCCACCAATTCGTCCTAGTTGAGTATCTGATCGGCACGCCTGGGACAATGGTGCCATTTCCAAAGTTGGATATGAGAGAAACATTGCGTATTGACGACCTGTCGTGAAAATATTTGGAAGATCCAGGGAGCTTAGAGGACTGCTACATCAAATGGATTCGAAATGGATACTAGTATCTGTTGCTCGGCTTGAGTCGGAAGTGCAGTGGATATCCTTGTCTGGTGGAACTTTCCAGGTACTTAGAGTAGCCGTGGTTGGCTTCAAGCACTATAACTACATATGGCTATCCATAGAAACAATGGGCATGATTTGATTCAATATATCTAATTCCGTTCTGAATATTCTTCTTTAATGAGATGTCAATCTTTTACGAGCCGCAACCAAAGATGGATGAGACTAGCCTGGTTCACACCGCATGTCAATAAAATGTTCAGCTAAATTATTTATTATATTATTTACCAGATGGTTTAGCCAATTGCATTGAGATAGCTTCAAATAATAAAACCCAGCAATATCAGTCGGAAAAAGTATAGATCTTCATGCATGCAACTCAGAAATATCGTCGGGGTTATATCGGCTAAACAAACTTGAATCAGTCAACCGGATCATAAAACTGTTCGGATGCCGATCAGAAAATTTCCCACCACTCTGGTAACAACACAATTTATTTCTAGTAGGAGATATTGGGTTTCCGGAAATGATGCTTGTGTGTTAGAAAATGGCCGTATGCCAAGCGTAAACCCGTTTCATCCTTGCACAGCCTCCCTGTTGTGGATTGATTGTTCTACCAATCGCGGCGAAGTATTAGCCCTGATGATACTTCTGACAGCTCCTCTTCAGTGAAGATCACAGTAGCCAAGGAACCCCCGTTATTGACCGTCTTGAAAGACTAGACCTTGTGTCGGGAGAACCGTTGAGAGACTCTTCAATTCAGGACAGGTGAAATTCCAGTCGTTATATGGGCTATATGGTAAGTAAATGATAATATTTAATTATACCCGAGGCAAGACCAGACTTTTGAGGAGCTAGGGCATAGAAATAAAGAATAAACGAAAGATTCGGCTATCAAAGCAGGCACCGGCCCTGAAACTGATTATGGAAAAGAAGTACAACTGCCAAGATAATAATTTTCTCCTGACTGTCTCATCATGCTATCAAGCTGTATATTAATTTGACTAAGAGCTGGTATAAAATGGAGGCAGAGGAAGGGTCTTGATCTGGGAGAGTCCACTCCTTCAGTTCTTCAAAAGTTTTCATTGCAAACCTTCATCATGTACAACAAAGCAATCCTTCTGTCCTTGATTTCCACCACCCTGGCTCTTCATGGGTCTTCCTCCCATTCTCATCTAGAGAAGCGCTTCACTTTTCCGATTCCTTCTTCCAAGGGAAGCGTGACCCTGGAGGAGCCCAAGGTCATCAGTGGAAACATGACCTTCGACGGCGGTATGAAGACATATGGTCGCGGGGTTGAGTGCTCTGAGGGTGAGGGTGGTGACAAGGATGCTGTCTTCTGGGTCGAGAATGGAGGCACTCTGAAGAATGTCATCATTGGCTCCGACCAGATCGAGGGAGTGCACTGCATGGGCGCCTGCACGATCGAAAATGTTTGGTGGGAGGCCGTTTGCGAAGGTATAAATAATCTCAAGAGGATGAATGAAATAAACCTCACTAACATTACTCTCTTTAATAGATGCCTTGTCCTTGAAGACAGGATCCGGCCCGTTCAATGTCATTGGAGGTGGTGCCCAGGGCGCCGAGGACAAGGTCATTCAGCACAATGGCCCTGGTACCGTAAACATCCAGGGGTTCACCGCATACAACTTTGGAAAGCTTTATCGCTCTTGTGGAAACTGTGACGACATGTATGAGCGTCATGTCACTATTTCCGGCGTCACCGCTGTCGAAGGCAGCGTTTTGGCTGGCATCAACAGCAACTATGGTGATTCCGCCACCATCCGGAGCGATGTGTGTGCTACCGATGTCGACACTATTTGCCAGGAGTACGAGGGCAATGACTCTGGCGATGAGGTAAGTAACAAAGTTCCATGTGTTTTCTTCAGTCTTTATAGTAACTGACCTGAATATGTGAAAAGCCCCCTGAGAGCTCCTCTGGCCCGAGCTCTGCTTGCAAATACACGGAGTCCCTTCCTGCCTGTTAGATTTCGTGGGGTTTTCGACTATGAGCTAGTTACATAATACCGCTAGCAGAATGTGGTTACTGGTCTCCTGCGCTCCTTGGGGTCACTTAGAAAGATTATCCAAAAAAATGTCTGGGAATTCATCACTCGTTTTAGCTACTGCCTTGAGATTATTAAGCCTTCTCATTCCCAAAGTTTGCATCCGTAGGAATTGGTTATTATTTAGAGACCACGCACCCAGGTTCTCAAAGTAAGAATAATGAAGGGGCTCTTCGAACTTTTCAGATAATTATGTAGGTTTAGAGGTCAGAATAATTTCAAAATCTCAGCTAGAGCTAGAGCTTTAAGACAGTCAGTAACATACTCTTAGACTCGATCACTTCCTTTCCACAGTCACATCCGGGCCCCCAAATTCTCCTTTAAGGGTAAAAGTAAGAACCTTCCCGCTCTTTATTTCCTCCTCCGGCTCTCAAGCTCTTCAACATTCCAACAGACGGAAACATACTTCCCCGACAAAAATGACTTGTCACCAGTAGCCAACCAAACGGCCGTGCCCCCAGAGAGTTCTGGAGTGTCTCCAATAAAGGGCGCAAGGTAGGGCACTCCGTGTCCCATATCAGTCGCTGCCACACCCGGGTCCAGATTGACAGACGTGATGGTCGGATGCTCCATGGCTAAGAATTGCGTGAATTTGGAGACGGCCAGCTTTGCTGGCGAATACGAGCTCATCCCGGGCGGAATACCCTGAGCCGCCATTGAGATTAAATTGATGATAGTCGTAGGTTCTGATGGGGTATCTCCTGTGTGCTTAAGAAAGGCTTTTGTTGCGATGAATGTTCCTTTGACGTTGATTTCCTGCCACTCCGGGTTAGCGGGTACAATTGAGGTTGGAGTTTGTCGCTCGGTGGTTGTTTGGACTGGTATAATTTACCTGGGTTTTCCACCAAGACTCCACGTCGGTGTTGACAATCGTGTCAAGCTTCACAAGTGCACCCGCATTGTTGACGAGCACATGTGGCACGCCTAACTTCTCCACGGCAGTCTCGAAAGCTTTGTTCATCCCGGCCTCGTCTGTGACGTCGACTGAAATTGACAAAACCTTCGTCGCTGGGTTTATTTCTTTGACTAGGCTTTCTGTCTTGGCTAGACCTTCACTTGATCGGCCGAGGAGAACTATGGCGGCAGCATTGGCGCGGGCAAAGGAGACGGCGAAGCCCTTTGCATCCATCAGTATCGGGAAATTTATCCTTGAAGGGATCACTTACCATTTGTCCTAGTCCACGACTGGCCCCAGTGATGATAACCACTTTCCCATCCTGGGATAATTCTGGGCGAGTGGGGTCGACGGCAGGGTACACGTCGCGATAGTTCTTTTTTGTGAAGGCAGTTCCTTTGACTTGGCAGTCGGGGTCAAATTCAGGGGTGTCCATGACTAAATTGATATGAGAAGATATCTTGCAGGTTTGGGGAACAAATACTGAAATAGTGCGTATTAGGTTTTGTTAGAGGAAGAAGAAGAACAAGCCAAAGTAGAACCCCAACTGAGGGGGGTGTCATATTTATAGGTTTTGAGAAAAGCCCTAACTCTGGACTCGGAGTGGGGGCCTAAATCTGGAATCTTCAAGATTAGCAACAAGGCTTGACAGTTGGGCTCACTCCTTCGAGTCTCTGGACTCATCTAACGAATGCTGTAATATTAGAAAGAAAGAAATTCATGTAATGCTTTTCGCTGAACTCTTAAGTGGTCTAAATTTACCACAATTTCGTACTCGACCTCGACCTCGAAAATTTACCCCTCTTTGTAAACCTGTAAGCCGTTATCCGCTCTCTCTGAAGAAAGACCGTTAAATAGACCACGTCTTTAATGATACTTTGGGTATACTCAGACCTTCTTAGATATCTTCATCTCTTTTGTAATAATGCATTTTCAAAAACTAGTAAAAGCTAGCGTGATGCTGATAGGTTCAGGTTCAGCCCCTTTCCTTCAAGTCTCAACCATTGTTATTTGTATTCATCTTAAAACCACCGCCTAGTGCAGTTCTTGAGATCAATCCCTCCATATTCAATTTATTCAATTGCTGTAATTCATATCAGCATATCCATTCCTTTCAGAAATATCAACACAACCGGTGTCATCAAGATGACATCACCTATGAACTACTATAATTGTCCCATCCTTCCATCAGTCCAGCGAACTCGAATCTTCCTCTCTCCCATTACGAAAACTAGTCAATTTTTGAAAAAAAAAAGTCGAAGCCTTTCCCTGAAAATGGCAGCTCCCCCTTCAACCCCACCACAAAGCGATCCTCCCACGCCAAATGCCAACGATAGTCCCAACAGCCTATCATCAGCAGGCTCGGGCTCAATCGACCCAACTTTACTCGACGAAGAAGAAAACCCACTAGAAGAAGGGATCGTCGATAACATAGTAGCACCATCGAGCCAGCAACACGCCATCAGTGGACCTGGACCCGGATACAATGCTCTAAAGACTCATCAAGGCCAACTCTGTAGCGGAATGGCAGTCGGAAGCTCACACACATGGAAATATGAGCCCGGCACGTGGAAAGAAACAAAAGAAGAGCCTGATCGATGGAGAATCGATTACCAGACCAAAAAACTACGCGCACGCAATGCGCCCAAGGGAAGTGGTGCACCTGTGGGCACGGAGTATCACTGGTTGATTGTTGGACATCAGGTACGTTTTCCATAAAAGAGGCCGTTGGGGCTTGGAAAGGAGTAACTATCAGCATGACTAACTGGCTAAATTCTATAGCATGTGCGCAAACTGGATGCGAATTCCTACGAAACACACCTAACAGGATCAAAGTACAAATTGGCGCATAAATCAGTGTCATCGACCTCTTGGTCGATCCCCACGGTGCGGGCTCAACGGGATCGGGAAGTTGAATTATTACAGGATGCTCAGCGTCGAGTTTATGGTCTTCCGCCTGTGTTGGCTAGTGAGAAGGTCCAGGTGGAGGAACATAGGGAGAAGGGTCAATTGAGCCTTGACTCGCTATTCAAAAACCGATTGCCGGGTCGGAAAAGACATCTCGGTCTGTGAAGAGGAAACGCGCATAGAACTACCAGTACCACATTGGCTGCTGCATACGCAAGACGGGATGAGGATAATGATGATAAAGGTAGAATTGAGATTCAATGCCATTCGCGTATATAGGTGGTATAAAGTAGGGCTTCAAAACAAAAACAAAAAGAAAAAAGAATAGACCAAAACTCCCTCAAACAGAACGCCAAAAGTCGGGATAATTGGTGAGGGTGGGTGGTGTCGGCGATAGGCTTCAAACAAACAGGCCATCTCCCCTCCTCCTCGGCATAATTGCGGTCGCAGCCGTTCGCCGAGGAAATCTGTGCCAGTCCAGCCCATGCCAACCTGACAGCTGAGCGATCGCCATATCAAACGCCCCAAGATGGCTATCCCTCGAAAATCCCCCCAAAACCAAATTCTATTGGATCCAGTCCAACTCATTCGTGACTGGCGCAATGCCAAGCCAATCACACTCTGTCGTCATATTCACCTTATGTAGCTCGGGATCAGATCTGGCCCGCTCTGCAGGCACCGAGGCACCGAATCACATGCTACACTGATAAGATCTCATAGGGTTACACTCTCGAGATCTCGCATGACGATAGACATCTGCGCGCGCTTCGCCGCCTCCGCGACCAGACTAAAGTCCTGCAAGAAGGGGGCTGTCGCCGTCGGACCGCCTAGCCCGTTGCCTCCTTCTTGCGGAAAAACATCCGCGGGCTGGGTGGCGGGTGGCGCGTCCGATCGTGGGATTGATTCGGAAGTATGTCCCTGCGGCGCGAGTTGTATCCCGGCTGGGTGCGAAGGGTTGCCAAGGGTCTGGGCGAGAGGTTGTGTCTGGGACATGGCGGATTCGGCGGCGCAGGAGGAGACGGAGAGGGGGGCTGCTGCGAAGGGCTGGATGGTCGAATTGGAGGGATGGGGATTGAGTGGGTTGGAAGGGTGTGAGAGGGTGGAGGTGAGAGTGGAAGAAGGAGCGAGAGTCGAGGTTGATGAGGAAAAAGTCGAGGGTTGAGCGGGGGCCTGAGGGGTATGGGCTGATCGGAGAGGGTCCATCTTGTGATGCAGGTGCAGATGCATATACCGAAGCAGAAAGTAGAAGCAGAAGCAGAAGCAAGAGCAACAGCAGAAATCTAGGAAATCCCTTTCAAGTGATGGGGAGTAGATTGACGCGCGGGAGTGAACAAAGGTATGCAGGATCGAGGGATCCGCGATGATCGAATCGAGCCACTATGGAGAGATCGAAGAGTCAGGGCCCCACGGATGAGGGGATGGCTATGGGCAAACTCGGTGCAAGGAATCCGGGCGCTAAAGTGAAGCCAGACTAGAGAGTGAGTCTGGGGAGAAGGGTGAATAGGGAAGTGGTGGAGGAAGATAGGAGGAGAGACAAAAAGAAAAGAGAAAAGAGGAAAGACGTGATGGTGATGGGTCGAAAGGAAAAGGAAAAGAGACGAGAAGAGAAAGAGAGGAGTTCGCCGATCCCGATAATTACCCGTGTAATACGAGCGTATCTCCACTCCTCTCCACATCAAATTGGGTACACAGGTGGCAAATTACGGTCATTACCGTATTGGAGTACGCCTCGGCATGTCGAGTCGAGTGTGTCATTTGGAGAAAAACAGAGAAAAACAGAGAAAACAGAGACAATAGGGATAAATATGCGATATATCATAAATGAGATATCCTATGTATAACATATATACTGATATATCCATTTCTCTATATCCTACACTACACACCAGGAATACACTACTCGATTGACCCTTGCTTTCGTCATTGACCTTCTCCAGAGTACGGAGTAGGTATACAGCCATGTGATTGGCTGCTGTTCGTGATCAGCTTTCAATACAACAAAGTCTATACAACTTGGCCAATCCACACAGGATCATATCTACGGTATACCCGGAGGTACTCCGTACAGTCCTGGGATTTCTTTGCTGCGAATCGCGCTGAATACTAGTTAACTAGTTAGTTACTCAAAAAGTTTATGTTGCCTGAAATATCAGGCCAGTTTACCCCACCGATAAGGCGATAATCAAATATTTTTTTGATGGAGTGAATGCCTACTTTTGGAGGGGTACTACCTACTACCACCTTCACCACCTTCACCACCACCACCACCACCACCATGGCCGAGGAAGACTTCTCCACTGGGGACATGTTCCAAGACCCAGAAGGGTACTACCCGGATGAGCCAGAACCCACCTTCGCCGAGCACACCATGCTGTCCGGCAAGACAGTTCGCGTCCGACTCGTGGGCAGCCACCCACTTTACGTACGTCAACCGCCCCAATTGCCCAATTGATAGCCTACCAGATGAACTAACCATACTCCCACTCTAGGGAAACCTCCTCTGGAACGCCGGCCGAACCAGTGCACACTACATCGAAGAACGAACCGAAGACCTCATCCGAGGCAAAGACGTCCTCGAGATCGGCGCCGCAGCCGGCGTCCCCAGCATCGTCAGCGCCATCCAGGGCGCCAACACCGTTGTGCTGACCGATTACCCGGATCCAGACCTGGTGCAGAACATGCAACACAATGCGGAACTGGCAGTCGACCAAATTCCCAAGGGCCCCGACAATCGTAATCCGTTACATGTCGACGGCTACCAATGGGGTAAACCGGTGGAACCCTTACTTGCATATATTCCTCCCTTGGCCGATGGCTCGAGAGCTACGGGCTTCGACGTGCTCATTATGGCCGATGTCATTTATAGTTATCCCGAGCATGGCAATCTGGTTAAAACTATGCAAAAAACGCTCAAGAAGACCGCTGAGGCCGTTGCGCTGGTTATTTTTACGCCGTATCAACCTTGGTTGTTGTCACAGACTGAGAAATTCTTTCCGCTGGCGGAAGCGGGGGGATTTACTGTGACTAAGATCTTTGAGAAGTTGATGGGTGAAGTTCTTTTTGAAGATGATCCTGGTGTAAGTTTATTGATTCCTTAGGGTTAAATATGTGCATGATTCAGTGCTGACTATGATTTACAGGATGAGAAGCTTCGCAGGACAGTTTTTGGATACGAGCTTCGCTGGTCGCCTGATCAATTGGGTGAAGGTGCCTCGAAAAGCGCTTGATTTGAGATTAGATTTGATACCCTCGCATTTGCATAAACTATATAGACATCGAGGCGGAGTTCCAGTCATTTGATGCCGTACAAAACTCTCGAGATGAAAATTCAAAAGTCATATTTTATACTAATTGTACAAGGCACTAGTACTTCGCTGATTACTTATACTTCCTAGTTAAAATAAAGCCTTGGGGCTTGAACCTACTAGTAATCCAAAACCTGCCGCGTACTTTTGCAATCGCTCCCAGTACTAGCCATCTGGTCCTCATGCATCCAGGCGGCGACAATGAACGCCAATTCTCCACTATATTACTCAGTGTATGCTAAGGATGAAAGGCTGATAGAGAAACGAGTTCATAATATTCTAGCTCTCCTAAGCTACATATTATCAGTCCCTCAGTACCATAAAATCACGATACGGTGACGCCCTGATGGGGTTGTCGAGTTCGAAATCCCTCCGCCATGCTGCGAACAAAGCAAAAAATGGAAATTCCATCAACATGCTCGGTCAAAGATCTTCTTCCGAAGCGCATCCCATTCATTCTTGCATCTGTTGTCGATTTCCTCACTCAGCCTCTTCAATTTCCGGTGCTCACAAATCAAATCAAGAGGCAGTTTGGCCAGGATGTCGGGGTTCTTCTCCATCACTCTAGCCTGCTGGTTATAAATGTTCCAGCACAGGTTTGTTAGGATTGAAATCCTGATAGGATCTAGATTTGGATCGCGCAGATTCTGCAGTGCCAGCTTTCCCTCCTCGCAGAGACGGACCAATTGATACGATTCCTCTGAATCCGCCATTAGATCGTCGGCGGTCCATTCAGGCTTTTCCATAAAGCTCCACCACTCATTTCTGCACCAGCTAAGATCGTCTTTGTCTTCGTTTTGGACTGAGATACCAGATGTCCTCTCTCCTCCACTTTCGACCTTGTCCCTTGTCCGTCTCGGTTGTATCGCTGGCGCTGTATTCCTGGGCAGAATTCTTTCGTTGAGTTTGAGCAGCTCCCTGCTTCAGGGTTTCCGCTTCCGAATGTCCCATCTTCGACATAAGGGCAACTGGTTTGGTCTGCTTCTGTGGACTTTCAGAAGGCTTCTGGTCGGAGGGTCGAGGCAAGGAGACGATAGGAGTTGGCGGGCTGGCCATAAGCAAAGTCTCACGTTGACGACGTGATGCTTTGGAAGCTTTGAAAACATTTGGGGCATTTGTTGGTATCGAAATGGAGGTCATATTGGCCAAACCCACATTTTGTTCAGAACTTTCGGGCCTTAGTCTCTCTGTTTTCGGGCCTGTGAGTGGAATTATAACTAGACCTGAAATAGAGCCTGGACTTGGCCGGAGACGTGGGCTCGGACTAGGGGTTGAGAGTGGACTTGAACCACCGCTTGAACCGAACAGCTCTTTATCTTTATTGGCTGGTGAATAGCCAGAACTGGGCCTCTCATCGGTGTGGGTAGATGTAGCGTGTTTCTTGGTGGATTCCGAAGCTATCCCCTCCATGTCAGAGTAATGAGTATCTTTGTTTTGTTCGAACTTCGGACTCGCCAACCCGGTAATAGCTAGTCAACAGTCGATGAAAATCTGATGAATAGAAGGCGTACTTCGAGGTGAATTTGAAAAGATTTAACTAATTGGGAGCAGAAAGAGAGAAGTAGCTTGGCAAACGGTGCAAAGTGAGAGAAGGGAACCCTACAAACAGAAACCACAACGCAATATTGGAATGCGGGTCTTCTGAATTCCATGAAATTAACAGTAGTGACACTTTTATTGAGTCATTGGAATCATTTTATGGCTTAGATACTTGAACACATTCTAATACTAGTAGAAGTAATATTCGTCCCATCATCGTATAGTCGGAACCTCAACCGCAGGAAAAGGCTCGCCACTACATCTTCATAATAGCCAAGCACATGACATTAAGCAGGTATCTGCTCCAGAATCCCTGCTTCCACCAGTCGGCTAAGTTGGAATTAAGGAATCGCCGATATGGACTTCCGCTGTGGGTTTTCGAATGGTGACTGAAGAGAGCCCTGGATGGTTGCGAATTGGGGACGGTGTCCGCTGGCAGGCTGGCCCGGGGAATATATTTCCCTGCAGTGCTCTAGAGGCTTTTAGAGCGCTGGAGGGGGCTGGCCGCATTGGATGCAATAGTCCATTGAATTTTGTAAGTGGTTCGTCGTAAACTAAAGATCCAGACCATGATGCTTCTTTTGTGGGGGTCAGACTTGGATTTAAAGATGCAATCCGCAATGTAGACTGCGAGGACTGAAATTTGCGATCAAGCCCGACAGAAAAGGAGAATGATCCCCATCTCCTGAGTTCTTCTCTCTAAGTCTAGACTGAACTAGACCGAAAACCGTGTTGGGATGGACAACGGCTGGAGTGAACCGACAAGACCGTGAAACAAACCGCTCAGGGGTATTGCTATTCATTCGCTGATCGATCAACCATCGAGATCGGCAGTAACTTTCTAGACTCGCTAACACCTTGACGACAACTCTTTTGCTCACGAAAACTAGCGTCCCTATAGCTGGTTCTTGGGGCCGGAGGGGCTGCCTTGCAGTCCGGTCTCGTCCGCTTGCAGATTTGACAGTTATCGACATCTGGATGGATATCTTTGTTCCGTCTCGCCCAGTATCAGCGAATATAATAGAACCGGAAGAGCTTTTCCTCTCCAGGATATATTAATCGGGTACGCAGGTCTCTATCGTCGGGGACAACGAGGCTTCTTTCGCGCAGCAGTATTATATCCTCCAACCAGGTAATGGCCACGTAAATAAAACGCCAATGTGACCGAATATCATTCACCATGATACTTCATAACCTCATGGGAGAACTCCAGGGCTTTTAGGTGAGTGTGAAAAGATGCGAGGGAGGGAAGTGGAAATTGGAAGGCGGAAGAAGTTGCCTAGCAATGGAGGGTGCAAACTTCAAGTGCAAAGTGACCCAAAGGGGAAAACAGCGAAAATACCATATTAGGCTACTATATAATAATACAGTAGCATGTGGGCTACCCAGGTGCCTGAATACCCTAAGATGAACAGCAGTGATACTACCAGCAAGTACTAGTAGTAGTAATGCCATATCGCCACCAGGGGGGTGGAGGGGTTTTAAATATAGTATTCACGACTGTATTTAGATAATGGAGTATTTCGGAAAGCGCCAAATTGAGCCAGTGTGTAGTTCAATACGGCACCATAACACATAGCATCTACTACTAAATATTAGAATTAGTACCTATATTTAGTACAACTTGAATGCAAAGCAACACTCACAGAGACAAAGAAATACGTGTCACAAATCGAAAGGCTAGTCAACGGTGATGGTACTAGTAGTTTCATTGAGTCGTGAATAACATTCAATGGCATAGATGCCTGGATGCATTGGTTGCATCTGCATCTGCATTGTTGTATAGTTGGAGTATCTAATCAGGTGGGTCACATGCCTAGCCTCAACCCCGCGGGAAAAAAGTTCGCCGCTACAACTCCGCAACAGCCCACCATGCCAGTAAGAACACCCACTTCTGACCCTCGAGGCTTGAATTAACACAATCGCAGCTCGTTATTCTCACAGGGTATCCCTGCTCCGGTCTCAGCTACCGCGCAAATCAACTTGCGTCGCTGCTCGAGAAAGCGCAAGATGAGATCTTCGCAGCCACTGACGCAGAGTCGCCCCCATCGCTAAAATTCCGGTACAAGATCCACGTCGTTTCGTCGCATGATAACAGCTCATACCCTCGTACTGTCTACGACCATGCCAGGACGGAGAAGGAGGCTCGCGGTGTCGCCTATGCGCGTGCGAAGCGTGTGGTGACCAAGGACAGCATTGTGATCTTGGATGGCATGAACTACATCAAAGGGTGGCGGTACCAGCTTTGGTGCGAGAGTAAGGCAGCAGGGACTTCATGCTGTGTGGTAAGATTCCAGGCTCAAAATACGCGGAGTGGGTAGACAATGGCTAACTGAAGTTCGTCTAGGTGCACGTCGGTACTCCCGTTGATCAGTGCGTCGCGAACAACAAGGCCCGTTTGGATCGGGATGCAGCCCAAGAAAAGGATACCTCTTCGCCAGAGCAACCGAATCCCTCAAGCGACACTACCGCCCCAGTCCAAACTTCAGACACTGAGCAGGCCTATTCTCGCGAACTCCTCGACAACCTTATCTTCCGCTACGAAGAACCGAGCACACACAGCCGATGGGACAAACCTCTCTTCACAGTACCTTGGGAGGATGCCGAACCCCCGGTAGCTGATATCTTCCACGCCCTTACCGGGGTAGTTCTCCCCTCCGCCGAGGTACCTGTCGTAACGCCAGTCTCCAACCTCATTGACTCCCTCGCCTCAACCAACCTCTCCTCCGCCGCCAGCACAACTACCACAGCGCGAACCTTCACCCGCGGAGCCTCAACCAGACCCAGAATCGTCGCGCACCAAGCCACAACACAAGCCGCGGTCACAGATCCAGGCGCTCTCTACGCAATGGAGAAACGCACGACGGCCGTCATCAATGCAATCCGCACCTTCACCCAATCCAACCCCTCCGCCGAGGAAGCTCTAGCGCAGAGCGAAAACCCCCACGGGATCGCGATCGATGTCCCCGAAGCTTCGTTCCCTATTCTCATTCCCGTGCACGTCGCCACGACTGGGACAACGGACGAATTGGCCGGTGCAGGTGGAGTTCTCGCGGCGCCGAAACTCCAACGCCTGCGGAGACAGTGGATCAGTTTGAATCGGAGATATCTTAGTCACGGTCATGGTGAGAAGCAGGGTGGTTTGGCGCCTGATCAAGTTGGGGATGCATTTGTGCGCTTTTTGAATAGTAGTATTGGAGGTGAGGATGGATTGGAAGCATAGATGGAAGACGCATCAATGTTGGCGAGAAAAAAATGCCACATTGCACATTCTGTTGATAAGAGCTATTGAGATATGATTAATGAGCTTATGATATAAATCTACAATCATATAAACCTTGGAAGTAATACTCCATCTTGATTAAGCTGTAACATAATCGGGGCTGTCGCCTTGTCTCTTTACTACGCATTGAATGAAGGTCAAAGGGGAACGCGCAAATCAAGCCGGCGGAACTACGCACCATATCTGTAACGGACTCGATTGCCCCCCCTATCCCTCCCAATCCATACCATGAAGAACAGGACTGCTATTACTGGTGTATCTATATAGGATTTCCGTTCCGAAATCCATTTGATATTTGCAATGGTTTGTGATCCACCATCCCTAGGTATAAGGTCCTTGCGAATCCAGAGACTGCTCGCGTCTACAATACAAATATAATCCCTTCAATGCAGAACATATTTCAACGTCATCAAAATGGCTTGGAAGCGGGTAGGTATCATAATCAAGCCACATTTGCCTTGTTCTCGGAGATTCAGCATCTGACAATGGTTTTCTGTGAAGTGCCATGGTTAGACAGATTCAAAAATTGATAAAAGCGAACTTACTCATGGCTATTAAAGACTGCAAAGCCAGTGGAAATAATCAGCACAGGCCGAGAAAGATCAGCGATAATCTGCTTAACTGGGGCGGCAGGAAAGGGTGATATTATGATCGAGTCTTCGTCAATTTCCGCAAATCCTCCTGCACCATAAGTTCCAACAATTTCGAATCCCTTCTTCGTCAGAATATCTTCTGCGACCTCTGTATACTCTGGGTCCTGAGTAATCAATGGCAATGTTTCATTGCCACCACAAAGCTGAGCGATAGTAAGAGCCATCGAATGCTGGATCATGCAGCCCATCACATTTTTCACTTCCGAGTTCTCATCCCAAGAATCATGCTGCTTTTTTAGCCATTCAGGCGCGGTACGGCAAAATTCACCGAGCCCGAAGCAGAGAACTTTCTTCGCAGTTTTTGTACGGAGTACATCTTGGACCAAGGCTGTCAATTGCTTGCAAGTCTTGCTATTCTGCCACAACAATTGTTTCTCATCAAAGACTTGCATAGGCTGTGCTATAAGCTCTCGAAAGTTTCGTGCAGTCCGATTGTTCCAATCCACAATATAAGAGCATAGATAAGTTTCGACTGGGCCCTTAGGCTGTGCTCTCACGAGTTGCCAATATTCTTGGTATCTGACATAGGGTTTCCTAAGGAAAAGTTAGATTGCAGGCCGAAATTGGGTTAGGCCCATACCCACTTACCAGATAGGATTCTGTACTTGGAACATGGGATTGGAAATTTGGATTATGCATCCATCGATTCGACGGACTAAGAATCGCTCCATCGTATAGGATTGGCGTAATTGTTGCTCTATGTCTTCGAGGTCCTCTCTCTTCCAAAGCCTGGTACCAGAACTGTACAGATCTGCGGCTCTTTGGCTGCTGATCCGCCAATCTGTGCACCCGTAGTCGAGCGGTCCTAGAGTTTGTGGCATGGTCTCGTAGCTGCTGGTTGAGCAAGGGTGAGGAATAAAGTGGTGAATTGCTGGGAGAAAAAAGCCCAGGATTATTTGGAAAGAGGATAGTTTTATTCGTGTACAAGGGTCAGAAAAGAAAAGGCTAGGACTGAATTGTGATACTCGATTGTCTGCTTACACCACATTTCACTCCAGATTCTACCCCGCTTTTTTGCTTTTTTTATACCCTAGTACTAGTATTGTCAATTGGGATGAACGAGGTTCGACGGCGTATTGGGACGCTAAATCTAACAAGGCAAAACTAATCGGATCTAGTAACTCATAGCTCCGTCGTTTACAATGTCTAAACAGCTAGTAATTACAATCATTGCCATGCAACACACCCGGGGCTTCGCCTGTCAATCCATAGAAGCTTTTAATACAGTTTGCAGCAGTAGACATGTTGGTCCAACTGAACCGTCTATAGTTATATTAATGTTGACATGTAGCTAATATTCTTCTTTGACCTGTTACTGATGGAGCCAAGGACTGGACAAGGCCCAAAACAGAATCTTCGAACCCAGTTGCTTTTCGGCAAACGAGGTGAACTCGTCCTTTGTGAAAGGCTTGCTGGTGTTTGGATTGATTGCCGCCAAATCCGGTTCCTGCACTGCAACCACATTGATAGGGACCTTATTCCGATACTCCGACATGTATGGGTAGGCGTTATTCTCCATGGTTTGCTTGAAGGGAATATTGTCTGGTCCACCAATACCCACACCATGGTCTGCAAAGAACTGGAACGAGTCGGAGAGGTAGTTATTCTCGTTTGCCCAGCCACAAGGCCAGAAGTTGACGTACTGCACGGCATAGGAGCGATGGAATACCTCGGCTGCGTAGCGGGCATTATCTAGAGTACCCTCGAAATAGGCTTGGCAGGTGTAGCCGGTGGCATTGTTGTTGGACTGAACTTCGATTGCGGTCTCTGGGAGGTTGAAGCCATAAACCTTTCCATCGAACTTGGCTGCAAGAGCTTTCAACAGGCTCTGGAACCTTTCACGGACATGGGAGTTCCATTGCGCTGTAGCCCAACCGCCTGCGACAAAGTCGCTGTCGCAGTCATCACCATCACACTGAGGCACACTGCCGTTGTTGTAGATTGATTTATGAAGGTATCTCGGCACAGGATTGTTTTCGATGCTGAAAGAGCGGTCCTGGATCTGAACCCAGAGTTGTTTGCCCTTGGACCGTGTTTGGTTCAAATCGTTCTCAATGGCAGAGAAATCGTATTGGCCTCTCTGCGGCTCGAGAGACTTCCAGCTGTAAAGGTTCTGGATACCTTGGATTTCTGGATGCTCCAAGAGAGTAAGAGCTTCCTTGTCGATGTCGCTGGTGTATAGCCAATGAGACAAGGAAGAGTTGGAAGAAGCCTTGCCATTGACAGGGCAGATGGCAGACAGGATGCCGACTGCTAGGAGGTAAAGGTTCAACTGCATGCTTGTCCACAGATTTGGAAAAAGAGAGTCTTTGAGTTGTGATTGATGTCAACCTATACAGTTGGAACTGAACTCTCCTTTAAGTACAATAAATTCCTCCTGCCTAAAACGTTAGATTCGAGTTTTAGAAACAAACCCATATAACCGTTGCGCGGCAAATGCCGACCATGTAACTTCGATCCACTTTTCCAAGACATAGTTGTGCCGAACTACCAATTGGACTGTCACTGAACCCCCATAAAACTCAGTTACAATTGTGCTGAACAATTCCATTTATTCTATCTTCTGGTAGCGAACTAGGTTCTCCCCACATGCCGTTCTTGCATCGCGCTAACAATTTTACAAGTAGTATGAATAGTAAGGGCGGATCGAAAATAGATTCACCCTCTCAACACAGCCTTTTTCTCCAACCCCTATTTAGAAACACCCTAAATTCATTCACGTTTACCTCTGTTTCAATCATCAAATTGCATTGGAAATTCATATATGTGAGAATTTATATAGCCCTTCAGCAATTATAATATGGAACTCTGCCCTGTCCTTCTTGTACCCTTCCAGCTCCAGGAGTATGATGACATAAAAACAAATGCTCAATTTGGAGATTTGCCTCCTCAGTACCTGGAAATCGATTAAAACTATTTATGGACAACTCCCACGGATTCTGGAGCTTCACTGTTGATGGCTGCAAGGTTGGTAGCAAGTCTGGCTCTGGTTTGATGGAATTTCCGACACTGGCACCACCTTGCACCTGCTAGCGTTGCGAAGAACGACCAAAATGTCGCCGAATATGTCTTTCGTGCTCCACCAGCCCTCCTGGCTTCAGCCTTACCATTGGGCACTGAACTGCTACTGCCCCGGGTCTCTGGTTAACTGTGGTGGCTCTGGAGCTGGATTTTGCATTGATCGCATCCAGTCAAACTCTGGAGTTGGCTTCTTCCAGCTTTGGTGATATCTTCTTGGACTTGGCCTACCTCGATTGCCTTTTTGCTTTTTTACTGTTTTTTCCAGGTTGAAAGACTAGAACCAGGCCAGTGCATTTTCTCTTTCCTTCTTTTTTCCTTCTCCCCTTTCTTCTTGTTTGTTGTTGCTCTTCTACCTCATCCATCCAGCCTTCCAAATATATCCGTTTGCTGTCCCCACTGAACAGAATATAGTTGAACAAAAAGCACAGTAATACTAGTACGCCTCTGGAAAGGAAAATCCCTTCCAAGGTTCGCTTTATGCAATAAATCTATAGTGCCCGTATTTTCGACACCGAATTTTGAAATTATAATTATAATCTAAGCTAGTTTAACATTTTCATAACCCCAGTATAAACAGAAACAGAAATATAAAACAATAAGCATACTACGTCAAATGTTAAATGGCATGCAGCCTAGCGGCCTAAGGCATCCAGGTTGCCATGACCCGCACATTCACTAAGTAGTCGAAGTTTCCTCCTTCCACATCCATCTATCAACAAGTTTTTCTTCGATCTCGTCTTCATTAAACGAATCATGTCTAGTCACCAAATTTGTCCCAATCTAACCATTGCCATATTGTGAACACTCAAAATGGAGAGCTCCCTTGGGAGGTAGGCATTTCATCATTGCTTTGTGCTGATCAGAGACTGACACTCTGAAGACATCTTGTCTCGCCCTTGTTCACGTTCACGGTAGGCACTGAAAGGAAGGAATTCGTCGTTCATTCTTCCGCTCTGGCGGAGCTTTCTCCAAGTATTAACCCTCTAATGAATGGTGGAATGCGTGAGGCCAAGGCAAAACATGTCGACTGGTCAGAGATCGATATCGACACATTCATTCGCTTATGCGAATTCGCCTATTTCAAAAACTACATACCTCCTTCACCTCGCCTGGTTGAAGGCCGAACCCTCCCAGAAGCGGAGTTTGAAGAGGTCGTGCCTGACCCGTGCCTGAACCCGTGCCTGAACTGTTGGAGCCTTCGAATGAAATACCTCCGGCTGAGGACACGATTTGTGATGACCAAGAAATCATGTACAAGGAACGAAGCTTTGAGACTGGAAAGCTACGATTTGCATTCTTAAGGAGTCTAGTCATTGCGAGCACGGAAGATTATCTTTGTAATATTGGGTCCTGTGATTTACTAGATATGGTTAGATTTGCCGTTTTCGGCCAAACGCGCCATAATACACCGTAACACGCTGTCTTGTCACCTCCTCTTCCATTGCCCCGACATGAAAGACGAGGCCTGCCCTCTTTCTCTTCTCTCTCCCTCCCTTCAACTCCTCTCTCTCCCTCCTCTACCTTGCACTCGTTGCCGCCCCCTTTCTTTCGTATCCGCCCCCACCGGCCACTTCGCCTTGGTTTTCAGCCGGACGCACTGCCCCTATCATTTTACCTGAGACGTCGCTTATGTCGCTCAATCCGACGCAGCTCGTTCTCCCCATAGGAAAGAGTAGGCTATGCTGTTCGGGATGATAAAGGATGTTGGGTAGCAACGAAGAGAAGGGCGAGAAGGTCTTGGAGGTCTCAAAGATGCTTCCTTCAAACCCTAGCGTGCCATCTTCGGAGATTCGGTTGACGGCCGACATTTATGACTAAAAAAGGTCGCAGACACTTATGCTGGAGGTGATGTAGAGCATTGACGGTCGACGCAGGAGCGAGAGTTCAGCTTTTCCTTCATACCGAGACTTTTAGACCATCACGACGGCGCCCTTGGCCACCAAGGTATATAGGAGTGGTGTTGAGAGGATCTCCAATTTTGATGCCATTTTCGCCAGCCCCATTATTTTCCCATCCCCGCAGATAAACAAGCCTAAGAGTCGGAGGCAATCCAGATGTGGTACGGAAAACAAATGCACTAATTCTAGGAACGGGGTAAGCTAACTACTTGGGCAAATTCCGCCCCACATTCCACCTATAAGATAGCCCTCTGCCAATTCAAAACGAATAATCTTACTCGTGGCTTTTTTGTACTCCTGAACAACCCTCACGTGTGCAGCCACCTGAGAGATTCTGGAAAGTGGTCGAGTTGGCCTTCGCAATTCTTCTCTCTACCAGTTCTTCCTCCCTGTTTGAAGCAATTCGCTACTGCTCCTATGTCAACGCATATGTTTGAATATGCGGGCCTGACCTTTTACTCCTAATCACTCCTTCGTCCTCTTGAAGATCCTACTAAATTTTCCGGCAGCACCTATACAATAATGCCAGTACCGTCGCTCGTAATACCCCGCGACAACAACAGCTCGGACGTCACGATGCTGACATTTGTTGATCCGACGAAGGAAGTTAACGTGGGACTATGGTGTCTATTTGGCGGTGCCTCGGTGTTCCTGGGCCTGCGGATCTGGGTGAAGTTCACCAGATTACAGGGGCTCTGGTACGATGATTACATTCTCGTAGCATCATGGGTATGACTTTCCAGTCTCTCACGCGCCATTCACACTTCAGTCGATGGCTCCGACGACGCGCTGCTAACAAGCTTCTCGCACACAGGCGGTCCTCTTAATAAACAATATCCTGATATGCTGGGAATACGCCAATGGATATGTCAGCCAGACCGGCGAGTGGGACAAACACATGCACATCATCATTAACATCACGTCGTGCGGCACGCTTATCGGGCAGGCATGGTCCAAGACGGCCTTTGGCGTTACACTGCTACGCATAAGCAACCAATGGCAGAATTACGTCCTGTGGTTTTGCATAGCCACTATGAATATCTTCATGATCCTCAAGTGTATCCTCCAATGGGCGAAGGTCTGCGATGGCGCAGACGACTATCAGGCGTCGTATCGGCTCAATTTCTGCATTTATAACAAATTCCGGAACGGTGTTAAGGAGGGAGGACAGGGTGCGTGGTCAATCCCTACTTGGGAGATGGTATGAGGAACTGTGGCCTGTGAGCTGACAATGTGATATCTAGTTTATAACGTCATTATGGACTTTGTTTTCGCGCTGTTTCCGTGGATTATCGCATGGAAACTGAACATGAGGAGAAATGAGAAGATCGCTCTCAGCGCCACGTTAAGCTTAGGAGCTATGTGAGTTCAGACGTCTCGGACTTGCAGCGAAGTCGCTCTCAGTGAAGGATAGTTCACTAAGACCATTCCAGAATTGCGATTCTTACAGCTGTAAGAACGGCCTGGAAGAACGTATCGAACACCCACGATGCTTGGTATTACTGTAAGAACCATTCTTGCTGAGTCTCTGTTTCTATTCAACAGTGCTGATAAGTTGGCGATATCTCCACACAGGGAATAACGGAATGTCTAACATTTGGTACTCATCCGAAGTGGCCGGGACGATCTTGGTGCAATGCATTCCTATCTTACGGCCCTTCTTCCGCGAGGTACACACCTCCCGGCTCCTCACTTCAAGGGAAAGAGAATACCATGAGAGTGGCCGACATAGTATATTTCGAAGCACAGGGTATAGCTGCGAAATATCGGGGAGGCGCCACTCTGATGGCAGCTATAGGAACGCCTTGGTTGGCGACAAAGGCCACGAATTTATCAAACTACAGAGTGTGCAAGAAGACTCAGAATTGGAGGCTGGGAAGGGAAGGGGGTCCTCTCGAAATCAGGTTGATCAAACGTTTATAAAGAAGCCTCAGCTTTGACGAGCTGCAGCCTGCAGATGACTAAAATATGCGTAAATATATTGACGGTTCATGAGTTTCGACACCCCTACCCCCCTGGATTATATAATATTTTGCCTGTTACCAGCCAAAGGCAAACGGTGGAGACCCTGTGTATCAAGCGAAGGTATCAAGACTGGGGAAGGGAAGGAAGAGGAAACTATCTGGTGGGGTGATGTTTGATAGCAGGGCTTGGCGGGTGCAGAGTAGTGGTGTTTAAGGTTGATGGGGCGGCCGAGCGGGGGCCAGCTGGTGGAGGTTACGGGTGGAAAGGCGGCCGTTTCTGGCGCCAGGGGCTGTCATTTTCGGCGTCGATCTCACAGGTCCTTATATTCTATGTGTAGAACAAGCCTCACACTGGCACCACCCAGGATTACCGGCTCCTGGGAGAATTCCCACCCTGTCTTTCTCGGACAAGCCAAACTCTACGTCCTAGCCGACAAATACGGTATCGAGCCTTTGCGTCGACTCATTATTCTCAAGCTTTATCGAACACTGAGCACCTTCAAACTGTACGATACGGGGGTGGTTTCCATTATTGAATTTGTTCGATTCGTCTATTTGAACACACCACCGAATCATGGCGGCCAGGTTGATCCTCTGAGAAACATGGTAACGCGTTATGTCATTTCTGTTCTTGGAAAAATCGGCGAAAATCAGTATTTCCAAGAGCTTTTGGAGGACGGTGGTCCTTTCGTCGCCGACTTCTGGCGTATCATCTGGAGTGTTTAAACCACCAACACAAGCGTATTGTGCGCGCTGCCTTCAGACCGGCAGTGTGTCTTAGCGTTACAGAAGCGCCCGACATCGGTTTCTATGCCGCGAACATAGAGATGCTCTTTCAAACCCTAACCACATGATACAAGTAAATAATACGTTCTGTTCATACCAGCAATAATACTAATTCCTTTTTTATAGATTGTAACACAGATACTAAGGCCTAAAATTACAAGTCTGGAGTTTCTGGAGGGTTCTAAATAAACGTAGCAAATACTGTAAACGAAGTAACATCTGAACTGGTAAAGTGTCAGCTTCTCTCTTCTGTATCTTGCTGTGGCTTTACTGCAGCGCTTGATGCTTCCTAGGGGTCTATCTGGGGTCAAGGTAATAGGTAAGTCTTAATAGTAAGGTTTACTTTTTGGATCTCTACTATTACTTATTATTATACTGTGGCTTTAAATCTTATTAGATATTAGAGATAACTGGCTAATGTCTTATAATATTGCTTAGGTTATACTACTCTGTAGATATTTATAATAACTAATAATCTTTTTGATAATAATGCTTATTAAACCTAGATAGTTAACTGCTAGAAGAGAAATTTAGATAATGCTTCTATATCTAGTAAATTTACTCGTACGCCTGCTACTGTGTATTCTTCTAGCTCTGTCCCTAAGTATGCTATAGATTAACTGTAGTCTGATTATCTTGACTTTCTCTTATTAGCTGAATAGGAAGAAGGTAGTAAATATAATAAGCTATTACTGAGATATATTTTGTATAGGCTTATACTTTACTGTAAAACAGTAGGTAAAGTAACTAAGGAAGATCTGGTTATAGTTTATGGTGATTACTAGGGAAAGAGTTTATAAATAAATATTGAAAATATACAGTAAATAAAAAAGAAGTATTATCAGTAAGTTTGATCAGAAGGTATAGCTATTATAGTCAAAGTAAATAAATAGTCGTAAGTAAAACTAGAAAAAGTTTTGTATTTCTACTAATATAAACTAGACCTTAGCAGAGAAGTAACTATATAAATAGAGTAATCTACTTTGTATAGGTAAGAAGCTTATAATTAAGATCGTCTTTGCTTATAGGAAGGATAATAATAGCTATTCTATGTCTCTGCTAAGAAAATCTGAAAAGAGAGGATATATATCTGTAACTAGCAAAATATTAGCTAAACATAAGGTATATATTATAGTAGAGGAAGAGGTTACTAGATAACCTTTGACCTGTGAATATATATACGAGCTTATATAATATAATGTCTGTTTATGTCTGTATAAGTCTGATTAGTGCTGGGAGGATCTGAAGGATAAGAAATACTATAAACTTAGGACTCTGTATGTAACGAACTGGGGTTGTTACCATTCGCAGATGCCTGACGTAGATGGCATCCACTTAGGCATCCACGCCTACATGTACTTAGTTCCATCTCAGCTTCCTCCTTCTTCTTCTCCTCAAGCTATTACTTTCGTCGAACAGCTACTGCTTCCTTTGCTTCGTATGCTACGCCGTACGTTGATCTCTGTGAGCATCTGAGCATCCTCACACTGTATCTAGAATAGCTTATTAACTATATTGATAAGGGTGGTATTCTAGATAGTTATGATGATATTTCTGGTGATATTTGTTGAGATCTAATTCTGGAAAGTTAGGTAGGAAGAAGTTTAAAAAAAGTTAATATGCTAATAACGGGAGTACTATATTCTCTAATAATAGTTAATATTTTACTAGTACAAAATGGTAGTGTACCTGTGATTACTTTATCTCTATATAGGCTCTTATCTGAGGAGTAATTACATCCATCACCTATTTTACACCACCTCAAAAGATATAGACCGAAAATGTTTACCTATTGGGCTTCCGAAATTTGACTGATATTTTACACCATATTGCCATGGCCCCACTCAACTGGAGGCAGACGAGCACAGCTCGCTGATCATGACATGGCGATCGACTACCGAACCCGAACCCGAATCGAAGGCTCCAATGAAACCCGCTAATCACTTTTGGGGACGCAAAGCAGGCATACCAATTTTTTATCAACAGTTACGTATCCATGACGGTGCAGCATGATTCGAGATTTTGGGATGCATCCGCGATAGTCCAGGCAGAAAGGTTTACCATGCGAGCGGATAGGGGTCAACTCGCTTTGATTTGAATTCCTATGTTCATAAAAGAGTGAAGTGGGCACTTCGGGTCTCATGCCTCGATTTGGAATTTCTTTAATACGAGTACGCAGTGGGTCAAGTCGGAAGCATTCAATCCGGGTGTTAATTCGACAGTCCCAGCCTCCTACATCAGTCACTTGCCAGGCAACAAAGAGACATTCTGGAATATTTAAATTCGTTTGCGACAGGCTGGTGCGAAAAAATTCCAGATATCTTCCTGCGTGTGAAAAGAATACTCTACGAAAATGGCTGGCCCGAAGCACACCATATCCCCCGTCGAAAGCTCAGATCTTGCCTTTCTATCGAAATTCATACACTCCGCAAAGCTTTCTCTAAGCATCAATCGTCTTCTGTATCAGCCGTGGCCCAATGATCCTGTCCAGGAAAAGCAGTACACAGGAGCTGTCGAAGGTGCATTTGCGGACTCCTCGATGGAATGTTTCAAGGCGACTGATGGTGAATCGAATGCGATCATCGGCTACATTGTCCTGGCGAGGAAGACGGCCGCCAAAGGAGACTCAATGGCCCCTGCCCAGTCCGCAGACAATGGGCACAATGTCCCGGAGGGAATGAACCCTGGTGTCCTTGCAGAAGTAAATGCGGCGAACATAGCCATAAGCAAGGCAACGGAAAATATTGACCGTTATGGTAGGGCTTCCATGCAGCGGGTTTGAATGGTGTCTTTGCTAATACCATAAATTGTATCTAGAATTGGTCTACTTGTGCGTCGAGCCATCATACCAACGACAAGGTGTAGGCTCCAGCTTACTCCAGCTTGGATTTGACCGAGCTAGAGCAGAGGCCATTCCACTTGCTACCGCTGCAGAGGCACCTGCATATGGCTTTTTCGATAAACTTGGGTTCAAAGAAACAAGGCACGTAGATATTGATCTACGAAAATACGCACCGCAAAATAGCGGATTCGGGATCTTCCGACTTACTGGTATTATTTGGAAGCCATGAATTTGGCATCAGCCAACAGAGAAACGGCCCATGGTGTTATATCAGCAATGATAGTACAATCAAGATGACTTGGATGGAGATGACTTGTCGATACGAGGTAGTACAGTATTTTACTACTAGAGATTGGACGATTCAGCGGCCACCCAATTCTCCATATGTTTGGTATGACAAACCGGATCAACTCGGATACTCATGTTGTACAAAATTTAGCCCCTGAAGCCTAGAGACACTTCAACAGCAGTCTCTAAGATATTTCTTCAATCAATCAATCATATTTATTGGTTCCCTCAGTATCAGTCCATACGAATATCCTACGATCCGTCCTGACCTTCTGCACCTTGTTTTGTGTAATTAAAACAGCTTTGACAATGGAACAATCCAGCCATAATCTATTTTCCAGTTAATTGGCCATTGACTCACCGGGCCATCCTATTACGGTTCAGCCTCGTCACGGGTACAAGCCGAGAAACAACAGCGTGTGTCCAGAGGGGAGACTGTTTTCGAAATTCTCTGTAGAGCAAGGGCCAGACATAGGATATTGTTGATTTAAGCACCTCAAAGAACAAATCAAACAAGTGCGAAATTGAATAACAAGGGGGGATTACATATGAGCTGGCTGGCTTATGCTATTTATTGCAGAGGCCTCGCTTCCTAGCACGGCGGTTCACTTATATCTTCTCTATCATTAAGCCTGCATGGCAGGAATAGCCTTCAGCGCTCTGCTGTTCTGCACCAACATCATAGACACACTACCGAAGGAAGGCATGGAACCCTTGGTCAGGATCCTGTTCAAAACTTGGCCAAGCTTTCTTGATATAAGCCTTCAGCTTCGTAAAAAACTCCTTAATAGGGTTGAAATCTAGAGAGTAAGGTAGGGGGTATAGCAACCTGATACTTGTATAACTGTTTAGCTCAGTCTAAATAGTAGAAGGATATATTATCTATAATAAGTATAGACTTTAGCTCCGGCTACCTTCCACAGTATTAGAGCAGCTGCTTAATAAATAATTCGAACAGCACAGCATCCGTTAAACCTTTAAAAATATAAGACAGAAGAATACCTTCCTGAGTATACACTAGCAATATCTGATAGTACTAGCCCTGATAGAATTTAGATACTTATACTGGTGTTACACCTAATAGTAACCAACTAGTCTACCTATAGCCTACCCGTTTATCATATCCAGATTTATCAATAAAAACAAGGTAGTATAGATAGAACTCAGATAGTTTATATTAGTAGAAATCTCGTAGTTAAGGATTCTGCTCTTTAGATTCTACTGGGCTATCTTCTTATATCCATCCAACCCAAGAAAGAGCACGTTGGATACTAGATAGCGATGGTAATACGTTAAACTCATCTAAAAGGAACTTAGCTATCTCTTTGAGATAGAGGCTAGGTATCTTAGCGAGGTAGTTATAAAGGATATCTAGTATTACAGAAGTAATAATTAGTACTAGATCAGGAGGGATTTTAGGAGTATTAGGACTGTTTGAATAATCGTATTTTCTTACGTATATTAGTAATAGAACCCTTAGTATATTTTGCCAGCTTAGCTATTTAAGATATAGTCAGTCTTTTCTTACTGTTTATTATATATATAATTATCTTACGCTGCCCAGGGTTCAGATTTTATACTATTTTAAGAGGATTCAGAGGGTAAATTGTTGCTAGAGTTTAGATGAGTATTGGGACAACAATACCACAGGATTGTTGTTTTTAGATCAGTAATAATACGTAAAATTACATCGCTCGTCAATTTGAATTTTATCGTTTCGAACTGAAATATGAGACAAAGTACGGGAGTAACCATATCCGGCAATATGGATAATGTGATTAGGGTTTAAAAGAACATCTCTATGTTCGCG